ATTGTACGAGTTACATTTGCGAATTACCTGTGGGATGTTTGAAAGAGGTAGACGTTTCGTAGGCTTTCGGGTTAACGGCATTATTTACACTTGGCAATGTCTGGACGTGCCTCTTCTTCTCTATTCATGCGTTATTCCTTCTAGAATCCACTTTACATTTAACGGATTCCGTCTGAATTACCGCTTTTACTTGGCACTGGATCGTTCGAATATTCCGTGACTGCGGACGCCAGGCAAATGCTGTGTACGTGTTATAAAAGAAATTCAAACCTAACCTCGACCATGTATAGTAATTATACTGTTCATTTTGAAAGTATCATATGGTAAACATGTGAAAATGTCTACAGATATATTGCCGTGACAGGGCATTTTTAAGGTGACGAATGCGGGACGTATTTAAAAGTTAAAATTTATCAAGGAAACGAGAAATTTCTTTAAAATGGTTTCTGTGAAATTCTCCTAGTTCCACGCATCGGCGTTAACGCTGTTCTGGGTGTTACAGAAAGCGATGCGTTACGAGGTCAACCAGTATCTAGGCGAAACCTATGACGGCGAAGATCGCCAAGATTCTCATCGACCAACAGACGTTTCGTAATTCGCGCCATTGTTTCGTTTAAACGTTACGTTAACAATCGCGTGGAGATACGGCTGAACCTTGCGGACAGAAACTCTATAGGGTTCGATTTGTAATAACAAGACTTGATATTGTGCTATAGTGCGTTCTAGCTTTCTATACCTATGTATGTATGCTTCTAGAATCTTGGTTAGTTATCGAGAAACTTTTGCAGCTTTCCGGACTGTGATTTTGTGTCAATGAGAATTGCCAGACTAGTCTCACCTATAGTTAACACGTTTTACTTTACCTTGCGTCATCATACAAGGATGTACTTCGAATGCTGATAAAGTTTCAACACTGCGAAGGTTAAAGTTTACGTTTCCCTAAGACAAAAATGTACTCGGTTTGCTTGATTATTTCTCGAAGAAAATTTTAATCCATCGTATAAAATTATACGACTGATCGATGTAACTAAATGGAATCGGCGAAATCATCGCATGATCATCAGACTTGTGTATCGACGATGACGTGGACTGTACGTGGGAGAGGCAGGAAGTGGTCTGAATTATTGTCACGAAGATATGAGTATCCTTTTGTCTGTATATATATATATACATATATATATATATATATATATATATATATATATATAAATTTTTTAAAACAAAGTTTCTAATTAATTATGTTAAATTAAATATACCAACCAATCGATTATTATTATTATCATCACTGTTAACTGTATATTTAACAATTTTTCAAAACAAAATGTCTGCCTGTCTAAAACGTGCGTGGGACGCACGAAGGCTTCTCTAGAAGATGTTGGAAATTTTAGAGAAAGGCGTCATTACATTCTCACGGCAGTATATTATTATATATTCTAATAAACTTTCCCACCGCGTGTATCAGCAGTGCGACCAATTTTCGCACAGTACTGAACCGTGACCCCGTGGGTCATTGGCAATTGGTGCAATTGTCCAATTAACGACGCGGACAAGTCTTATTCGGTTTGCGGATAAATAATGAGCTTTTTTCATTTTCCCATCTGACTCCCTGTGACGCAATCATTTTCCAAGCCGTTAGACGTTATAGCAGTCGATAATCGTCCGGGAGGATTCGCAGGATCGAGACAACGATCCTTGGAGGAAAAATAATCTCCGATGTATATATTACATCCAACAATTATCTTCGACGTACAGTTAACCATGGAAGTCTTGTTTTTCTATACACCAAATACAATTGGGTCAGCTGTTAGGAATTAGTCGTGAAATGAACTTCTCAGCGCAGTGCCTATAGGGACCCCGCGAGTTAGTTCACACAATGAACCTCTCAGTTCAAGTTCACCGTAGAACAATCGCCGCTCTGTATCTGCTTCTGTGGCATTGCCGTGGGAGGATTTGGGATTCGTGGTACGATTAAACAAAGAACTCTAACATAAGCGAATCCCCAATTAAATGAATATCCTAAGTAGACTCGTACGAAGTCACGGTTACGTGCCTTAACACCCGTTCTTCGTTCAGAGAGACAAGTTTTCTTATTGCTCGGAAAAATATATTTGGATAAAAAAATTTTTCTTGAAAAATAATTTTTAGTAAAAAAAAATTTTGTGTTTACCAATGTAACTATATAGTGACGTATGTAATATCGCGAAAGCGAACCTTTTTCACGATTTTATATATGCTCCAAGCCACGATTACACGTTGAGGCACAGAGTTACATGACCTTGATACTAAAGCAGGACATTCGGTAGGATAAGCAGTATTTTAATTTTTTTCTCCAACGCTGATTTGGATTTCAATGTAATAGACGTTGACAAGGCGCATTCCCGTGCAGACGACAGATTCCGTTACCAGAGATAGGCCAAGCAATGGGTTTGACTAACTGGTGAAAATATTTTTGTATTTTATTACTATCTGAGTACTCTAGATACAACCAGTATTCTTATGTATCGTACGAGTATTGTAATAAAGAGAAATTGCATTTCTCTTGATTTTCAACCTTACCGTGTCGTGTCGTACAGTTTCACGTTGCGTGTCAATCGTCGCGTGGCTTTCATGCAGTCCGGACGCGTCATCTCCGTGGAATTTACCGGCAAGGTCTGCCTTCCTGACTGGACGAATACGGTTGAGGAACGAACCAACTCAGGAATGAGAAATCAATGCGTACTAGAGATATACTACTTGGTGAAAAAGAGAGAAAATATATATACATATATACCGGTTACATTTGTATCTCTCTATATAGGTATAGTTATAGGACGTCCATTTTGTATACTTCTTTTATTATGCATTCCTTTTATTCGTATCTTATTTTTTCCAGTCGCCCAAGGACTGCGCCATGGACCACTGATCAAAGACATTGGTTAGTTTCCTTGATCACGATTATCACATTTATTGTTGACCATTGTCGGATACAGTGGCTATCTGTATGGTCCACGATCTTTTGGACCTTGTTCCTTTTTCCGTGACTTAGATTGGGGTTGGTGGATTGCATAGATTTTTACGAATAATGGAACTTTTTGTTTTGTTGAGTTTTTTTGTTTAGGCTTATCAGGTATTTTCATTGTTATGTTATACATTTTTATTTTTATTTTCATCGGTTCTTCGATTGACAGATATTTGTCGGATTTAGTGAGAATGGCCGTGATTAAAGGTACGTGGGATTGTGCTAACACGTTTTATTATTTAATTGATACAGTATGACGCTCGATGGCTGATAAATAGTCATTCGTTTCGCGTAACTTTGATTCGCCATTGGTATACTCTAATGGAATACAGATTACCGGCCGGTGACATGACAAAGGATCGCGCTAAGAATTTCGATAGCACGTTTCTTATAAAAGGTTGATAACCCAACTGGAATGCTTAATTACTCGGCTGATATTATTATAGCCTAGGGGCAAAAGTACGGTCCAAACGATGACAACCAGCTGGGCTGGTCGCCCCTACGGGTTATTATTATATCGTCATTACACTTGGCTCTTTGATTTCATTTACAAAGATCAACGCCATTGTCACTTTCTAAAAGGTTTGAGGATGTAGATTAAAAAGATGAAAAAAAAAAAAGATTGCATCGGCCGGGAATCGAACCCGGGCCGCCCGCGTGGCAGGCGAGCATTCTACCACTGAACCACCGATGCTTATATTTGTCTGGATAAACAGTATTTAGTATTAACCACATTTTAACATTATTATATACTATAATTGCATTACGTCATATTATTCTACGTATTACAGTAAACTCGTCCGTGATATTTCTTGATGAAGCAATCGAATGTAGAAAGTAACCGAAAATTCTAGCCTTTCGTAAGTGCATTCAGTTTTCTCAATATTTCTTTTCCGTGTACACGACGCAGGGATTCAATATCCTATACCAAATTTACGATTATCGGTTCAATGCTTGGCAAGATATGCAAACTCGTAGCGAGACACCTCTCACGAAACTGCACTATTAACCCATATCATAAGGATAGCGTGACCGTGTGTAACCTCGAGGCATATAAAATAGCGTAGGTTACGGTATAGTAACTTTAAAATATCTATACTGTTATAAGACAGTACACGTTCCTAGTCACGATCTCGATCATCAATAAACTATGTAAAACAGTTTAATTCAAATTACGTCCGTTTTCTTTACCCTGGTGCTGAATACCAGCAAACAAGAAATCGTCAGCGACATAACAAGACTATTAAATATCCCTTAAGAATCTCATAAGTGACGTTAAAGTACGTTCTCAATACTAATGATTCGCAAACCGTGCGTTCATCGTAATAATATCAAAGTTAACCGGCTGCCGAGATCGAAAATGGTTTCTAATGCGATGCGCGCGAAATTTCAAATGGCGCGCCTTTTTCACGCAATTTATTCAAAATTACTCTCCAATTTGATCCAATATCGTGTTTAACGATTTATACATATAATAATCATCGTCAACTATATTTTGATTATTTTCAAATTTTCGTCTCGATCTAATAGCAAACCATTCGATACACAAATCGACGTTTCCCGTAAACCGTAGGAGGTAGCTGAATTCGAGGTGAAACAAAGAACAGCGAATAATGGATAGACCGGAAGTGAGGCAATTATTCAGTCGAGCGGTTAGAGCGAGGAGCAATTGTCGCAATTGCATTCACAGTGGTTACTGTCGACAGGAAAGTGTACTTCGCGTTTAAACACGTCTATGATCGTTACATGCGAATGACGCAATAGTATTTCATGCACGGATAAGAAGAATCCCTCGTACTTATTAATGGTATGAAGTATAATGGTATTATTAGTGACTGGAGTAATATACGCTTTTGGATTAAAGACTATAAAGTATAAATTGACTATAAAGTAAGACGTCTAGAAGATAATCGCACCTGATATAATCGCATCTACCTGCCGTAATAAATTTGACCAACAGTGCTTTGCCTTTAGACTAGCAACCATACTTCTTTATTTACAGAATGAAGATATAAGGAGAGGACCCCTCACATATTATGCTCTACGGTAGCAGCAATGTCGGCGCAATGTACTCACTTCGTGCAGAACGCATGGAAGAAGGAGCTGTGTTCAAACTGTTTCAAACCAAAAGAGGAACATCTGGTTCCGGGCGATGCGACAAAGTTTAACGTGGGAAAGTCAACGATCGTTATGAAAGTCGACAGCCATAAATTACAGGTATGCCGTAGAGATCATTACGAGTACTGATCTTCGGTAGGATTTCCTTAAGATCTTCGATTAGATATTCTGTTAAAATTCAAATAAAGTCAAGCATCAATATTCTTATACCGTGTTATATCGGCAAGCACGTATCCTTCGTGAGGTGTTTGTCACAATGATTGATGACCACGAATTCCGACTGTTCGTCGGTACACCAGGAATCTGGGTTACCCGCGTTCACGTAAAGGCGGAAGAGTCTGGTACTCCTAGGGTAAGATTAACAAGCTAGACTCGTTGCCATCGGGAGACGAGTTTGCTAATGAACCTGGGATGAAAGTATAGTTGGTATAGTCATTGACATAACTCGCCTATAAAACGCAATGAATTCGCAGTACGGATTTCATGTGGAATTATTTACAAGTCCCGGTGTAGGAATAGTGACGTAATCATACATCACGTATAGTCGATGCCGATGAATCTGATCGAAAATAATATCAACGTCAGATAAAATTTTTTCTATAGTTTACATCCACATTAGCGGGTGCACGTGTTCTTATCTGTGCATTGGAAATTAATGACGCACGGATTATTATTTCCACGTGACGCTTAAAGCGAAGTAAACTCGAGACTTTGGAAATAGAAAAATAGAAGAAAAAAAAATGGACAAAAAAAATTAACCACGATGTTATGCACACGGGTGAAGAAACAGGCTCATTAAGATTTTTTTATTTTTTGGGGTGACTGTATTTTAGACCTTGTATTTTTATCTTCGTATATAATGGAACGAGACTGTCTTGGTTTATTTTCCATAAAAAAAAATTTCGGAGAATTTCTTTTTGAATAATTCTTTTTTTTTCGATCTATCTACACGGTGCGTTAACCCCGGGAATATATTTAGAGAACTTTTTGTCTGATGAGTTTTGAATTTTGGCGGTAACGATAGTTCCGTGAAGATACCATCCTTTTTGGGGTTAGAATATTCGTACATTACCGTTGGTACGGCGCGAAATTATATTACAGTTCAAAGTCCGCGGATACCGGTGAGTGTTCATTTGGTTTTTTTTACACGTGAGTGACGATTCGTACACATTGGTCACGTACGGCATATGTGACAATAACACACATTGTTACGGGTGTGGTAAAACGCGTTGAGTTAAATAAAGCAAGTTCATTGTCGCACTGTGTACAAGTGATTCACGCATAATTATGCTCTGATCTACCGTGATTAGATTTATTTATTTTTTATTGTACGTTACACTCAAACTCTCGTGAATCACATTGGGTGGTACGACCGACGTGGATGAAAATGGATTACATTCGGACGTGATGGAATTTTTTGAAACTTTTGCAGAGTATTCTCAAGGGAAATACGTCTTCCCAGACGAAGAAGAAGAAGGTCGCCTTCCCGGATACTCTCACGGAAATAATCGGCTACGGGGGCGACGACTTCTCCGATTCGGAGGAATTCGAACTGAGCGAATCTACGAGCTTGGAGGACGAGACGCCGGATAGCGAGGAGGAGCGGGCTTTGAGTAACCTGACGAGAGCCAATACGAACTTTAACACAATAATTGCAAATTTGTCCGAAGTGGCGCCACAGGAGGCGAAGAAGTCCTTTGCTTCGTTGATGTTAGGTAAAGTGCAGAAGGACGCCGACGGCAAGAAGAAGACACTTTTGGTGTCCGTGACACCTTTCGGAGGTGACTGTACCGTGCCAACGGCTAAAAGACCTAGCGATAAGAAGGTCAGCCATTCGAATCTGTCGAAAAAATGTGGAGACGTTGCTGGGGATGGTAAGACGGAAGTGACGCTGAAGAGCGTCAGAAGCACCGAAGAGAAGGTGTCCAGGAACGAGAAGCAGGGTCAGAACGAAAGCTTGGAGAAGATTGTCGACATGCCGCTGATAACCTCGAGCAATTTGATTTCTGTAATACAAAAAAGTGATACGTTGACAGGTGGCGACGTGGCCTCCAGGAAAAGTACGGAGAGTCTTCAGAAGTCCGGCGACGGGGATACCTCGAGACAGATACACGAGAAGAAGACGACTTCCATAACTAGGACGCCGGCTATAAAGAAGACTGAAAGCGAGAAGCCTAAGATCTCTATGCAGAATTCTTACAGTAAGAGCGAGTATATCGTTGCTAAGGTGACTAAGCAGGAAGACTTCTCACGCGTCGAGGAGACCTCAATGAGTTTTAGTACTGGAATCGAATTGACTCTCACTCCTTTGAGTAAGCCAAGTGAGAAGGTAGCTACCAGGAATGCGGAGAACGAGGAAAAGTCGATCCTGTTAAAAGGGAAAGACGTGAACAAGGTCACCGTGGTCGGAGAGGAGAAGCACCAGGAGGTATCAACGCTTGATGATCGTGAGGTCGAGGGTCAAGCGGCGCCAGAATCTCTAAGAAAATTTAGTTTCGAGGAAAGTCGTGAACTTGCTGGTGAACCTGATGGTAAGGCGGACGAAGAGGTCGGTGAACCGCCGGCTCTACCCAGGAGTCCACCTCCGATCGATTCCAGACCCTCTAGAAGTGCCCAGGGTGAGAAAAAGAACGAGCCAAGGTCGTCTTTTCTTCATGGCGGCGATGCCAAGACAAAGCCTGTTGTACCTCAGAAGCCGGTTTCTCTGCCGCCGAAGCCGACCGGCCTCCCAAAGAGTCCAACGTCTTCCATAGGACCGTCTTTTAAAAAAACCATCACCACTAGCTACGTCTTGCCACCGCCGTCTATTCAGAATGCGGCTTTACAGGGTTCGCTCACCACTCGAAATAACTTGGGCGACAAGACCCAGTCTGTCGCTTCTTCTCTTCAGAGTTCCAGTTCTGTGAACTCTGCTGCTCGGTATTTGCAATCTCAGACGGTGAAGGCGGTCCAGGTATCCTTGACGGAGGTCAGATCATCCCAGAAGATTTTTGATGACAGCGCCAAGACCAAGAGTGACAATACCAGCTCACAATCATCCTCTGCGAGTGGTAGTACAAAAGTTGCTCCAAAGTTAAGACCTCCCGCGTTGACTATTCCTCGGAGTCTTCAAAACGACCAGGAAGAGGACGACGAGGAAGAGGACGACTCTTCTGGAATATCCGCTGAAGTCACGGCCGAGCTTATTCGCTCGCCGAACAAGAGGAGAATGGCACCCAAGCCACCGGCTACGCCGACGGAGGAACTTCCTGGTTCGTTGTTCGCCAGAAATCCTAGCGCTACGGTCAAGTCTGACTCTCCGGTAGTTCGTGAGAAGGAAAAGAGAGAAAGAGCCTCTTCTTGTAGTCCTAAGTTCAGGAAGGCCGTCTCCGAGACTCCTGATCCATGTATCCAAACACCAGAGCCAGCACCCAGGAGGACTATATCCTTGTCTCAGGATAGTCTTGCGAATCCTGACAGACTAGAAGAGAAAAAGAAGACACGTTCACGATTCTCATTAAAGAAATTTCTCCGGATGGGCTCGAAAAAGGACGCGGACATGATACCTGGGGGATCGTCGCCTAAGATAGATGAGATACCATCCACACCACAGCCCAAACAGCGTCTCGAAATTATTCATCCTTTGGAACTGGACGGAGCCGCTGTAGAAGTAGTGAGTAGCGACAGGATTGGCAGGATCGGCAGTGACGTCACAGACTCAAAAGCAGAATCTATTCAATCGTCTCATCAACAATCAACGAGCAACGCTCATCACGTTGCAAGTGAGTCCAAAGGTTTCCTTATCAGACTCAAATTTTTCAAAAACTGTAAAGTAAAATTTGTATCATTTTTTCAGCTCGACCAGGTAAACCGCCTCCACCGCCAAGGAATCAATCACTTGATGATTGGTCCAGATTGGATCCCGCGAATAAACCAGCAAGGCCACCACCGCCTAGAACGGATTCGAAATTACCACCTAGGGGTGAAAAACCATCCCCTAAAACCTGGCAACCTACATCCACCCCATCCTCAGCATCCGACTCGATATATGCGAATCTGGGTAAGTTCAGGCCCATACAGTGTAACTAATGAATGGCCATTCACGTGTGTAACAGCCATACTCACACGATACTCGCGCCTGCTTTAGCTTGCAAGCCAGGAAGACTTCACGAATTTGAACGTGTAATACAATATATGATTTTGTCACTAATCAGTTACGTTCATACGAATATAGACGGTACTTGCATACTTTTTTTACGTACTTAGACATTACGAAGTCAACTCGGTCGTTGTACATAGCCATATATTATTCAAGAAGAAAATAAATGACTCGGTCGGAAGCGCAAGGAGACTGGAGATAATAAAAATTAATAATAAAAATTAACAAAATTCCACGAACGATGACGCGAACGTTGCAGTTTCGAATTACGCTCTGATCAAGTGCACCTTTAGCGAATATACATTGCGTATGTTAAATGATTATTTGCTGACGTTGATTCATTTGCCTGTTCTTTGTATTACGCATTATTAATCTTTTCCTGACGATGACGAGGATATGACATCCTGTGATATATACCTACACTGTACTTGACTGCTGTAGAAATAGGAGATACGATGGTCTGTTTTCATTTCGATGATTAATGTCGTACTAGAATTAACGATCGACGAAGATAAATAGCAATTCGTAATCTTTGTCTGTGTTCGTAATTTTTTTCTTGCTATCTTCCTTTTTAAAGTAATAAATAATTGTTCGGAATTACGAATACATCCGACGCCAATGCCTTTGCGATCCGTCTTGATCGACGGTAGATCTGAAAAAGGTTATGTGGATGTATATTGTTATGCGATATTAGACATTAGAAACAAATATATTTGCGACTCACTTTGTATATATTGAAAAGGAAAAGCCTGTAATCTAGTTTTTCTATGTTTGAAATAAACGCCTTTTTTGCCTGAAATTCAAGAGAGTCTTGTTACCCTGATCTTGTGACATCGTGCTTGTCTTCGGGATCCCAGTTTAACGTCACAAAGAATTCATGGTTTGTTCGTTGCACCTTTGCACTTAAACTTGACTGACGACCGTACAAAAAATTGTATTGTATACTTTTCCCTGGTACCATCTTTCATTTTTTTTTACATTGTCGTGCTCGGGTTATTTATTTAGGAATGTCCTAACTGACGTTGGATGCAACTAACGCCGCATGCATTGAATGCATATTTAGCATCGCATTATCCTGGATTAGTATTTGGATAGCAATGCCTGCTAATTTCAGGGTGTCTGCTATATCCCGTTCTTCAAATATCCCGTACACTTCGATGTCTCCATGGCGACGATTAAAGAAGCAGCAAAGACAATCCTAAATTGCATACCAAGAATCAAATTAGAATATACATTGAGTAAGGTAACGAGTCAGGATGGAATTAAATCAAAAAAAAAAATTTCATCGTATTTCATATTGTTTTAAAAGACCCAATTCACTTCAATTACCAAACCTATTCACTCCTGACTATATATTGTAGACCTGTCGTTTCTGTCAAAATAAAGAATCCTCTATTATAATCACTCTCACAATTTCAAGTGATTTCACAGTGACTTCCGGTTAATGTCGTTACGCGCGACAATCGCACAACGGTCAATTTTTGTCCCGCAGTATTCGGAGTCTGTAGTACAGTCTGCTGAAAAAAAAATTGTCATACGGTTAAAAAAATTTGTTCAATACCTCTGTATGTTAATGGCATTATTAACGTTCACTCAGTACCGTGCAACGAAAAGTGAATGGAGATGAATTTAAATGTTGATTAACGTAGTACGCATGTAGCGAAAATTGTCATTCGTATTAATTCGTCATATTAGAAAAGCATTCCATAGCTTAGTCCAATGTATAATTAATTGGATAAATCGTTTAATCCGAATGATGCGATTACTCACTGTGAAGATGATCCATAAGCTTTTCCTTGCAATGCACTAAATAAGTAAAGAAAGTAACTAGCATTAGTTTAGACGTGTACGGTAGCTAGCCTGCGAAATGCCTTGTGTCTTGTGGTACTAACACTGGCGCTTGATGATGGCGGACGTGCCTGCAGCAGGTGAGGATGTTACAGGTGAGGTACGGAGTGCCCTGGCACCATCGAAACCTCAAAGAACAGCAAGTATGAGGGACCAGGCGATGTCACTGCCTCCCTTGAAGAAGCGCACGGCTGCGTCACAGCCGCAAAGTCAGGATTACGAAACGGTCGGATCGGCAGCGCCACCTATGTCTGATTCACCGGTAAGAGATTAAGGTTTGAAAATATTTTTTTTCTAGAATATTACCAAACAATTATTAATATTCTTTTTAGACCTCCAACGACAGCCACGCATACGAGTGTCTATCCAGTTCGCCGGAATGCGATTTGAATATTGAACTTCGACATGGTAATGGGAATCGTGAAAATTGCAAGAGGAAATCTGACAGCAGTGCTCTGGATCCTAATGTCGAGTTCAAGTATCATCATCAACCGTTTATCAGATCGACTTCGTTGCCATACTGTGGCAGTGAAACTGAAAGTGAACTTTATGCTCCTTACAGTTTTTATACTGGTGACGAGGTGAGCTTTTTTTTATTGGGCGACGTTAACAGGAAGATTGCAGGATGTCGATGACGCAATTGATTTTTTTTTTATATAGGGTCCTGAAGACGATCAGGATTGGAAAAACAAGGACGACGAGTCTAGAGTCAGTAGACTTCGACAACGTAGAGGGAGGGGTATTGTTCATCGAAGTCTGGAAGACAATTATGGCGCTGTTATCGTAGCGAATCATGAGGCATTAGCACAACTATTGGAGCAAGTACGGTTTTATGGTGTTTCGCACGACTTTATCAAACAACATTGTATATTTATAGATAAGTGAGGAGACTCTGTGATCGTTTATTATTATATCCCAACGTAGTATATTTTACGAGCACTGTTGTTATGCTTTGATTATATGAATGCACCATTTTGTAGGACTATGATTATAGTTACTTGATATAAACGTTTCAATGTTCCACTCAGATTTGCTTGGTAAACTCACTGTACGTTGGAGGTATTAACTTTAAGATATTATTATAATATAAAGATTACTGAGTATCCCCATAATTATTATAGTCAATTGAAAGAGATAAAATTCTTTTTTTTTTTCTATATAAATAAAAAGAAGATAGTCTGTATTACATAATTACTCTGATATTTACAGCTAAATCAAGTATCCCCTGTTGCTGTTGGATTGCGAGGACTTAAAGCCGCAAGTCCTAGGTTTACAGACTTTCATTTGGACACAAGTTCCCCGGTTCCAATCGGCAGGAGGATCTTTTACTCTGCGACCTGGAACGAGCACAGCGTCACTCTTTGCATTGCCTTCGACCTAGCTCTTCACGTATCCAGAAAAGAGTTCTACCTCGTTCCCATCGTCGAGTTCATGGATTCTGTACCTGAGGATATCTTGGAGAAGACCACACTGTCGGGAATAACAAATTTAGAAGGTAACACTTTGACAGCACCCTATTAATCATAGATCAAGAATTGATATTAACCAATAATTTTTTAATTAGCTACCATTTCCGTCTTACCCCGCCTACAAGTGAATACCATCCAATCATTCGCTGCCATCTCAAAAGACTCCAAGGATGATAACGTAATCAGAGAGTCATCTTTCATTCTCTTACAATTCGTCAATGCCCTAAAGAGTTTGCAAGCACGTGGTATAGAAGAATCACCCAAGAATTTAAGTAACGTTGTTCTCTGTAGAGAAGATAAAGATGCCTGCTATAGACTCTATCTGCTTCAAGGGTAAGAAAAACTTTTGTCTGATACATGAGAAAATTCAGATCTTCCCACATGAAGGTCCAATGACCAAGCGGCACTTTTGATCATAGGTTGAACATGGATGTGAGCGATGAGCGTGAGGAGGAAAGAGTCTCGTTATGTCAGTGCGCACTGGTAGCACTACAGGAACTGTTCCTGACAAGTAAATTGCCATTAATTCAAGAGTTGTTGATACGTGAAAAGGCAGTAACCCTGTCCCAGGTATAAACAGTTATTAGCTCACATTATCAACAGTCATCATTGAATTGATTAATTAGAAGAGAATGAGATTAATGTTTGTTTCCTTTAAAACAGGTAAAATCTGTATTGGAATTCTCTCTGTGGGGACCAGCAGACACAACACTGGGAGGTCCACGTGAAAGAGAAGTTGTCCTTCAAAGATGGCTGGATCTTGAAAGAGCTACGGTTCTTCATGCTTTGGTCAGAGCTAGAGCTCCATTGACAGTAACCGATGAATATCATTTATTATTCCTGGTACGAACCAGTGCAAAAATGATGTGCGAAGCATCCATACTTTTAGATAGACAGCGTAATACACTGGCACGTGCCAGTTAAGTTTTAATAATTTTGATATTCTATATTATGTAATAATACCTTATGGAATATTTGACCAAATAAGAACAGGATGGGTATTCCTGATTCTTTTTGTTTTATACGTGATAATGTATGAAAATAATACGTAAACTTGTATCAATGCTCAATTTACACTGAAGAGAATGTAAGTTTGTCCTCACTATGTATCTCACGTAGTGTGCTGATGACCTCCCTAAATTATTTGACCCTCAATGAGTAGGGTCGTGAATATCTCATAGAATTACTAATTATTATGTTGACTCTTAATGGAGAGAATAATTTTTGTTATGAGTGTATACATGGTATATCGATCAGTTTCGTTATTAACCGCTCAACTACTAATATTATAGATAGTACAGATATAAATATATTTAAATACTTTAGTCAAACTTTTGTACTTTTAAAACCCGGCATGCATATTTTGTACATAATCATACTCACGTATTTTATATTTATAATCAAAACATACTAAGCACTGATCTGATGAACAAATGGCACTGTGAATATTGTCTAAAGATATATAAAACTTTCTGAATCCTGCATTTATATTTTAAAAAAAACCATCAGACTGTACTACGACGACGTACGTTACCGAATGCATTATAAGGAGCATCATTAAATGGAAACGTATATCATTTAATTGTTTTTTTACCAAAATAAAAACACATTAAAAAAACGTTACAATGATTACGTCTTTAGAGTCCTTTATTATAGCAGACTCTGTCAAGTTCAGATTTTCCTTTATAATTTTTCTGAAATTCCTCGTACTCGTTCGCATTAATCTTCAAGAAGCTTGTTTTCATAGAACTGCAAGAACGCACTGCAATTTAGAGATCCGTAAAATTTTAAAATACACAAAAAACATACTTCCTTTGCGGATAGATTGCCAAAGCCGATGGAATCATAAGGAGTAAGCTATAGAAAACAGATAAACAGTGTTAATATTTATAAGAGAAATAATAGGGGGGCCGATACTTGCAATGCGCCACAGAGTGAGATTTCAACAGGAAACCTGATCCAGGGACGTAGTTGATAGAAACAATATGGCTTAATGCGATTCATTATAACCGGTATCAGAATCATTCCTGGTGCAGCCATAACAATTCTACATATAACGCATTCGGAAATGGCTTTGATCGAAGCAATCTTTGAGTTCATAATTGCCATGCTCTCCTGATCCTTTGGACTAATTGGTATTCCTCTAATTATCTCTCGTTGCCGCATAATTGGTAGGTTTACCATGTTACCGACAACCACAGCCAGGAATGGCGCCCACCTCTAGAAAATTATAATAAATAAGAATAATAACGTTGAATAGCTGCATTACACAGTTTTTAATACTAACGGAAACAACAGGTCCTCTACGAGATAAAATCCTGCGAGATATTAGTGCAGTTGCACAACTTGATACAGCTGCAAATATAAAGGCCTCTTTAATAACACGCACATCATCTTCTTGGTCTATCTGTGCATTTCTATTCGTATAATTGACCAGGGCGTTAAAACTTTGATTAAGAAATTGCCAACCGATCACAGCAGCTGCGCTCCTTGACAAAATTTAATGGAGAAATTATTTTTCAAAAATATTTACAATCTCACTGTTTCAAGTTACTTGTAAAAAGCGAGCATTCCTGTTGTGATGAATACATTAGCAGGAAACTGAGAAGACATTCTTCCCAGAACGTTCATGAGTTCACCATTGTCCGGATGAAAGGAACTGTCACGCAATTTCTTAGCGTAAATGATCTCATCCCTGGTTGTATCTTTAGCTTCCTTCTTTGCTCTGAAATAACAAGAAACCTGCGAGATGCTTCAAAGGCTGCTGCATCTGGCTTACTTGTAATCCTCGCAGAGTTTCTTGGCAGCCTTGAGCTTCTCCTCGGACACGAAGATCGTCCTAAAGTCTGTGATGAATGCGAAGTGTCTCCATCTTCCTAAATAATTATCCTGACTCCACAAAGGTTTGTCCACGTTAATTCTCTCTGTTGACTTTGGCGATTCCTTCTTTCCTGAATCTTGAGATTTATCATTTTTTCCTGAATCTGATTTTTTCTTCTTGTTCGATTCATCCGGTGGACTCTTATCGTGGGATACTAATTGTATAAGAAAACGAACGCCATCCATTGCATTTGATTGATTCCTGATCAATTTTAGATCTACGACATCTTGCAGATGTGATATTGTAATTGATATTTGACAGATTGCTTTTACTGAACTGTCATTTAATTGATATTTCGATGCCGATTGTTTTTTTTTTAATTAAAGGCCCACTGCGCGCGCACCGATCTGAGGACTCATGAGCGATTTAGTCGTTATTTTTCATTTATAAGGAGCACACTGTACGCGACGGGATTTGTATCGCAAAATCCTCCGTTTATTTAACTGTAATAAACGAAACGGTATCCTGCTCGATGCGTAGTCATTTTGTGCACCTCTCCACCGACTCCGAAATTCTCTCTCGTCGCTTAATGTTCCCTTTTACTAAAGGGAGGGAAAGAAGAGATTTTATGAGTAGAAAAAGAGGTGAAAATGGATAAAAGCCTCCCCCTGTCACATTTAACATAAAATCATTACGTTTACGGTAATCTCGTTTATTTACAGTCCTTGTCTTTTTTTTTGTATTACACGACTTTACAATAATCATCTAACGTGATAAATACAATCTGTGTAATTCATAACTATAATTCGCAAAGTAGATTCAAGTATATAACCTTAAAGTACACTTTTTGTTTTTCACAAGTTTAAGGGATACTGTGAAGTAATACATATGTACGTATAATAATATTCGTTATATATACATATACATGTGTAATGTCACATATATACATATACAACCGTGTCACATTTAATAAAATAATCGTAACAGTTTAGCGTGGGCTAAGTAAATTTTATTGGGACACGTGACGCCTTTAAAAATGTCAAATAAAAAAAGAAAATGTAAAAACAGCATGCCGGTCATTGATGACGATGTTTCAAGACGTTAACGAGAGCAATGCCGTAGACTAAAACAAATTTGATTATCAATAAATACATAAAATATTTGTAAGCACACTAACTACGTTGGATGTTATAAAACGGTAACGTCGCTAGCGTCCACATGAATTAAATGAAAACGATTGACTAACTGTAATTAAAAATATCCGGAATTTATCGAAATTACCCTAAGGCGTCCCATATACAAAATACACATTCTCGTGAGCTACAATAATTCGAGCGAAAAAATGGAGAATTTTTTTTTCTTTAAATAATCATCAACCTCGACGCATCCCGAATCGCAAGAATTTAATGGGAATTCGTTGACGAGACAAAGAAAGTGTTATACGAATATTAATAATTTTATGGGGTAAATAACAAAGAAAAAAGTCAATGGGTCGCAATATGGAAAAAGCGATTAATCGATGTATAATAACAGTATAACATTGAACGTATTACAAATACGGTGAGCTATGCAAAAAGATGGTGATTGGGTTACTCGGTGTTATCACAAAACGTTATTAAGTCCTTAAAAATCTATAGTCCTTAATATATTTAGCATGTAAGTCGAAAAGCTACAACGGACGTCTAAGTTAAGGAAGTTCTTCAACAGGGAATATCGAGGTTATCAGTAATACATCCCACACAACACTGGGATGTTAGAAATACGTCATACAGACGTCGTCAATCGGCACTACTGACGTACGATAGACATCCGAAAATTTAAAAATGATATCCTGCAGACGTCATTCTGAAGTATGTTTGCCCCACCTACGGATGTCTTTCTGTCCGTCCTTTGCACGTCCTACCCGTTTCATTCATAGGATGTATTTCTAACATCAATCTGACAGTTTGATTCACATGTATAGGATATTCTTATAAGGTAGATGGCGCAGTGATCGGTCATGCACCGGCACGCTCATTGGTTGGCTTGAGCCGCGAGGAGCCTATGAGCCTTTGAGCATTTCTCGAAGGCAACATAACTTATGAAACGACACAACTTACGAAATAACAATGGAAAAAGTTAGACGCGCTAGAAATAACGCGTTGGCTGACAGGTTAAAAAAATTCAATGAATTTATGCAGTTTAAAAGAAATGTAGAAAATAAGATAAAGCAAACAACCTATTCACGATTAGATGCGTGTAAGGTTCCCAAGAGGTATTGTAATCGGTAAGTATAAAATATCTAATAATGATAAATGATAAAAAAAATAATGGACAACATAAATGCCGACATTAAAACGACATTCTAAAGATGCCATAGTGCGTCGTGTTTAAGATCATGCGCACAAAACTTATGTGGGATGTATTACGCATAGCATTTTTCAGCCGGACGTCAGTAGAACACTGCAGACATAATTCGTATATCGTTCGGATATTTCGCGTTGTGTGGGATAGTACCTCGGAAAAAACACGTGTCCTCAACAATACTGGACGTGAATTTCAATGCGTAATATAAACGTGACGAAAGCCTGATAACATTAAAAAAATATCCTCGCGCATTACAGACTCCCATAAATATATCCGATTCGATTCGATTGCAGCTTGTAACGTCTACGTTCGAGACCGTTTCCTGAATATCAGAAAGTCATATCACCTACGTGCTATTATCTTTGTTCTTTATGATTAAAAAAAAAATGGAATCTTAATAAATTGAATTGCCATGTATACATAAGTTATAAATACGTATATCATCCGCACTTATGCTATCTGATAACGGAAGTATACTGTCGATTAGTTCTTACCAGTCAAAGGCGTAACTATCGTCGAGACGACATAATTTTACCGGTCGGAAAAAAAGCCCTTCTAAAATGCTATAGCAAATATCTCGTTAACTGATAAGAAAATGAAGTAACGCTATACCAATTTCATGACGAAGGTTGGATATCAGATTTCTCGCCACTACGTGTTGACCGACTTATTTATTTTTCGTCTTAGTATGGCACCTTAGGCATTGTCTTGATTCGTCACGACGTTGAGCTCCAAGGATTCGTTATTGCAAGAAAAAAATGAAACGACGAAGAAATTGCAAATTGACTACCGTCAAATAACAGTGCCCTATCGCGCATGCGCAGTGGAATACACTGTTGCCAAGCGACCGATGCTTCCTCGTGTCAATGAATTTTTTGTTATTTCTATGCAAGTCAATGCTATCCTGTTCGAAATTGGATTAATGACGATTCTGAAATATATATTGTCTCACTGCCACGCGTTCTTGTAGCTAGCTTGTAGGACTTTGATTAATCAGAGATTCCATTTGTGTTTTCACGATTGAAGTTTCCTCACCAACTTGCATACGCATCCTGATTGAATTACAGAATTTTTAAATGATTTATAGAACCACGCGGTTCCTATCGTGCGACATAATAATTATGCTACCTAAGATAATAACGAATTGTTTTTTTTTAATGAAAATCAATTGCTTGAAATTCAATCTTGATATTGAATACAGTATTTTTCGCATTAACAGAGACAATGATCGTTACACGCAAAATAAAATTCGTCCATCGAACACTGAAGTTGATACAATACCTATATGTTTGATTTTCATCTTAATTATTATTATTAGCGGTATCGTCACGTATATTATATTTAAACTCAATGTTATTTCTTTCTATTTAATCTTCTCTTCGCACTTCCAAATTCATCACCATCTCGTACACTACCGTACCATATGTTATTTTTGTTGATAAGAAAAAAAAAGTTAAAGATCTCAATTTGTCGAACAGTATATATCAGCGTATCATAATTATCTTAAGTGTTCGACAGAGGAATCATAATCGAAGAAAAACATTTTAATTAGGCTCTAAGTACACTGACGAAATTCCAACGTCTTCTTTTACGAGGTGGTTTGTGGCAACTGGCGTACCTCTTTCTTGCATTGGTTCTCGTATCCCGTGACTACCATTCGGTTGGTCCTGAGTTGGCTGAGCCTATGTTTGCTCCTGTGAAAGGATTTGTGGCTACTGCTACATTAAAAAATTTCTGCCAATGGACCGAGCTTTGACAAGAAATTGTAATGCATATATATATATATGCATAATAGTTAATGATACAAAGCAGAAAAGATATTAAATCACTCAACCTAGAAGATCATTACGGGCGATATGTGACGACAAATGAATTCAAATGAAATACATTTTGCATAACGATATTAAGTAATGCGAAGAAGAAGTTTGCAAAATTAATAAATTAAATTACGTAATGATTAATTATACATGATAATGCACTTAGTGCTATTGTGCAACATGCACGTGAATAGTCAACTTTTCAAAGCAATTATATAATTATCAGTTATTATACCGTCAAACTTTTCTTCTCACTGGATAAAAGTTCTACGGAGACTTGCTGCTTGCACGATTATTATTTTTTTTTTATGAAAATGGCCTAACGAGGAGTAACTCAATTATTATGTTAGTCAAAGTTCAATCGAGAAGACATGCTCTCTATCTACGTTGCTTCTAGTTTTCTACTGTGCTACCGAAGATCAGTGGTACTGATTGAGAAAAAATTAAAGTGTTTATTCTGAACAGATACAAGGTGCAGTATACTAACGTAATGAAAGATGAGAATGACTATTAGATGAAGGATGGGTGAAACTTGGGGGGGAGGGCGGTGTCAGTAATTGAAGGTCGTGAAAGGAGTTCTTCGTTGAGAGGCTGATGAAGAGAGAAAATAAATTAAAATTAATAAACTTAAAAAATAAACAAAATTTCTTTAGACATGCTAGTAACGAAAAAATTATTTACAAATTTTATGGTCAATCCGACTTTATCCTATTAGCCCTATTGTAATTGATACGTCAGTCATGGATAATATTTCTTTTCCAAATATATTCGCGGTGTTAAGATTTTTAGTTAAGCACATTAGGATTAGAAGAATATTCGAACGCAAAGCAAAAATGTTCTTTTACATTTTATTTCACGAAGTCTGATATGGTTTTGATTAACAAATAATGATTTAAGTCACAGGCGGTCGTCCTGCGATACGCATATTCTTTTCTATACAAGGATTAAAAATGCAATAAACGCGTTAAGTATTAACGGAACGGTATAATGGAATAGTCTAAATTACTGTTTAATATAGCATCAATTAATTTAGGTAACAATGATATCGTACAATTTAATTATTACTGAAGCTACGCCGAACTGTCGCGAAAGACAGGTTTCACGGTAACGATTAAAAATACTAAAATCTATTTAAAGTTTGACAGGTTAATCGCCCGGAACTATATACGAAACGGTATGCACGTATATATATGTACATAAAATCAATGATATGATTGCGAAATTGGTCCTGTCCCGCTAGAGGCGACAATAATCTAATAAACCAAAAGAAAAAACGAGGCTGCCAACCGAAAAATAAAAATAAAATAGAAGTTACGAAGAAACAAAAATCTACAATGTCTAGCATAAACGTGAGCATGCACGATTCTATACAACATGTAGATACGCGCACATACATATAATAAATATATATACTAGATAGGGTGCTATTGAAAAAAGGTGCAGGATTTAAAAAGAAAAGAAAAAATTATTATTTATCTCGCGTTGAACACTCGAAACGCCCAGCCCCACTCCAAAGTTATCTGATCGGAGGTTCAGAAAATATTATAAGTTCCATATATTACATACAGATGTAAGGAAGCGTATTTTTCGTGTCAACAGAATTCGTGATTTTACCTTCATGCTCGAAAGAGCTAAAGAAAAGGGCGATACTTCCATCTTTCTTTCTCTTTACACGAAGAAACTTAAACGAATTAATCCGTTTCTTTTAAGCTGCTATAATTCTACGCGTGTTCGAAGCGAGTTCGTGGATGCATTAACGATTAGCGTGCCATTGTACGATCAGCAATAATCGCCACTGGCACAATGCGAGACCTATCTGTAAATTCAAGAACTAGAAATACCGGTGGTGTAAATGACACGCTCTCCACCGCTGTTTAGGGTAGTGTTCTCGTTGGCAGTCGTAGGTGGCGGTGGCATCGCAAATACAGGCTGAGCGCCGGACGCGCCCTGTGACGCTCCGCCTTGAGGTTGAGAGACCACAGCATCCTCATCGCTCTCGTCCTCCTGTCGAGGAAACACGTGACAATTGAACAATTGTTTCTTAATGTGTAGATCCTGCAAAATCTCGTGCTCTCGTTTAATCGTTGCATCATCCTCCTTCTCGTGAATCCGGACATGAAAATTCTCCGAGGAAGCGGTGCGACGTCCATTTTCTGTTCATTGCTCTTCTTTGAATCACGAGATTTTCGACTGGATATACACTCTTAGGACAGCTTTTTTTTTCATATTTCCTATTATTATTAGCATTTATGTTATCACTATCATATAAGTCTCTTTCTGATGAATTATAGAACCCGGATAACTCAGCAGAACACGATACGCACGATTGGATGGGAAGGAATGCAAAAGTCGAAAATGACGTATCGCAGGCTGTCAATTCGTAAAATCTTCTGAAAGTAGCATGCAAAAGAAATTCTTACACAGGAACTGTGACGGATCCAAGTATAATCCTCGTTAGTAGAAAGTATACCACCCAGTAATCGTGCATTGCATTCCGTAAAGTCTCCGTATACCTGTGTATCCATGAATTTTGACATGTTGAAAGACCCAAGAAGCATTGGAATTAATTAAGTGGTATTTGTATGTCGATGATAATAAAACAGGATGAGGATTTCCTCCGCGATAATTCACCAATGAGTGACCTTGGAAAAGATCTCGAATTGCTGTATTTTAATCGACATCAATTTCATTTGATTTACAACTTCTAACGAGTTAAACTCTCGTGATTGACAGATGTAAATTTTCTGAAGATTAAAGCGTTCACATTTCTATTTGACGTCGTCGAATATATAGCGTATGGAAGCCAATGGGAATTTCGCCAAGAACCGGAATCACAAACAAGGTCTAGGCATCCCTATTTTGTCTGATCATTGACAAAATGGATCCCATTTTGATAGCGTATATGATACGTGTTTTGTAAAATTTAATATACTTGGTGGCAGGAAATAACCGTAGAAGCGGTTTAGCATTACGTTACGTTTTATCGTGTTAAAGATAAACTGGTATAATTTAGGATGGAATATATGAAGTAAATTGTATTGTGAATTGTGGTCTTTTTTTCTAGCAAAATTGGGAAAGTAATGTTGTAGGGACTTACCTTGTGGAAACCTCGGGGTTGATTCGTCACAACTTCAGCCTCTGGATTCTGGTCCCGCTATAATACAACAATAACATAAAACAAAACCGCTAATCTATATGCTTTATGAAGAAGGCAGCGCATGCTTGGCAATGAAGGCTCGCGAGCATTGTTTTCAAGCCAATTGCGATATATCGGTGGTTATTATTGATTCTTCAGAGTAACTCACAACGAGGAGAGTACGAAAATGTCTTTGTAATTAAACAATATTCACTTCTTGAAAATGAAGACAGATAACCATTTCTTTTCTTGTACGACAATGCTTGAAACGCGTATTAATGTTCTAATTAACTCTGAACGTCTATGTGATTACTAGATTAATAAAAATGTAACTCGCTCTTTGTTATCAACGACAATAGGTTCAATTGTAAGTTGGTATACGTACAACGTTCCAGTGCCAAGGATACTTTGCCAAAATAAATAAATCATGAGGAAGGCGATCCCCTTCTTGATTATGACGCAATGCTTAGGATTATGATTGATTTTGTGAAATTACGATGTGTCGTAGATAAGATAGATTATAAAAAAAGAGAGGTAAATATACACGAAAATGAATAAATCTCAAATTTACCGGAATATGAATTTCCTAAAATCGTATGTATATTGTAGGGGGGTACGATTACGTGAGTTTCGAGATACAACAAATTCAAAATGGCATCCGCAAGTGAGACAGCGTACAATTATAAAAATTCAATACGTGAAAAGTACGAAAACAAAAAAACGTTTTATGACTTAATACATAACTTAACAATGACAAGCAGTTATTTATGTAAATTATTTTACGTTTTCATTCTGGTATTGTTACGGCAGTGAGTGAAGAATGTATCGATCCTGTCGTTACGATACCAAAGACCTATTCGGCATGAGATAATGATATCAGTAAAGTGCTAGACAAATGAAAACGTGACTTGTCATGCGCATATGATTTTTCTCAGGACTACGATTGGACTCAGCTATGAAAATCTGCGAGAAATAGTAACGAGAAAATGAACAAAAGATATCACTGAATAATAATTATACTCACCTAAGCATAACACGTTGTGTTACCGCATAGTGTATGAATCCATATTGAGATTTTCGATTTTATTTTTTAAACTTACGGCGACAGCAAAAAATGATAAAACGTTTTGAAAAATGTACTGGGGAAACGTGAGATACTTGTTTGTGGTTGTACAATAATTTTGTGCGTAATCGTACTTGTGCGTCACAAGGTACGTGCTCAACTCAAGCTCTGGATAAGAAGCTGAACAATTTGTGCGTGACTTGAAAGAAATATATTCGTCGCTCAATATAGAAGGTTTATGATGAAGGTTAAAGGAGCGAAATGGCGAACAATAATTGTAAGTTGGCTGATGAGAGAGATGCATAGAGGAAATCAAAGTTTGTAACTTAATGAACAAATTTTTTGTATACATTGAGCTAGAAGTTGCCTTGTTGATTTATTGTTTGAATTGTTCATGTTTCGAGCTGCACATTACTGCGGCGAGTGTCAGTGAGATTTCTCATTGTAAAAAGCAGTTTCACTTAAGCGCGCATTACTGTTTATGGGTCAAACAAATACTACCTACCTTAACTCCATTGCGGTTTATGCACGTAATGCGGTATACTAACATCCTGCTTCTAGGATTTTCCTACATTTTACACTCAGTTCCTAAAGTCGGTCTAAAAGTATCGCATAAAGCTTAACATGCAATTTCCGTTGCACTTGATCGAAACAGCCAAAGTTAATAAGCTCTCATTTTGCAATAGACGGATACACGAATTTTTGTATTTTACTTGTGTGTTACAAGCATATGACTGGAATTTTTTTTAAGCTCTGATATTTTAAGTGCATTAGAGGGCATCAAGTGTAAATCATTTGAAACTTGGTAAATGAGTAAATTATGCGTGCTTCAGGATTAGCAAGTAAAGAACAGGAGTGATTGTAAATATCAAACCTGATTTTTGATGACTCATATTTTGTGAAAATTGAGAATTAAATTTTTCAGGATCAACTGAATGAATGATTTAATCGGATAAACATTAAAGATCCATGAGAGACTTATTTTACTCGTTGTCAAAGATATTTTTATTAATCAACAAAAAATGGTCCGAAAGCCGATTTCTGCGTGTAGTGCGATTCAGAATAAGATTTAGAAAGGAAGCATTAAAAAAAATCACCAGTTTTCAAAGAAATCACAACCGCCCTCCACGTATCTCAAAGTAAATAAAATTCCATACTTTGTGTGCGGAAGCTCAATCAGAGCAATTTGCCAATCTCAAATGCGAAATTGGCACTTACAACCTAAGGTTAGTCTAATTACGCAGGCAGAAAGTCATTTTCGCAAATTTGTCATAAAGTTGCCTTATTAGCTATAAAAATCAAGTAAACTGACCTGAAGATTATGGTATGCACCACTGTCCTCTGGAGGCGTTGGTTTACACTTGCCACAACAGAAGTTGCAGCAACAGCAACAACAGCAGCAACAATAACAGCCGGTTATCAGACCGCATATCACAAAGAACGCCTGTAAATGAAATATGTTGGATTATTTCATCATGTATTGATACCATGAAAGAATTTGAAGAGACTAATATAAGATACATTTACCTTGCACCAACCAGAAGTGACAACGAAATAGGCATTGACACTTTCCTCGCCAAATTGTTCAGCAACATAGAGACCCAGAGATCCATAATTATCATAAATGTTACGTTTTGTTAAATCCGTTAGAATCGTGTGTGCTCTGTTTATCTCTTTGAACTGGAATATAGTAGAAAGATTATATATATATTGTTACGTCTCGGCCCTCGTGTATACGTCATTCGCCCACTTATACCCATGGCCAACCCACATATATTGTTATTTACCGATGGTACTAGACAAGTACGCCAATCGATCAATTGCTTAATATAATCAATTCCTATGATTTATACTTATTAATTTACATTTATGCTTTGTTTTATATCCAGCTTATAATGTTGGAATCCTCAACTATGAATTACGTTATCTTATATACGACCAGAAAATGTTACGCTTATTATTCTATCAGGCATTATGTTCATAAAAAATTTTTCTCTTTAAATAAAAAATAAACCTAATCCTTATTATGTCTTTAAATAAAAAATAAACCTGAAGCTCCTCGAGACTATCAGTACTCGCGAGATGTCAGTTACAGAATTGGGAGACTCAGGTATGCAGCAACAGACAGATAACTTTTAAGAATCCAGAAATCTTTTGATTGAATCTAAAAAAATTAAGATCAGGCTTGTGAGAACCTGTTGCTGAAATCCTGCCTTACTACCTTAAGGCACGATTTTGTTAAACTTTTCTCGTTGCATGCAATGTTTGTTGAAATATCTGTCACTCTATCATATCTATATTTATCATAAGTCAAACTGTACTCTCACTCACAGGATAATAAATATGACACATACCGTTCCTTGTTCACTTATGATTATTATCATTTACAGGAAGAAAAGCATGAGCCATCCTCATTGATAAAATTAAACATTTACTGTTTTCAAATGGAAAAAGTGTAAGTTGAAAAATATAACTGTTTAAATTTATTATACAATTTGTCGTCAGTAGTGTTTGAATGTAATATTGATTTTATCTACTATACTAATATGTATATTTGAATGTGGATATACCTATGTATGACTGTCTCACATTTCTATAAAATATGTCTTATCAGCATGCAATATATTATAAATTAATCTATCTAACAATACCAAAATTGTCATCATTTAATTATTGATACAGTTAATGTTTGTATATTTTGTACATACTCAAGTTTTTAATATTCTTAAAATTATTAAATATTACCTTTTCAGCTGCTTCTGGATTATTAGGATTCTTATCGGGATGAAACCTGAGTGCTAGTTTTCTATAAGTTTTCTTAATCTCCTCAGGTGTAGCAGTTTTAGGGATTTCCAAGATTTGATACAGGGAATCCCCCGACGTGCTAAAATCCAGGATAAAATGATAAATTATTATCAAAATATTCCTTCTAGTTCATCAATACCAGGAAAACAATATCAACTACTGATATCCATTGGTCTTTGGCATTTTTCAAGCATAGTTACGAAAGAGCTCAAAAATTCTCTGAAGATATTTAAAACGATGTCCGCGCAAAATAAGCGTCAGTAAGAATGTTAACTAGCGTAGGAAGAAAATTCGTACGAAAATATCAAAGGTGGAAGAAAATACGCATTGTAGACACGATTGCCTATCTTTCCCTTTGACAAAACTCAGTAATCCAAAATAGCATGATATTCCGCAACATTTAATTCAGTGCAAGGAGCGACGTTCCGAAATGCGATTAACGTAAATCAAATAAGTAACATGGAAGTATTTAGGTCTGCTAAATGACAGAGCATTCGGAAATGACAGTGAGACATCCCCCATACTGTCGCCCATCCTAATACCCATTGACCGATCGCTTATGATAATCCTGAGTTCCCGATGATTGTTCACAGTTCATCGACAAAAGGATTACGTACAACAATGGGAGTTTGATAAGATTTTGTGGGCGTCGGATGCCAACAGGCAAAAAGGATATAGGCCATTGAAACAATTTTTGGCCAGTGCCTGAGATACTTACGACATTTTTCTTTTGCTCATGATGGGTCTGTGGACTTTTTATCACGGACCTTTCACAAGAGACTCACTGACACTAGGAATACAGTGGAAAACGCTTAATAGTTGATGCAAAATTCACAAGATGAACATCTTTTTCACGTGCTGCGTTGAAATACGAGCACCTGCTGCCGGGTAGTATGGCCTCACCGCTGAATCGATTCTGTACTTTAGTTCATCTTTTGAACACGCTAGAGAAGCGCCACCGGTCATTTTTGTACTGTGTTCCAAAAGATAGCGTCGTGCGATCTGTTATAAATTTATCTGTCCTTATCACCGTAATACCAAGAAAGATGCAAAGATATTTGATTTTTATCTGCGAGAGGTTTTTTGGAACACAGCTATGTACTGCGACGCCAATTCTTAAAGTTTATTAGTCATTGCGTACTTATCCTTTAACTTTATCAATAAGAATATAAGGTCCATCATGTTAAATGTTTGCCTTTAATATTACCTATTCGTGCTTAGATTTGCTTTCTTTTTAACAATTCTACGAACAAACCTTTTTACGATATATCAACCGTTTTAATCCCACATTGCGTTCACCATGGAAATTAAATAAAAATCCATGTAATAATGTTTAGTATGTACAATTTATATACTTATGCTCGTATATACATTACGTAAATACAACTTAGGAGTACGATACAACGATAGTGTATGTGCTCTTGGTGTTATGAAAAAGCCATATAGAACCGAATAACAAGAATCATGCAACGCGGTTGACAATCAAAATTTTCAAAAATCCTATCAACGCGATTGTTGCACTGTATTTTTTTTCACGGGACAAAGATTGATGAAAGAGATGAACAGCTGTAAAATATTGAACATCCATCCTGGTATAAATGACAATAATATCGTTGCACGAGTTCTCGTAGTTCTTGCACAAATTAATTAACAATATACAATAAAATATCATTTAATCGAGGTGTTAACAGTACGATAACGCATTATACAAATTGTTAAACAGCGACGAAACAAGCTATACAAAAGTACTTGTTGGAGAACTGCCATTCAAGTTGACGATAAATTTGTCAGTAACGTTATATTTATTATGCAACTTTACTCAATAAGAAAATAATAATCTTAGAGGATATTTTAAAAAACGATTCTTTCTTAACTTCATTCATTTTAACGATAAGTATAAATTTGTCAAAAAAAAACAGATAAAAAACGATTGTGTATTATATAACAAATTTATCGTCACTCCATCACTTTAATATTTGACACTCACACGTGCCTCACGTTATTTTAATATTACAATACCTTTTCCTAGTAGCATAACGTGCGACGCGCTTACAAATAGATTTCACAGATCATTGTTTGATGAAGTATTCTTCATATTAGGCTGACTATGCCATCCGTATAATTCTCATTGCAAGTTCATGAATACACTATACCTATTTTACATTCAGATTTTATCCCGTAGGTCTTTGGCAATCGAAAATATCCCATTAAAAACAGTCAATTTGACTTTCACGCACGTGAAGGCTTTTGGCATTTCCCTCATGTACAAAACTCAACAATCCTTGAAGATTCTCACCATTTATGTAAATCTTTAAACTAATATAGATATTGATGGGTGTAATATCCTTGCAATAGTTATCAGGCTGCCGTTTAACATACAGCATAAGATAAACTCTCAAGTAGTCGTAAGTGTCAAGTACGAAAAGTACCGAACACTTACGAACATCGAATAGAAAAATTCATGATATTCAAACGGTTCTCGCATAAAATCCGTCGAACGTTATGATAAAAAAAAAAAGATTCAACATTCTAAAGAGATCTCTCAGTACATAATATATACATAATATGCATACGAAAATCTGAGCTTCATTTTTTAACTTTTAAAAACGAGTTCATCATCAACGAAATTCTCATATTCCATATTCATATCCGTTGTTATTATAGAGATACGTTATTTCCGTATTCCCTTGAATTAGAAATTATCCATTTGTATACTTGTCATTCTAGAATGCAATTTGTGAAAACTCTTCACATTCTTCACAAAATACAATTGCACGTCACCCTAACGCGAAGAAAGAGCAATGAATCTTTCGCGGAATGCAGCCATCGCCGATTAGAAACAAGATCTAATTGGAGTAATTTTCAGTCATCTAATACATGAAATATTAGTTCAAGTACTGTATACGTGTCTTGACTACTTTGCACAGCTTTATGCAGGACTTGAATCAATTCGTTGTCCAAACTTTTCATGTAAATTGGTGGCAATCGCGTCCCTTCGCTGCCAGCTTCGTAACCCACCTAAATGCCATTATTTAAGTTAGAATCTTATATTCTTTCAATGAAGACCTTTGAAACTTACATTATCTGGATGTATGGTTGTTCTTACAGCAAGTTTCGTAAGACCTGCCGTTGCCAATAGGTCCAACAGTTTCACTAGTGCTGCACAAGTCGCACGTGCTATGTTTTCCGACAGTTTATTTATGTCTACCGGGTCGTGAACGCCAGTTGGATGGTCTTCAGACTTTAAGAATAAAATTTGAATATTAACATAAAGATTAAGCAATAATGCAGTAATAGCGCTTTAGTAAATTATACAACATGTACCCATACAAAGATAAACATTAGATAATACCTTTATAATGAATACTTCAGTCCATCGGATAAATCTGCTTGTTCCCATGTGATCAGTTCCGTTATGAACTCTTATCGATGGGATACCATCCATTGGCTTTCCATCGATAGGACTTTTGACACTGTAGATAAAAATATCATACAACTCTGGACAATGATTTTTAATAAGAACAAGATAAGCTTACCCCAGATTGAATTGTACATCATTGTCTACCCATTTGATATTAACAGTCTCATCCGGTTCAGGAGCTCCTTGTCGTCCACAGCCAATTGAGAAGTCCTGCATGTTTTTCAAGGCCGCTTTCAAGGCTTCCATTTTTTCTGGCATTATCTGAACCATGAGTCCATCCTCCACAATACTAGATTTCGCGGAAAGACCCATCGATGACTTTAACGCGCCATTGATAACAACAAAACTTGCACCGGTTACTAAAGAATTGTAAAAATAAAGGAATTGTATATAATACCATATCTTTTCCTTTAAATTCGCTATACATGAAAAATAATCTACACACCTTTTCTAGGTTTATTGTGAATATTGATTGCTTGCGTCTGATAGTTACTCTCGTCACTATCATCGCTTTTGTTTGTCTGCATGCAAACCAAATGCGAGTCAGCCAGGACGCTAAAGTTTGCAGCATAAGCCAATACATGATCATTAGAATTGTTCAGACCACGTATGACCTGGTCATATCGATTCCTTGGAAACATGACATCAGTTGTTCTATCCTGCATATGTATAGTCAGCCCACGTACACCGGGTAGAGTATAAGCGAAATTGCGGAAGTCAGCAAGAATCTTCATAATTGTGTGTCCAATCTCATAATATACAGCATCTCGAAAACGAACTGAGACCAGTGGACAAGGATAATAACGATACTCAGCACCTAAGCGTAAAACAAGTCGAAGAGGAAATACTTTCGCCCATGGCGTCTCCCACCTATGAAACAAAATAAAACGTACTAATGGTTGTCGAACGTTACGTCATAAGATTCTTTTATTGGATCCCACCTGTGAACGAGAAGACCTACGAGAAATGGCGCAGGAGGTAGAACGATTTTTTGTAAGCATTGGAATGTTTGTCGAATAAACAGAAATCCTGCGTGTTCTCGCGATCCTAAGAAATTCCCACCTTGATGTATCGATACACCAAGTTCTGTTATGGTATTGCCTAGAATTAATAATTATACAAGGTAACTATAAATTAACTTACTTAAGTAACGTCAATCAAATAAAATATTTACCTTTGATCGCCTCGATATATATTTGATTGATATGTATCAGAAGATCTTTAGGAATTTGTGTTTCATCCGGTAAAGTTTCTACCAATAATATCACTTCATCTTGTCCTACACAAGCAAGACCTCTCGACGTTACGTTCCAACATACTCTGTTGACGCAACAATTTACTGAAAATTTTCACAAGAGAACAGGATATAATTTTTGATTTAAAAAAATATTAATTAATAAAATTATAAAAAGCCTCTCGCTTAACACTCACAATTAGTTATCTTCACATAAGCATATAGGTTTCTATTAATTGCAAATAAGACTGGAGGTTCGCATTCGTTCTCCAATGATTTGTAAAGTCGAGTTTGGTCAAGGACATCGTGATAAGTGATTTCTGAAATAATAATCCTTAGCTGAAATTGTCTCATTAAATGGCCGCATCGTTACATATAGCTCATAATAAAGAATGATAAGAATAAGACCATAATTGATCCTATTAATTCCTTACGGCCTTTGTGTATAGTCACTGTCGGTGGTAGCACGTTTGGATCCTGAGGTATGTAACTATTCGTATTTGGATCCAGTGGTGGTAAATTCTGTTTCTTTCCCATAGACGATGTAGAGGATGGTCCTGGCGGTGTTGGCAGCCGTTTATTCCCTGGCTTTCGATAGGGGGGCTTCGGGTCCCAGGATGAGTCGAGCTCTGTCAGGTCACAGCCAGGCCTTATTCCTGTGTTTTAGTTAGAGGTGTGTCAAAACAAAACAAACGGGATGGGGCAGGGGCTGGCCACGTTCATTAGTCGTTCCAGGGGATTTCAAAAATAAAATATAATATGAAACATGGATGTAGGAATAAGAGAACACAAAAGAACTCAAGAAAAATATGTGTAAAATAGGAGTCTATGCTTGGCTTTGTCTAATAAATGAGTGTCATTGTCAGAATTATATTTATAAATAAGTAGACTTGCATAAAATATATAAAAATATCAAGCCAGCAGACAGAGCGCAAAAGTTATTCACATTCGAATTTCTCCGTGAGAATGGTAACGCAAAATGCGTAGTACCAATTCAGTCAACAAAGTGTAAAGAACGCAAGAATGTCAAGCAAACATATAATTGCTAAAAACAATTGCGTAATTAAAGACATCGGTTCACAGGTATATCTCTTCTTTTAATAAAGTCTGTTATCCAAGGACCATATGAGTTAATGTATAGAAAAACAAAATATGCGATGCGTCATTTCAGCACACGTGTCATTATAATCGCAACGTCCTTGCACTATAACAATCCATAGAAAGTTCGACTCATTGGCGCAGCACACATGATTAGTTTTAAATGTACTTATTAAAAAAAAATACACATTTTTACGTTTTGAATTGCCTTAGATTATCCATAGAAAACTATTTCTATCACTTTCAATTACATTATAGATTATTTTTCCCTTACCATCACTGAACATAACGGATTTCTGGCCCTCTGGACGTTGCTTCGTGCTACCCTCACGCTTGAGAACTCCAACGGGCACCATAACCGTGGGCGTTGGTGGTAGTCCACCAGCTAACTGTTGTAAAGGTGGTATTGTTGAACAGTACTCCATCGGATTATTTGGATTAGGCTGTCTCCCCTATAACCATTTGTCGAATACTTCGAACTCTTGCGTTTTTGTTCCTCATATAGGCACACCGATTCAGTCAGATTAACATGAACTACCATTGTGAAGAAATAATTATCTAGCACAAGTCTTCGCACTGAAGCTTTTTCATACTAATCGATATCATGCTTCGCTACTGATTATAATCTCAAATTACTGAGATGAGTGCATAAAAGATTTCATGTTTGCTCATAGTGGAGTATTAAGACAATTAGCAGAACTAAGAATTTAGCGAAGTAGATTGTAAGGAAACATCATATATAATAGAAGAGCTAGAAACTTAAAGTGAAGTAAACTTAAATTGACTGAATAAAGATAAAATTTGATTTTAAATTATTCTATTAACCCTATATGTTTGCAGTGTATTTTAGAATAAAAATGTAAGTGTAAGATATTTGCACTTGAATCATGCCAAATCAATCAGTATTATGCAAGAGAGGAGGTATTCAACAAGTTGTTACAGATACAGACATGCATATGCTATTACTAATATAAGTAGAAGCAAAAATAGATACCACACTCGTTTATTAAAAAGTGGTGTAGTAAATTCATTAATGAGGAAGGAAACGGTTAATATCTTTCATTACCACGTACAAAAAAATCCATAATAACACAGAAGTCATGCTTGTACAGTTGATTAAGCAAATCATTTTTTATCGCAATTAATCCCATAACTTTTTCTTCTTACCTGAGGTGAATTTATACCATCACCACCGTTGCCACCATAGCCAACGGACCAGTCTCCGCCACCATTTTCATTTTCAGCTAAAATAGGAAAATAACGAAACATGTTTACACAATCTTTATGCACACTTTATCATACGCGTGGATAAGATACGTTCGAGCACTGATTGCCTAGCAAAAAACAACTCTGTACTTTCTGTTAACAGTTTTCACAATTAACAGGTACTGATACCAAATGTGCCATATACATAGGATTAATGTGGATGAAAATTTCTCACTGAAGGTATGACACAAAAGTCATTTTCAACGAGTTAGATAAAAGAAATTATTAAGGGATATCATAAGTATAATCATCACCTTTTACAAGTTGCTGATAACATGGAAGGCAAACGCGGGAATCTACATTGCCCTGATATTCAAGTCTGTATTTCATACCGCAGCATTTGCTGCACAATACCTGCAAGTAGAAAAATAATTATCGATAATGGTTAAACTATTATTAATTACACAATCATTTTTCAATATTAAATAATTTATAATTTTACACATTAGCAAAATTACTTGTGGCAATTACTATTACCTTGCCACAAGCACGACAATGATGTCTTCTCTTGATCACAGTAAATTTAACGTCGCATAACATACAATTAGGCGCGACGCAATCAGGAACCCAAAAAGGTGGTTGTTTGCCCAGAACAATATTAGCTTCCATGGAAGAATTTTCTGAAGCTTCAGGAGAGCCCCCTTGACCTTGATCCGTTGCCTCTCCTTCGGTATCAGCTTGTTCGTGACCACCTGGAGTAACACCTGGAGATCCTAAAAAATATTATTTTCAATTTACTTATATAATTTTTATTCTAAGCATTCTTACAAGTTTAATGATAATGATTAGACATTAAATACTTCGTTGAGCAAGTATATAAAATCACTGAATATTTCTAATTAATTTTAATTTTTAATTTCTAATAATGTTATCAGTTCACCAGGACTGACGTTATTGGAATTTCTATACATAGCTGTAATAACGCACAAGGGTGGAGAATGGACGGCAACTCAATTGCATTGCAAGATCTAAATCCGAATAGTTAAGATTATCATCGCGTTGGAAAATATTCTCTAATGAGGCCACAGTTACCAAACGAAACTATGTTACTGAAATCTTTGAACCATATGTAGAGATAAGAGAAGAACGTATACGCAGCAAATGTACGTACACAGTGGCGCAGTGGAATATTTATCAAATTAGTCATAGTTCAGGCACGGTTAGATTGCCATTACGTTGTAAAAATGCCGTTGGTTTAGTTTATTTATAACAAATAAAGCCGTAAACTTTAATCATAACATAACAATGGCATAAAAGCCAAGTATTCCTGGAAAGAATGTACAATTCTTTCAACCTGTAAGTGTAACGCGCATTCAAATGGTACGCTGTCATATGTAATTAAAGACCAGAAAGTGCATTATATCTCAATTTCTTTTTTGTCAACGTTCTAGTAATAATTATTTAAAAAAATTATATTTCATACCAATAGTAGGTGGCTGTTCATCCATATTAACGGATGAAATGATATCCAATGTTTGTGGACGGGATGGTTTGTCAGAATCTTCTTCGCTGCTGTCAACGTGTTCTCCATTGATCTCCAGATTCTCTGATGGATTTGATGTACCTGCTTCAGCGGTATTGTTATCTGTAGTTCCTTCTGCGTTGTCTTGGACGATATTATTATTGTCTTCAACAATTAACGAAGTGCTTGCCGATTCTTTATTGTCTAGATTAATACTCGATACAGTGCTTGGTTTTTCAATAATGACATTTTCTTCAGTTAAATTAGAAAAAGGTTCTTTGCCGCTAATTTCAATATTACTATTGGTATCTGCAATTTTTGTTTGTTGCGAATTACCAGTGGTCAACGATTTCTCGTGAGGATCTTGGCTATGTAATCTTTCAGATTGTTCGGATATTTTCTCATTCTGAGATTCCGTATTAGTCTTCTCCAAATGAGTTTCCTTTGTTTTTGATATGATTTCGGTTGGTTCTACATTTTTTTCGTCTTCTTGGGAAGCGTTACTGTTCATCACGTTAGGTTCCGTGTTGTCTGATGTTTTTCCCATCTTCTCGTTGGTCCTTTTACTTTTTCTTTCTTTTTCCTTGTTCTCCTTTGCCTCGGAAATAACTTTTGCAGGTTCGTGAAATTTTTCCAATCCTTTCTTCGCTAAAAAATCGCTGGATACTTCACCACTGGGACCGCTTTTGCTGTAATCGATTACTGGAAACTTCTTGGCCTTTTGTTGAAGTTCCTCTTCTGAAACTTCCGGTAATTCGCCTATTGTGACGCTCTCGAAAATCGGCGCCTCATTCGCATCTTCGTCGTCATGACGATTTTGGAATTTACTCTGCGTGAAATTCTCAATTGGATCTACGTAAAGTCCAGCAGCTCCTGGTAACGTTGAGTTCTCATATAAAGCGCTTTCTTCCGCTGCTCTTTCTTCAGCTTCTAGTTCTGCTAAATATTTATTTAATTCCTCTTCAGATAAATCATCAATGTGACTGAAACCTACCGGTTTGTGTTCTGGTTGAGGCGCTTTAAGATGTACGTTTTTAAATATTAGTTTTGTTGAACTAATCGCCTTAGCTTCCGCCTCTATACTTTTCTGATTTACATAAAGATGATCTGCCATCTTCTTTGCTGCAATTTCTAATTCTGTGGTGGTTTCAGGCAGAGTTTCTCGGTTACCAATGTAAATACATTCGTAAACATTTTCTTTATCATTACTCAGCACCTTGTTTGGTTCACCAAAATCAACATTTTCATAAGTATGTCTTGTTTCCGCTTGGTCTCTCGATTCTTTATCCTTTGGTTTTGTTTTATTGACAGTCGCGTACAATTCTTGAGTCTTTGGAATGTCTGTACCAATATACACATTTTCATAAACGTGCTCTGGCCTATCTATTATACTTTCGGGGTCAACTGACGTTCTTTCTGCCACTTCCGGTAGAGTTACGTTTGTATAAACAGGATTCTTACTTGGTGCTTCAATACTTTCGGGTAAAGGTGTATCGTCTGTTATCGTGTCCTCCTCAGATCCGGTCGGTTTATCAGCAACTACAGTATCCAATTTTACTGGCAATAGTATGTTTTGATATTTAGGTGGCACTGTGTTAGTTATTTTTATGACGCTCGTGCCAACATCGGATATCTCTTCGATTTTTGCGATTTTTTTATCAACAGATTTAGTTACGTTGCCATTTTTAACTGTGATTATCGTAGGAGCTTCGACAGTGGCAGTAGTCTCCTGCGGTACACTATCTTCCGTATAATCTTGACTACTTATTGCATCGTCTACATAATCCACACTGGCGCTTGGTGCATTTATGTACTCATTGAGACTACTAAACACATTGCTGACACTGGGTTTAATATTGGATTGATTTAATTTTTTATCATAGCTGTTTTGTATCTTCGTGGCTGAATTATCATTATGCCTTTTTTGCAATAACTTCTGTGATATGTCATTATGTATTGTCAAAGATACTGGATCTGTATCATGGATGTCAAGAGGCTGTTTTGCTTGGACCTTCTCCGTCTCATAGTCATGTGTGTAAAAGTGATTCGTTGAATCAGTTAATTCGAAGGGTTGTTGCTCTCCTTTAAGAATGTCTAAGTCATTATGTTTAATCTCATTTTCAGTATAAGATGTTTTTCTGACAATACTTATTGCCTGATTTTCACTATATTTTTCAGAAGATAATGACACATCACATTCAGTATCAGCTACTGCTACCGAGTCATTGATAGATTTGTCATATGACTTTGAGACCGAATTCTGTGAACTGGATTTATTACCCGATGAAGTAACATGGTCATCCACAGGAGCAACGGATGCAATTTGTTCTGCTTGATCTGCAATGTGACAATGTTTTTGCCCTAAGGAAACCAAGGCAGCTATCTAAATAAACACAAAGACTCTGTTTCATTTACCTTCATTGAATTCAAATTCGTCGAGCACCTTGTCTAGATCAACAGCGAATTTCTCCATTGTCAATCGGCACGTTGATTATTCCAAAATTAACGTCATTTACAAAACCACGGATTATTCACTCTTTCGAAACGAAACACACGGTGCTGCCATAATTGAATGGTAATGTAAAGTTAATGACAGACTTCCTAAAGAGAATATAATTTTTAACAATAATGTCGTACAAGTAGCAAAAAATGACTAGTCAAATACGATTTATCGGCTGAATCTATTCTGCCACATTCCACTGACAGGATCAATACGATCGGTGACAATTAATAAGACTATTTTATAGATATATTATTGAAACAATCAATAAAGAAAACATTGTTTTTTCGATAAATATAATAATTCAGTGACCTGACAATAGTTAAACGAAAAAATTTTCTGAACACTCGGAAGCCCACAGAAAGAAATATGAAAAAACTTTTTCAAATAACGAACTATTTTTGCGAGAGATATAAAGTGAACAATCTGAAAATATCACGAACTTTCTGAGGTTGGTACTCGCAGTGATAATTGACGACGTAGATAGAAAAAACCGAATTAATTCGCGAAATTATCATATTTTACGCGACGTCACAGCGCCATCTTGAACTGTACTATTCCATTGAAGGCATTTACAAAGATGGCCAATCTTGTACTGTTTTCCAGAGATGAGTAGGGAGATACACAACAGAGATGAGCAGGGAGATGCACAACGCTACGATTTTAGGCGGTACCAAAATCGTGGCGCTAAATCGTAGCGGTGAGCCCGGGAGTAGGATCTTGTGATCATTGCCTCCGTCGACAATGCATATCCCGTCGTAGCCGAGCTGACCGCGATCACGAACGTGTAGCTTGGCGAACAGAGGCTCTTCGCAACTTGCCGCTGGTTCTCAGAGCAGAGATGAGCAGGGAGATGCACAACACTACGGTTTTCGGCGATACCAAAATCATGCCGCTAAATCGTAGCGGCAAGTCTGGAAGTAGGATTCTGTGATCATCGACTCCGTCGACAATGCAAATCCCGTCGTAGTCGTGCTAAACGTGAACACGAACGCGTAGCTTGGTGGGCAAAGGTTCTCCGCTACTCACCGCTGGTTCCCAAAGTAATCCTTAGAACGAGACCAGGAACTATAAAACTTCTCAAGAACTATTGAAAAAGTCTATTGTTGAAATATTTTTAAGATATTTTTAAGAAAGTGCGGTGCCAACTCGACACCCGTGTAGCACCCCAATTATTGAAAAATGATTCATCAATAGGCTTTTTCAATAGTTCCCGAGAAGTTCTATAGTTCCTGGTCTCGTTCTAAGGATTACTTTAGGAACCAGCGGTGAGTTAGCGGAGAACCTCTGTCCGCCAAGTACGTGTTCGTGTTCGTTTTGCATCTCCCTACTCGCCTCTGCACAACGCTACAGTTTTAATCATCTCTGGTTTTATGTTTTGTCAATCCAAAATGAAATTTTTGAATGATGAATACATATAGACAAAAATAAGCACAGTTGAAGAACAGCATTGCGGTCTTCATCTATAACATTGAACTATAATTGCAGTTTAAGAGCAGCAATCCTTGGATTTGTTGATAATACAGACAACACATAGTGTTCGGCATCTTCCTTATTCAGTGTTTTGATAAATGATTATATAGTAGAGAAAAATTATTCCCTGATAATATTTACCATGTAGTTAATACTTGTTTCTTTGATGAAAAAAAAAGTTTCCTTCATTACCGACTTAGTATACATAAACAGGGTTTAAAGATTGTTGCACTTTATATTGTATTGTTTTAACAAGCATTTATTAATTACAGCGCAGTATTGAACGATTTTAGATTGACAAAAGTAACCTCTACTCAATATCAGAATTTGCAGTCGTATTATGCTTAATCGGAGGCACAAAACTATTCGGTGCTGAACGTTGTTTTCGTAATTTCAAAGAAAAGGCTCTACGCAAAATACTCTGAAAAGCTCTTCTGAGCTCCCGACTGCTGCATGCATAGATGAAAGGATTGATGCAACTGTTGAAATATCCCAGCCAAAATGCGAAAGTGAATATCGCACTTTCAGATAGATTACAGCTCTCGCATGCTGCATCTGAAAACAAATATTCGCAGATCTCGCATGAATTTTGTATAGAACGACGAATTCTCACGTCTATTTATATTGACTTTGTCACTTCAGAACTCTTTGTTTCGCATCAGTATTCTGTCTTCATTTCCCGTATCCGTATCGCTTTGATTTAACATTTATGATTCTCCGCCACGTTTAATATTCACAGCCTATACTACTTGTTATTTCTATATTCTCGCTTAGTATCAGTAAGTGCTTGTAAAACCATGTAGTCCAAATATCGAGTAGTTACATCACTCAATGTCTAGGTTATTTTTAACGCTAGATCCAAAATGCTAAACATATTTTCAAAATTCATCGAATAAATTCTCCGTTGTGTACAGATAATATCAATTAAATTTCTACGTGCTCTATCATTGCAAAGCAACTAACTTTTCAGTGTATGAAATTCACTGGGATATTACCTCTACGCCTATGCAAATATTTACTCCAATGGTCGATAAACTCTCGCCTACCAAAGTCATCGAAAATATAGGCATCCTCACCTATAGGTAATATGACGAAGAATGGAAACCAGCATAGAAGAAAACCGCCAACAACAATTCCCAATGTTTTTGCAGCTTTTTTCTGTCTTCGAAATTTCGCAGCTGGACCACGACAAAGTGGGCCGCCACGTCCTTGCGATGCCCAGCGTCTAGGTGGACCAGGGCGAGATACCAATATAGTACTTGATCCATCTTTACGTACATTGCTTTTGGTAAGCTGTAAAATATAACAAAAAATAGATAATTATATATCATTCAATATAAAACCTTTTTTTTAAATTATCATATTTTATTACAGATATTCAAATTTTTAAGAAGGACGGATATCTGAGTCATGGATTTGCTTTGTCATCTGTATCACCATACATTGAAATTTATTGCATAATCATCACTTCGGATTTGTAGATGATCTCCGAGAGATAGCCGATATTTTTATGTTGTTTTCCCATTCAATTATACAATCCTTGAGGAGTATGTTTTGTCGTCCTCTACAAATTGCCATGATCATGTTAATAGACATTGATAGGTCTTCGACCTCTCATTGGGGGTTCTTGTGTAGTCACTTTAAATAGTACACTTCCCTGTACACTTTTACCTTCCTGTATAATTTTTGTTGTAATTTTTATTCTACTCTACGTCTTATCCTCCATTGCTACTTTTGCTTTCAATCCACTCGTGACTCTACAAAGTTTAATTCTTTGTAAATAGCAACGTGGTTCTTATAAAATTAGCACTTTTACTAGGGTAGTATTGAGTAATTCAATACGTTAGTGCTTTAATAATTTACCCTCGGTGGCATAATTGCCAGTTGATTACAAAGTTTCAAAAAGTTGTTTTAATTCACAGTGTACTACTGTTCTTTGGTGAACAACGATTGTGGTTTAATAGAAACAAAAAATTGTACTAAATTGCACTGCAATTATTGAGAAAGAAAAATAGTATATAATACCTATAATTTAGGATGCGTTGATCCCACGCCTTTATTATTTATTAATGCTATTAATTCGATATTCATTTCTACTTCTCTATTAATTTTTTTTTATTCATCTCAGGCGAGTGAAGGAGAGCGTTCCGCAATACTATCATAATGTTATTATGATCGTCAAGCAGCATTCGCACATATTCGAGACGCAAACTGCTACATTTGCATAATTTCATTGCTATGTATGTAGGTCAGCGGACTTATTTTAGCACGCACTTGTATCCTTATTTATTTTTTTCTTAATTTTGTACATATAATTATTGACTATTGTTTACAATTACCAATTTTCTGTTACAGCCTATATATTATTTGTACGTACCGTCCGTAACCTCAATGGAAATTATTCCTAGCATTGTCTATCGTATTATAAGACACTGATAAGTAGGTAATAATGTTCTGAGCGAAGATATATTTTTTCTTTAACACCAGGTAGAAAGTAATATCGACGCCACTTGCCCGTACACTGGGAAAACTTATTAATGCCGGTACATATATTAGAAAAATAAATGATGAGCTATTCATAATACTGACTGATGCAAGAACTAATAGCAACTCACAGCGTGTGATGCGTACACAGGATATATGTACATTTAAATAAATCAATTTAAAATAACAAAATTTATAATAGTTGAGAAAGTCTATTGTGCATTGTACTTGTCGAAATACAAAGAAGTTCAGCCGTATAGTATATCGTGATTCATTGTACTCCGTAAGTATTAGAAGTAAAAATTTCAAGTCTTTTATTCTTTCCTTAAAATTTGATCGTTAAATAAAATCCCTAACATAGATTTTATCTTTGATTGTTCTTGAAACTTCGCGCTTTAACGGATACATCTTGTCCAGCGTGTTCCTCTATTTCTCTTAATTAGGTATTAAGCCAAAGTTGCATTCGAGTCTGCTGTGTTCACTTTACTGGACGAGTTTTACTACTTACGAAGGATATCAAGTTAAACTGTTAAGTAACAATTATAAAAGGTGGCAAAGAACCTTGCATTCGGATGGCCTTCATAGTTTTTCTTTCGCTCTTATCCCAGTGACCAGTCGTGGTCAGTCAGTTTGAATTGTTCAGTGGTCGAAGTGCCATCGGTTCGAGATGACGTTGAGTGAAAAGAATTATCCAGTAATTTATTTTTGAGCGGGAAAATTAAAAAAATTGTTTATAGACCGTATGGAGGGTGCGACTTTAAGTGAAATTGAAGGAATATAATAGAAATATATAATGGGAGATTGTGTTGAGTAAGTTGGAATTTAAAAGCATTTTCTTTTTCTTTTCTTAGATAACATAAATCGTAAAGTGGAATTACTTGAAACAAAAGAAAATACTTAACGGGTAATTTGCACCTTGATAATATGGGTTCTATAGTATCGCTTATGATGTAATGACGAAACGTGTTTACAAATTCCAGCTAGCGTTTAATCCACTTCATTCATGTATCGCAATTATAATATCCTATATTCTCGTGAAGTGATAATGACTATTTAATGATTGATCTACATACTATATAAATTATGTATACAGAAGTAGTTGGTTGCGAAGATATGTACTGATACTTTTCTAACTGCTTTTAAATGTCTTTTCTAAATGCTTTCAAATGTCATCGTGATATACGACAGTTTGGAATAAATATTCTGTATGATTGAGTATAAAGTTATTTCCATTATACATAGCGTCGATAGAATGTTATTTGTTCAATAATTCGTATTGACTATACCGATAAGTAATGTCAACGTCACGTAACATCAACTTTGAAACTTTACACTTTCGTCTAATAAGGGTTATATTGAACCGGCTAACGTCTACGTCAAGGTTTTGCATAACAGGGAGTAGTAGGGTTAAATTCAATTCCATAAATTTAACGTTTCGACGGAAACCCTAAAATTTCGAAGGTTACTTTCCCATTTAGTGGAACAGGATATTTCTTGTGAATGATAAACTTCATTTGATATGTAACAAACAAGCGACAGTAACCGAAATCAGTGTTGTCGGATAAAAATATATTTAAAAAAACAAAAGGTACGAGGAAAAGTATCTTTCGTTCGACCCTACACTCCATGTGGAACTTATTGGTCGATCATACCGTTATATAGGGTCATTCAACTGAAACTATCTCCGTAATCAGTGAACGAGCTTTGGTGCATACCATTGAATAAAATTTGTCCCTAAACCAGTATTGGAAACAGCCACTATCAATGGACAATTCCTCCCACACGTTGAGAATAATTTTAATATTCACGTAGCGTCTATCAAGTTTATACGCAGGCCTTCATTGCTATTATTTCTTTGTTGGCAGTTGGCAGTAAATTCGACATAATCAATACCAGGATTTCCTGTATGAAAAAGGAGACGTATTCCTTGAAGGAAATTCTGGGAGCCTACAAAATCCTGCAGAAAATTAAGAAATAATTAAAAAAAAAAACATCGTTAAAGTATAAAATTAAGAATAGAAATAAAAAAATGGATAAAATTATAATTAAAATTTTGAGAATCTTACTGTTGCTTTTTACAATATCAAATTCTGCTGAATCAACTATTCCAGTTGGTATTTTGGAGAATATCTATAAGTACTATACAGGATCTCCTCCGCTATCAAGAGGACGTGTACACGATGAACAATCTATAGCAAAGGAATACGATTTTATAATAATCGGTGCTGGTTCGGGAGGTTCCGTTTTAGCTAATAGATTGACGGAAATTACCGAATGGCAGGTTCTCCTCATAGAAGCTGGCAAAGACGAAATATTCTTAACGGACATACCATTGCTGGCCTCGACAATGCAGATTACTGCCTACAACTGGGGTTATAAGACAGAGCCACGTGCCAAGAACGCAGATGGAAATGGCGGATACTGCCTTTCGATGACAGATGGACGTTGCAATTGGCCACGTGGAAAAGCAGTCGGTGGTACGTCCGTTATCAATTTTATGATGTACACCAGAGGATCGAGAGCTGATTATGATTCCTGGGAGGCCCAGGGTAATCCTGGTTGGAGTTACAAGGACGTGCTTCCCTATTTTTTGAAATCTGAGAACAGTAAACTGGAAAAATTTGATAAAAGATATCACTCAACCAATGGGTACCTGGACGTGACTTACTCTCCATACGTATCCAGATTACGTGGACCATTCCTGGATGCTGCGAAAGAGATGGGCTATACTGTGAATGATTATAATGCTGAGAAAATCCTTGGGTTCTCAGTGGCCCAGGCGAATCTTCGTCATGGTCGTCGGGTCAGCGCTTCAAAAGCTTTCCTGAAGCCAATAAGAAATCGTCCTAACTTTCACATATCCAAATTCTCACGTGTCATGAAAATCGTTATTGATCCTGATACCAAAACAGCTGTGGGTGTAGAATTTGTCAAGGATCGTCGTACATACTTCGTCAAGGCTACCAAAGAGGTCCTGCTCTCGGCGGGTACGTTAAATTCGCCACAACTTCTTATGCTGTCTGGAATTGGACCCAGGGAACACTTGGAGTCCTTGGGGATCAGGGTTCTGGAAGATCTACCAGTGGGATTAAATCTGCAAGATCACGTCAGCATGTCTGCTCTTACGTTTCTAGTCAATGATAGTATCACTATAGTGGAACCTAGACTTGCTTCGAATCCTGCTAATACAATAGACTACTTTACAAAGGGTGCAGGACCCTTGACCGTGCCTGGCGGAGCAGAAGGATTAGCTTTCATAGATACTAAAAGAGCGACACGTCATAGAACAAGACGAAAAAATTCCAAATTTTCATATTTTCCAAAATTTACTCAAGACAGATCTTTCGAGAATTATTTCAACTCGAATTTCAATTCCATATCAAGTAGTACGAAATTTTCGAATTTTCCATCACCACCGAACGCAACCTCAATTACTGTTGATTCAAGTTTCTCCAAAATTCCTAAACCAACTGGTCCATCTATCGAGAAGGATGATCCTGACATTGAACTTGTTCTGGGACTCGGTGCTATGACTGGCGATGCATCGGGAAGTATCAGGGGTCTACTGGGACTTTCTGATGAATTTTACAAGGAAGTCTTCGCTGCCTATGATGGATTCGATGCATTCAGTATTGTACCTATACTTATGCATCCTAAAAGTAGGGGAAACGTCACTTTGAAAAGTTCCAATCCATTTCACTGGCCCGTACTCCAAGCTAATTATTACGACAACGAGGAAGACTTGAGAATCATGGTTCGTGGAATCAGGAAGGTATGCTGCGGTTTTATGGAAATTCACTTTAAACTGTTACTATATTGTTGCAAGTATTTGTCACACGGCACCAACTTTTTTGCGCTATCATTTATACGTGCACAAATCAAAATTGAGTAACGATGCAGCACAAAAAGCAGCCACTCATTAGAATCCCGAGAGAAACTTTTGAAATTAAATTTTAACATTTAGTCAACGAGTAGTAAACGTCTCAGATCAAACTTACACGTACAATTACTCTTCTAACGATTTTGTAATATTTGGTTACGGTTTTGGGCACGTTGTGCCATTCTCCCAAACGTTTTTCAGTAGCTCTTTATCCCCTTCTCTGCTATCTCTACCACATTCTTTCCATTTGTCTCTATCTATATAGAGCTTTCCCTCATTGGCGAAAAATTGCATCACGTAAATAAAGTTTCACATTTCACTCACCAATGTTCAATAATTGGATTCACGAATTAATAAAGGCCGAGTCCTATTTTCTGATTTCTCGATTGAAGTGTGTCCGTTACGTCATTTACATCATTCAATTAATTATATTCTAAAACCATAGGCATAATAGAATAGAGAAAGGGTCAGAAAGACCTTCCTGTAATCGATCCCACAAACTCCCTATATACTCCAATCGGATTTAATTAAAATTGTATACATATAAACAAATTATTTAAATGTATAATAAGACTTAATAAATTTTTTCTAATTACAGGCTATAGAATTGGCATCAACAAATTCTTTCAAAAGATTCAATTCGACCCTTCTACCAGTAAAATTCCCAGGCTGCAAGGATTTGCCATTTGATTCGGATGCTTACTGGTCTTGTGTATCACGTCACATCAGTACGACCTTGGGTCACTTTATCGGCACTTGTAAAATGGCTACACGAGAAAATGATGGTGTAGTAGACAGCAGACTTAAAGTACATGGAATTAAGAGACTGAGAGTAGTGGATGCGAGTATCATGCCGACAATCATAGCAGGACATACAAACGCACCGACTATCATGATTGGAGAAAAGGCGAGTGATATGATTAAGGAGGATTGGAGGGGCATTACGTGAATCTTGTTATAAAAATAAAAGGGGTCAAAGGTCATGGTCAGCCACCAAGGTGAAATTCTTCAAAACCTAAGCAGACAATCACTGTAATAGGACGCCATAATATGTTCAGAGATTCATTTCGAAGGTTAAGAGATGATACCTAGAATTTTGTAGAATTCGAAAAGATTTCATATTCCACGGTTTTGTTTTCCGTTGTATCCATTAACGAGTTGACTGTATTTTTAGGCATTTAAAAGTTGTACAATACAAGTTAGCATATATCAAAATGACTTATATATATAATTAATAAGTATTCATACATATTTAAGATCGTCTGTTAAGTATTATATTTATAATTAGATCTACCTTACCTTGTTACCTCGGTGTATACGCAGTGTCACTTGACTCCTGGTCACGGCTCCTGCATCAAGGAATTGAGATCGTCTAGCGGCTGCTCTATAAACCAGTCCGTATAGTACCAAGATGACAAGGGCAGGTAGATAAAATGATCCACAGGTAGAAAAGATGACATAGCTAAATGAACAATGATTTTCAAATGATTAATTAAAAACAATTTACGATATATAAAACAATTCGATCCTACAAACCCAAGCTGTTTATTCACGTTACACTCTCTGGTTTCCGATACGTAGACACTTTCCTGTGCCCATCCTAAGGGTGGACCCGCACTAATGGCCAGTGCCAAAAGCCAAATAGTAGCTATAGTCGCCCTTACCCTTCTTGTCGTGACCACACGAGAGTAAGAGAGTGGTCTGGACACACCGATGTACCTTAGAAAAACAAAGTTGTCCAAAATGTTGTATTCTTGTCACAAAGAAAAATCGTACCATTTCATTGTATTCCACTTGCTTGCTATATGGTCTTACCTGTCTACTGAAATTCCACATAGCGACAGAATGCTGGCTGTACAACAGAGAACATCGAGTGCTGCCCACAAGGAACAAGTAAGTGGTCCCAGACCCCAGCTTCCTCTGAGTTCTCTGCTAGCTGATAATGGTAGCACTGTTAATCCTGAATGAAAATTGTTAAAATTATTTTTACTTCAATCGGTAGATCATCGGACGATGATGAATTTTCGTAAGAACAAACCCAGTATAAGATCCGCACATGCCAGATTCACTATAAGAGAATGCGTTGGCGCCCGCAGACTGGGACTGGACGCTATAGCAGCTATGACTAGTGTATTTCCACCCACGGTAAGAAGAATTACACTGAGGAGAGCCAAAGCCTCAAGTGCTAGGAGAGGTTCCTGATGAAAGAGACAGAGAAAAATAGAGTGAATGACTGGCTTAAGTGTGTACGCCTGATCACGCTGCATAGAAAGGTGTTGACATCTAGGAAAGGACCCTTGCTACCAGACTATGTATACTACAGTGCAAACGATCAATCTTTTCCAAAAGCAACAGATTGATCCTATCAATGCTAGTGATCGATGCAGTTACAACATGTGGTAGCAGGAGTAACAAAGCTACATGAGGAAACCTTCGATCAATAATATCGAGGGACTTTCATGACACTTACGGTTAACGCCTTATCTAATGTTAAAGCTCACCTTCACGACCAGCAGCCAGAAATTCTCATTAGGATTGATAACGGTCGACGAGGAACAGCTGAGATTCATGAATTCGATAATATCCAACTTATCGATAATCGTTCGATTCGTATTAAAGGCATCCTCGTAACCTTGATAATTTCTTTGGCTTTCGTTATCATTGAACCTTTCGATATATTCACATCTCGTCATATTGAAAAGTTAACCTTTCATCAGTGAATCTACCATTAGAAACCGCTTAGAACCCTCGTCCTTTTGCTCGAACCTTCCACGAAAATTTCCCAAAGGTATCCGGTGTCATCCCAACGTTGCCTGACGTTTTTATGAAGTCCCGTCGAGCTTTCTTATGTAAAGATCCCAATACCTAAAAGATTCTCCTCCATCCTGGACGTTTCGCGCGTCTCCCAAAAAATGGGTATCCTCATCGCGGATGGCTGTTTTATACAGGAAATATTTTTCATTTTTGATCCATTTCTTCAGACCGTCCATACTCCGTGTCCCAAGATAACAGAAGACACTGGCTCCTTATTTGGAACGGTGAGAGAGAGAGAACCGTAAAAAGAAAGAAGAAAATGTCATGTGATGATAAATGAAGGAAGATAATGGGCATACATACGGAATTACCAATTTCATACCATTTTTTGAGGATATTCAGGTAATCGAGGAAGCTTGAGACTCTTGAGCTCGTCCTTTGATCTTTCCTACTTCAACTAACATTTGTTATACCGGAGAGAAGTAAATTATCGTTTTCTTATCCACTTTATCATTTTCTACTCGTGCAATCCCCAGAGAGTTTTCACCTCTGAAAAAATTAAATGCTCATTAATTTTCGCGCTCGAGGAATTTCTACTGTGTTTTTTTTAACGCAAGGATAAAGGGCGTTTCTGAAATTAAAAAGAGGAACGAAAGGAATTCCCATGTCCCTGTTCCTTCCTTCTCATCCGAGGAAGAGCCGAAAGGAGAGTCCGTTAATTGCAGTTATTAAAAATCTACAATTAAGTAAATCCTCCAGCTAATTAAATGCTTCTGGTAATTTGTAAATAGGTACAACAAAAGAATTCGTCCTTCTCCCTTCATTCGTGTAATATGAAATAAAGGAATGCAATATTACCGAATCGTCATCACCAGTAATATATACGGAATAAGTACATAAAATAAACATAAAGCATAAAATTTTATTTTAACAATATCCCCACATAGCATATCGATAAAATTTCTGATTCAATTCAATTGCCAGTGTTCAATCATCCAAGATAGATTTTTTAACGAACGATCTTCTCCGTTATCGCAAAAGGAAGACGCGATGTGTATAAATACGAAGATAAAAACGAGAAAAAGAAGGTTGAACTAATTGAGTCGAAAAGAAAAATAGGAAGGGAAGCATACAAAGGTAGATTAACGTTTTCGCCTAAAATGATGGGATTCCTGTCGACGGTTTCAATGGCCTTAAACCACTGGTTCCCAGCATCCGTGTTGTCTATGTAACAGTTAATGTGTTATACATATATACAGGATATACGTATATATATCGGCAATCACACCATTAGCGCGACCCACGCCATGCTTTTACTGAAGGGTGTTATAACGATTTATCCCAGCTGTAATTTTCGCTATAAAACGTAACTTTGCACAATATTTTGCCCACACTCCCAAATACGCTTAACTCGGACAGATTTAATATTTTCATATGACGCGGGAGAAACACACAAAAGAATATAGGACACATTTCAACATTTTTAACGGGATTATTACGGTTAAGCGTTATTCGATAACATTAAAAATGGAAAGATTAAGAATTCCCTCCGACATCCAATTCGACAAAGGGTATCGGCTCATTACTCTAGCAATCGATACGTCTATCCTTGTCTTACGCAGGCGAGTCCCCACACCTTCGTCTCACTCGCACTCACGGGCGGTATACGAAAATTCTAAAGTCTTCGTCATTTCTTATACAGGCCTACTATTCGCGCATAACACGTAACTTTAATGTCTGGTAGCTGCTCATTGTATTGTTCAAACATAATGATCGCATAATGCTCTCAATTCTAAGTGGAGTACTTTAACTTTGATTATCCTATATAGATACAGTTTTGATAAATTGAACACCAAGTTTACTTAATGAACGAGGTAATTAATTAGCAGTTTCGATAAAAGTATTTTTTTTCGACAAACGACCCCTTCAAAGTAAAAGTGAGTTATAGCTCAAAGTAATAAGAAGGTAGAAGGAGATACACGTTTTTTTTTTCACCTTCTATTACAGGTACGACAGACAACATAAGTAAGCCTACCTAAACGTAATTTATTTATGACGTAATAGCTTCCACCTGGTTCTGTCATTTCGTTTCGGTAATGTAATACATATATATATACACACATACATGTACATACATACATATATATATATATAAGGGTCCCTGAATTTCCCTTTGCTAGCCCTTCGACCCGAACTTTCTTTTGTTTGGATACAGACAGCAGGAGTTAAGCATTAGCATGACTATGATCGCGATCCCCAGGGGCGTATAATAATGTTGCATATATGTGCGTAATAAAAAATAACAATTAGGATTTATTAAATGAAAAATTCTAAGACAGCTATTAACACTATTACATTAAAAAATTCTAAGATTATTAATAACAATAAGGAAAATTGTTTGTATGCTTATTCGCAAGTTTGTTCATTGAAACAATGATTTTCGACGTTATGGTCATTATTATAGCAAACTTTGTTATACATTAGTTTCGCTGGTGATTTTTAGACTTTTTCTTAACGATTTGACCCTCCACGTCACGGATGAGAAACAATGGAAACCCATCGAGTTTGCAATGAATTATATTCACACAATTGATGAATACGTGTCTACGCCAATAGGAATTTCACAGTGGGTCGTTCTCAGGGTCTGACCATGATTCCGTTATCGCTGAGGGTGTATTTTGAAAATTATGGTAATTCCCATATAAGGGCCGTTGAAACGGGATGTGCCGTGAGAGAGACGAGAAATGAGGAGCAGAGATGAAACATATGGGAAAATGAAAAAGCAGATGTGAAGAGCAAGTAAAGCCTCGATGACCAGCGAAAATATAGGGGTTGAACTTTTTAATATTTAACACACCGACGTAAACCAGAGCAGAAACCTTACAGGTTGTTTCATTCGAAATCGAACGCTTAACAATAATATAAGTGGGAAAAATATCATAATCAACGAGTGTAATAGCTTGGCGTTGTTGACATTAATCAAAGTTAAGGTTGAGATATAATAAATGTAATTGCGAAATTCCAAGCCCACACGCTATTGGACTGGCCGTCGAAAAGGCTGCTAAGATGCCTCGGGTCAAAAATTCACTCTTTTCTTTTTCTTGTCGGGGAACCTTCAATTATCTTTTTATTCCTTCATAAATCTAATTTGATACTTGCGGTACAAGATGCAGAGAGAAAAAGTGGTTTTTCTAAGGTTTCTTTCTACCGGGCTCATGATTTTTGTAATACTCGCATTTTGCAATTACCATTGCGGATACGTGTGATAGGAAGGCAGTATTTACTTTAAATTCTCATGTTTTTTCGTTTTTTTTTTCTTGAAAATAAAAAACTTCAAACCAAGGATTTCATGAAATCCCATGACTTAGTTGAGATTTATAGGATTCAAAATAGCGTAACAAATTTCCTGAGGAAACTTCTGAAAAGATATAATATACAGGCTCTTGGTATAGATATACGGTAGTCTCATGATTTATGACGAAGGTACTATATAGTTGTGTAAGCATATAAATTTATATCTATATACGTATACCGGGAGTTTTCAACAATTCTTTCTGTATTATTCGTCCAATTAAATGAACTCTTCAATGTTTTTAAAGGGACGCGATTAAGTTAACTAAAGACAAACTTTATTACGTTATACATAGGAGTGTATATTTGTTAACGAAAATAGGTAAAGATTAACTTTTGGAAGTTCCGGCCGTTTTATGAAAAATTCAACGTTACTTGCTAAGACCTCAAAAAAGTTTATATTTCTATCTTACTCATTGCTTCACTGTCCATAAATTATTAATCAGCTAGGAGGAAGTTGGTGAACTTGTTATAATCAGTTAACAAGGTCTTTCAGAGGGTACCTTAATATTAAACATCGATTTGTATGCAACAAGGTCCAGAATGGAATTTTCTCTAGATAGTTCGAAAAATTTCCTAGATATCACGTATACTACTTAATAGAAATACCAAAGATCACAAATGGGGTTTAGGTGAATATTCCAAATTTTATTGCGTATCAAATGTGTATATGTGTTTATACTGAATTCTTAAATTTCCAATTTCAACGTTTTCCGTTCTTCTTTCAAAATGATTAATTGGAGTCTTAAAATAATTGTAAAATCATTTCTACCCTTCTTATCTATCTACTTTTCAGTGATTTAATTATCCCCGAACTTATTTTCAACAGACGTTAAGACGTTTCCCTGTACGCAATAGAGGCAGTCATGACTTTAGTAAAAGAATCCATATTAGTATTTAATCAAAGTTTCAACTGTAGCATCGTTGTCACTTTATTGGGATCCTGATTGGCTGTTGGTGTCGTCAGTCGACGAGTATGAACGTCCAATATAAAAAATAGGCTACCAGTGTCAGGGAAATGTTGAATGGCGTTCGACGATGCTGATGAAAGTTAAAATAATCTGAGAGGATATGATACTGCATGGTAGATTTTTAAAAAATGTTGATTTATTGCAGAAACGATTTTCCAAATTAGAACAAGATGCATCGTTTGAGAAAATGAAATTATTACGTATTGGAAAAACAATTTGTTGCTTTTAGAATAAATATGCTCTGCGATGCTGTATTTGTTCATAGCACTTCAGCGCTGTATTTCAATCACCCGCGAAGAACGCGCGTAATTGCCCTAGGCTTGATAAATTTAATATGTCGGAGAATAAACTAACTTAAGATTGTTGAAATGAAAACCCAAGAGAGATGGTACCCTGCTGTTAGACAGAAAAAAAGTACTTTGCGCGCGCGTTTCATTCGTCTCAAAATTCAAAAATATGATACCTGTGTATATATATGTATAAAATCGAATAAAAATTCACACCCAATTAAAACGCGTGCAAATGTATGAACAGACTGACCGGGTGGGCGTAATACAATTTTATACGGAACTATTTTATAGGTAAACATAGAGTATATACATAATTAAGAAAATTAACGCATATTGGCGGATATACATATATGATGAATTGAAAAATCCGACAATGATCGGTAAAATACGAGCACCTTAGGGCTACTGTTCATCCCTTAATAACAAAAGATGATATTCGTATAGCTGTCCTTCACTTTCTTATGGTTGACCCTTGTCAATGACGCTATGGGAGTAATTAACGCTATTGTAAGGATAGTAGTTAAAATGAATCATTAAGGATGAAAATATTGATTAAAGCTACTGTTCAGCTACACTAAGAAAAATGCATTACACAATGCGTTGCATATTGAGAAATACCATAGTATATGATAACGACTATTATTGTTCACTATTAATGTTCGTTAGTATGTGAATTATTGTCATGATCCTTTGTGCATCTTCGTGCTCGAAACTTAAACCTCGTATTACACTTAAACGGAGATGATCCATCTTTCGTGATGTATGAGGAAAGCGGCTGAACGAAAAATGAGCTAATCGAATTATGGATAACACAGGACAAAAATAGTTTTGAAAATTTTCCATTCATTAGACGTCACCGTTTTGTGTACGTGCATACATGGAATAGTTGAACAGTAGCCTTACAACGAGAGATTTTGAGTTATGCTTGGTTAGGTTTATCTGTGCAAAACAAATTTACGTTATACACTGAAAATTGTCAAAATTTCATAGATCTCTACGAACTACATATGTCAAATCCTTTTGAGGTACTTTATGCAAAATCATGGTAAATAATAGCATATGCGTATAAACATACATTGTCCCGATGAATTATCTATTGCTTGTGAAATATAATTATCCAACAATTTTATAGTCTGGTTATGAATTACTATATAAGTGTTCATAATAATTCTGCTAAGTAACGTTTCTCCTTCGTGTGAATTATCCTTGAGTTTAATGAGGATAACTAACAAGTCATTGGCATGTCAAGAAATGTACGAGTACAGATGGTAACATACAATGAAACAGCGACCATAATTATTTAATAAGAAAGTATAGTACGACAGTACTCACCAGCAGTGAGAATAGAAACAGAAAAATCCTAGTGCCTTTGAAAATAAATGACAAAGGATATCACTCAGGCAACACAATGGGAACAAGAAAGCCATACGTTGGACCGATGGTACGACGATACGTTCATACCGGGGTTTCGAGACGTTCTAACGTACAGTCTGGTAAAGCGAGCGTTCGGAGGGCAGCCTACGCACTACCCTCGAAAACGTACGAGAAATACCGACGCAGGATTCACCGCGAAGCCTAGCAGACGAATAATTATGAGAACTGGCGAGCGTCGTACGTAAAAGTTCATTGCAATGGAATCGGATAGAAGAGTTCATATAAATTTAAATTTCGCGCCTTATTGAACAATCAATCACGTCGTTACAAATTATGGATATTATTATCATAAATCATTTACCGACATCCACGTTTTCGACAGTCATAGGTTCTCGAGCGTCGAAGACTTGAAGATCACAGGAGATTAAAACATTCAGCTGTTACGGAAAGAATGGCGTCGTAATATATAGTGGACGCCGGACGTCGTTCGATGGGCAGTCGCTCGTCTACTACGAGTGTAGTGTATCTGATAATACTGTGTAACATTGACTCGGGTTTAAATAAAAATACGATAAGCTCCGAGCGACTGAACGTCTTCTGCGATGGAATCGAAATTCGTAATTATTTTGTGTATAGCTAGTCTAACGGTTATTGGTGGTACGAATGATGGAGGACCAAAAGTTTGTATCGACGATGGTTGTCTGATTGGTTTTGAAGATACTAGCAGATTGAACAGGACATTTAGTTCATTCCTTGGAATTCCATACGCTAAACCCCCTATTGGGGAATTACGATTCAAGGTAAACGAACTCGATATTAAATTGATGAATTTCAGGTTATGCTTGATTGATGGAGGAAGGGTTATGTACTCTACTTAGGAGAAGTTTACGTAATAGTATATTTATTGAGTATTAGAAAATGATGTTGTACAATATGAAGACCTTTGATTAGATTCATGTGGATTAAACGAAAGCAATGTTGGATTAAAATTATATTTTTATTCATATAGTTCCACTAATAATTACACGCGTTGTATTAATTTTTTCAAACCAATAATGTTGCCATGATTTGTTAAAGATGATCGGTACTATCTAATGTCCACGTGTTCATTTTTATGAACGATAACAGTACGGATCATTTAATCAAATATGATAAGAGATCTTAAATAAATAAGTTTGTCGAATCTATCACATTGTGATTTAAACCTGTTATCTCCATTCTTCACAAAATTAATGTACCTAATATCCACATTTTTCAGAACGTCGGATAATAATTTCTTGATGTTTGGTATTAAAAAATCGTCGTACATATAATTTATGACGATGTGACACCGATAGTCTTCTTTTGATCCGTACAGACTTTATCCCCTCGTTAGAGGGCTAAGTGCCACATACGGACAGTATGGATCTTGTGTTCGGGGTTTGTTCCAAAGTCTTACTCTTGTACCTCTGGAATATCGTTCTGTCACTGTCGAACGTACATATGTCGGTAAACAGAAACAGAGTAGTACTCTAGCGTATCGGAGTTGATTTTGGAACAGATAGCCCGGCAAAAATTTCACTGCCTATATTTGCATTATTATATCTTTAAAAATACGTATTATCAATCTAACCAGCCTCCGGAAAATCCAGAACCCTGGGACACGCGTGAAGCTAAAAAAGATGGAAACATGTGTATCGCAGCCATGTATTTCCGTAATGAAGATGACCCACCAGGCAGTGAAGACTGCCTTTACTTGAATGTTTATACACCAGTGGTAATAAAACTACAAATTAAACTAAAGCAATCATATATGTATATACTAGTTGATATAAATAAATTCTTCCTCTTTAAAGTTACCTGAAATAGGCGTTAGTTCACCGGATCTTCCAGTAATGGTCTTTTTTCATCCTGGTGGTTTTATGTTCTGGTCAGGTACCACCTATCATTTTCAACCACACTTTTTCATGGACCGTGGTGTCATCCTTGTCACTTTAAATTACCGTCTCAATATACTAGGTAATTAAATTCGAGCTGGGTTATCGTATTTGAATTAAATGATATTAAGGATGTCTATTTTTTATTATCAGGATTTTTAAGTACCGAGGATGAGGTAGCTCCTGGAAATTGGGGACTTAAAGATCAAGTACATGCTCTGCAGTGGGTTAACGATAATATTGGGGCCTTTGGTGGTGATCCTGATAAGGTTACTATTTTTGGCGGTAGTGCTGGCGGAGCTTCAGTACATTATCACATGCTAAGTCCACTTTCCAGAGGTTTATATATTTTAATTATTACATAGACGTATCCATTCGAATTCTCTAGATTGTACAATTATTCGTTTTTATAGGATTGTTCACGAAGGCCATCGCCCAATCAGGTCTTGCCAATGCAAGATGGGCTTATTCACTGAAGAATGAAGCAAGAGAGCATGCAGAATATATAGGTCAACATTTTAATTGTCCTACTGAAAATTCGACTGTTTTGGTTGACTGCCTTCGTAAGAAACCAGCAGAGGAACTGATTGAAGCTGATCCAATCTTTTTTGTAGGGCCCTTTTCTTATAGTTTTATTGTTTATGAATCGGAAGATATATTTTATTTTATTTTTTCTTTGAAATTTACAGGTTTGGTCTATTGATCCATTAATTAAATTCCCACCCGTAGTAGAGCCGGATATCGAAGGAGCGTTTCTTATGGAGATGCCAAATGATCTATTGAATTCTGGAAAATTTGCGGATGTACCGTTCATGGCTGGAATTATGTCAAAAGAAGGAGTTTTGAGAAGCGGCGGTGGGTTTGTTAACTAATCAGTATATAAATTTGCGAAAAAAAGAAAAAAAATTATTAATCAATTTCGTTATTACCACAGCTATCATGTCTCATGACAATATACTTCAGAACTATGATGTTCTCAAGTTAAAGTCGTTCTCTAATAGTTTACACTTTTATCAGCATCCGGTAGAGGATGTAATCAAAATCATTGACAAAATTAACAAATACTATTTTAAGGGAAAACGCCTGACTCTTAAACAAGAGAACAATATGATACACGTGAGTCGAAAAATTCTGCTTCTTTTTTATATTGAACTTAAAAGTGATTAGGAATATTATTAATTTTTATACATCTTTGCAGATGTTTTCTGACAGATATTTTGTCCATCCGTTGGTGAAAGCTGTTGAGATGCAGCGTAAACATCAGAAATCACCAATTTATCTGTACAGTTTTGAATATGAGGGACCAAAAAGTTTTGCTACAGTATTTGGTAGAGAACTTAGTACTCCCTTAAATGGTACAGCGCATTTAGATGATTACTTGTATCTATTTCCTATGGAGAAAACCTTCTTCAAGAATGATCCTTGGACCAGAAGTAGTGAAGAGGATGAAATGATAGAAAGAATGTTAGACATTCTAACAAATTTTGCAATTTTTGGGTAAATAGCTTCAAAGGTTTATAGACACATTATTTTACTGATTTAGAGAAAACAAAGTATAATAAATCTTTTGTTTCAGTAATCCTGCCCCTAGTTTCTCTGGGTTTACGTGGAATCCAGTTAAATCTGAGGACCATGAATATCTAGTCATAAAGGGACCTCACGATCTAAAAATGTCATTAAAATTGAGATCAGATGCTGTCGCCTTTTGGGATAAATTAGACGTGGATAGTGTTAAATCTATTATCCACGATGAACTTTAATATTAAAAATATACAAGAATTCATTATCGTATAAGTTATTGTTAACTCTTTATTATTTGCAACATTCTCTAGAAAATATTAATAAATAGAAGCTTCCTCGAACGTCCGTCATTCTTTGCATCTAGCAATGGTAACAGTATGCTACTCATATAAGCATTAGTAATACTATGTACTTCGGTGCAATTATGCATGTAATATGCGAACCAGCGAAGATTTCGTTTATAATACGAACCTTGTAACCGCCAAGGTTTCATTTGTAAATGTCACATTTTTTTTTCTAAGACAAAAGTTTGTCCTACCTGCTTGTTTCTTTGTTCCTTTTATTAAAATCTATAAAAACTCGCCAAAATCATTAATAAAGCGAGCCAATTAATCTGAAGATTTCCAGTACCTGCACAGGTATAAAAATAAAAATGACAATTTTTAATTGATACTAAGATAAGCAAAAACGGCAGATTCAATAACAAAAATGGAAATTACCGTTATCGCTGTAGCGAATACAATCCAATTGATCCTCCGTAGTGGTATAGTCGGAAGCGCAGGTGCACATTCCTAAAAGTTAAGAAAAAGAAATTAAGAGAAAATTAAAAATGGGTGTGACTTATAAAAAATACGTTGAAAGAAAATTTTTACCATAAATACAATCAACACTTGTGACTTCGGTGGTGTTGGAATCTCTATTCGTGGGCGTAACGCATTGTCGATGAGTCTCGCAGGCTCGACCGAGCTCTGTAACAAATTATTCAGACATGACGTAACTATAAGAGCATAGAAAAATATTCAAAGATACTCATACGTAATAACAATACCTTTTTATTATATTATCAAACTTTATACTTACTGACACTTCTATAACATACTGGACCACGTTGATGGTAGCCTTCAACGCAAGAGCACCTTTCCTCATTGCATTGTGCATTCGTCATGAACTCCTGACACTGCGCATGCTCACTGCACGATTCACCGATTACATTGGCAGCTTTCAGACATCTCTTCCGATCAGAAGACATCACGTGATCCACGTTGCAGCGACAGACGTTCAAGCACCTTGAATTTTGAGCGACACATTCCTCGTCGCCGGAGCACTGATCGTCCAAAACTGATAATACAAAATAATGTCTTTGGTAATTCGACTGTTCTAATATTTATACATTCAGTCGAACTGGATTCATAATCAATCAACAGACTCACATGAACTTCTTATACATCTTGTACCATCTGAATTAGGGTGATGTTGAAATGGACATTCACAGAAACCAGTGACACAATAACTGGGTGAGTTTTCAACGTAACAGTTTTTCGAAGTCTGACACATCTGACCTATTCCTGTATTTAAGATATAAATATTACGTTAGATTTATTTAAGAGTTATTCTAATGATTTATAAATGACAATTATTACTTACTGACTGTTTGATAGCATCGTCCGGCTTGAAAGTGGGAGCCAATGGAACACTGACACACGTTGTCCCGGCATTCCGCTTGGGCTGTGAAGGTCACGCTACACTGCACGTCCTTCGTACATGGATCCCCCATCGCAGTGGCAGCTGCAACAGGATGTGCATCAATTATACGCCATCTTTAAAATCAAACAACGGGCCTATTAAAAATATAACAATCATACGCACTTCTTAGACACTGCACGTGAGTACGATTCCTGTCTACAAGATATCCAGTCATGCATAGACATGTCTGCTGATTCCAGCAGTATGCATTCTCCACGCAGTCCTTATCATACTCACAGGAAGCCAGAGTTTCTGAAAAGCCATAAGGCGCAGAAAAAAGAAGACAATAATTGATAAACACACAGTTCACTTATCAAATAAATGTGTCATCTCGTCACCTAAAAGACAGTACACGTGAGTCATATATATATGTATATTAAAGCAAAGCCCAGTCCGCATGCATGCGTATATACGCTATAAGGTAAACGGAAGTATGAGTAATCTTATTGAAAAGTGTAGTTCCGGTTTTAAAAATCCAAGCCTACATTCATTACAAATATATTTTTCACCAGATAGCAGCCACCAATGATAGCTGTACAAGTTTCCATGTATTTAAAAATACATTGGCTTATTCAGCACGAGGTTCGTGATAAGCTGACATTCTCAGAAGCCGATCGATACGTACTAGGCAATGCTTGATCCCTGCACGTCAGGTTGCCGCTCACGAGGTAGCATGGAATACGAAGCAACACGAAGAGGAGGACTAGGAGGTAGATTCTGTTGAATCCTCTACCCTTCATCCTCAAGGAACGCAAACGATCCTCCAGATCCTCCTGATCCTCCAGGATGATTTCTTCTCGATAGCATGCTTCCTCCAGGTGTGTCTGGCTGAGAAAGCTGGTCAAGAGATGCCTGACCCTTCACTACTATGCTATTGCGTACTATCCAAGCAAGACACTTCCATTTACACTAGTTCTCGCGTGGCATAAGCGTAGCCTCTAAAGATTGACACTTCACTCTACAAGAACACAGTGCACGCACGTTGGGCAAACGTAGGCTGAACTGAACAGTCTTCACTCTATGAACGTAACGACGTAACAGCAATAGAGGAGCGAATTACGCAACAGCGTCCCTGGCACTGCAAACTACGTTTTCGAGCACACGAATTCCAATGCAAAGAGCCAAACAGTGAGGATCCGACTGAGTTACGTAGATTTAGAGAAGGGAATAAAAAACGCTTCACGGTTATCGACCTTCTTCCCACGGGTACAGGAGGTTCTGGTCCATGGGGAACAGTCCCAGGTAATATGATAAATATCAACGTATTTGTAGGAGTATAGTTACAACAATCCTAAATACGCAAAAGACTCACGATAGCCAGCATAAATGATCCAAGTACAGTGTCTAACGTAAGAAACTTATAAATTTTAAATATTGGACTGTACATGAAAAATTGAATTTTTAACGTATATATCACTTTTACGGTAATTGCACATGACGTTTAAATTACTTGTCACTTGTAAATCTTGTCCGGTCGTTTACAGGTAATGCACTATTGTGAATTGTTTTTTGATTACTGGAATTATTATTATTTTTTATAACATTCTTTCACTCACGTCTTCTCAATAGGTGTGTGTGCTCGTCGAGATGAGCTGTGACTGTACCGCCGAAGGCGAACACAAGGGCCAGCGCAAGCGTCACGCCAACCGGAACCTTGAGGTCTCCTTTCATTTCCTTTTCTTCTTTGGTGAACCTTCGAATAGTTTCAGTTTAGATGTTCACCTTCGTGAGCCAATAGGCCCACTATGAGGTCTCCGATGAAAGGAAACTAATTTACGTTAGCATCACTAGGAGTGACGCGTTCACTAGCTCAGATCGTACGGAGAGACACGCCATTATCATCGCCTCTGTATCTTATCGGTATAAGATTACCAAAGGTGGGAAGTTGGAATATATAGATATACCTTCGCTTTACGATCCCCATACACACACCTTTTTACAATGGATATGCATATGATTTCGAAATTTTCAAGATGGCTGATATCGAATGTTCAAAATTATTTCAGTCAATGAATCATGTCAAAATTATCGAGTCTCCATCGAAATCATTCCAATTCGGCGTTACTTATCTTGTATCTCTACATTTTTAATGAAAAAAAAAAAACATGCGACTTGTTTACTTAAATTTACTGATAAAATTTCGATTTCTGCTTTGATATTCATAACATTTTTTTTCTGAAGAAACCGCTCTTATATAAGCAATGCACCTTGCAGAGAGTTTGTATTTTACAAATAGCGTCTAACTCTGTACAATCATTATTATTTGCTTTCAATATGATTGATAAGAGGGTTTCCGTATTCTTCATTTTTTCTTTTTCTCTTATTTTTTTTATTATCTGTGTCAATGGCCAATCACGCTTAATTGGATCCGAATGCTGGTCGTACAGCGACTGTAGTAGTAGTGTGCTTAATAGCTATTGTAAAAATTATCGTTGCGTTTGCTATAGCCCTTACATTCCAAGTCAGAACTTAAACATGTGTACAATAGGTAAGAGATATAATCAATGGCATAGTGCATTTAAAATCTGCTATATGTTTAGTGCAAAATTAATTTCTTGTAGCTACCGGCGAGCCCTGTCCAACTCTTAGCACTGTCTGCTATGATAATAACGCTCGCTGCAATTCAACAAAGAAAGGATATTGCGAATGCAAAGATACATTTGTGCAACATACAGACACCAGGGTATGTTTGAGAGGTAAGAAAAAACGATATAAAAAGACATTTGATTATTTAGTATATCAAAAATGTCAATGTCTATTTAAAAAATGCATTCTCACTGACGATTATAATGATATTTCATTAATTTGTATTATCTTATAAATAACATATGTTTACAGCCATCGGTCAGAGCTGTACTGGAGCTGAAGTGGCCTGTGTCGATGGATCCTGTCAGAATGACAAGTGTCAATGTCCACAGCCCCTAGTAGGCAATTCTTTTGGCAACAGGTGTGTCACCGGTAATATAATTGTTTATTAGTTTAATTGATTGACATATCAAAAGTTTATCTTTCATATGAATTATATCTTTCTCTTTATGTTACTAGCTCTCGGTGAAAATTGTCTGCAGAGTCAAGAATGCGCCGACCCTCACGCTACCTGTGAAGCAAATGGACCTTGTATCTGCAATGATGGATTCCGGCAAGTTCAACGCGCAGATGGTTCTACGCTTTGCAAACGGGGTCAGTAATAAAAACAATTATTTATTAACTAATTACAAAGCTCTTTCTTGCAGTCCTAGGAGCAGCCTGCGACGAGGATGAAGACTGTGCAAACGAATATTCATTTTGTGAGAGCATGAGACAAGGAACTACCATTTGTAATTGTCGCGAAGGCTACGTGCGATCTACTGACACGAAGAAATGTCTTGCAGGTAAAGAATATAATGTGATTCATTTGTAGAACGTTGATCAAACTTTTCTTTTTCATTCTCCTAGTACCCCTTCTTTGGCCAGGCTCTTGCGAGGAGAATCTGCAGTGTCATGGAGCTTTTGGAAGTCTGAGTAATTGTACAAATTTCACTTGCAGTTGTCCAATTGGATACGAGTTCAGTGAAAACAGCGGTGAATGTGTTCTTTCAAGTAAGGAAAAAAATATTTCAAATGTCAACAATAATTATTAAACTAATCTCTTATTTTTCAGCAGTCGTCCAAGTTCCGTAGACTTAAAATTGAATTTTTATTATCGACCTGACCAGTACCTCGAATCACGATTCATGAAATAGAAAGGAAAGAAAAGTAAAGAAATATGCGACTCAATGATTTTTCTACATTTATTTAAAAAAAAAAGATGTGCAACGATAGATAGCTGAGATAATTTTAAAGCCAATACATAGTATTACTAAGTACTGCTAACGCTGTGTTAATTACTATCTACTTCGTGTACGATAATCATACAAATCGGTCAGACCCAGTCCGTACAGTAAGTGCAAATTATAGGCGTAATAACATACATAATACGTATTTCTTTCGTACGACACTATTTGTAGCTAAATAAGATTTTACAAAAGTTACAGAACCCGTTACAGCGTGCAGTATCGTGGAAGTTTGTAATTAATCCTACTTATGTATCTAAGACAAGGCAGAAAATATATGCATATGCATCTCCTCAATGAGGATTTGAGATTTGAAATTAAGGAACGAAAACATATTCGAATATGAGTAATGAGGTATGAGAAATATTTGTTTTCTTCCTCTTACAATGATACGTAGAGCAATGACGATAGAATGAGAGTCATCGAAAGCGTCAGTGTGGTTGCACCTGAAACTACAATTATTTCACTAAAGTAACAAGCACAAACATTTTTCCATTTGTATGACTAAGACGCGATTATTTAGCATACGCTTCGTTATCGTATATCGTTACATTTTTATTTTTACCTGATACACATATATTATCTTCATTTTTTTCGAACCCTGTCGTGCAATGGCACTGTTTGGCTATGCACTGCAAAGCCTTCTCCTCGTATCCGGTTTCACCCTGATAACATTCGTAATCTCCTTCGCAACTATCACCAAGCCCTAAACACAGATTAGATAGATACAGTGCTTTAAAAATTAATTGCCGATTTTGATTCTAGTGGATATTATAGTATTAAAAATAGTTTTACTTTTGTTTACGACACATCGATGTACTTTGTTGTCGAAATGATAATGCTCTTGGCAAACGCATTTCTCTCCCATGCATTCTGAATTGTCACCGAATTTTTTGGAGCACTGTACAGACTCCGAACAGAAGTCATTAATTTTCTGCGCCAGTGGCAGACAATTATTATTTTGGGGATTGATAACTGCATCGATGGAACACGTGCAAAGTCCAGCATTGCATTCGGCTCCAATGATGCTCATGCACTCTTCATTGAAATTACATGACTCACCGAATGCTACGATTATTTAATGATTAATATAATATTAATGGGATTTTTTAATTTTTTTATCAATACATACCTACGGATTTATAACATTTTGAATTAGCATAGTGGTAACCAGGAACGCATTTGCACTCCATATTGGAGCACGTAGAGTTTGCCAAATAAGCCAAACATTGCTTATTGTCCTCACAGGTAGAACCAATGGTAGCCGCAACTAGAAAATTTTGAAAGAAATTATATTTTTATACTCATTACTAATAAGACCGATAAGACAATCGTCAAAAATATCTGACGTACTCGGTAGGCATCTTTCACTATCCGACGACGATACAAAACCCGTCAAGCATTCGCATTGTGATATGGAGGTATTGCAGAAGCCGTTTTTTAAATAACAATCCTTTGAGTGTTTGCATACGCGAGCTACCAATGGATCTAAAATTTCGCGTGAAAAAAGAAAACGGTTAATAAAATAAATAAAAATATCCCAAGTCAGTAGCTGTCTTGTTGACAGTTTTAAATCAAAGTTTAAAAGTCATTTACTTGATTGCTTTGAGCTCACAACGGCAATATCAGATGGTTTACACAGACTGCCTGATTCTTCTCCACTCTTCGAACAATAACATTCGAAGTTGATGCAAGTTGTATTCATACTATTTGGTATCACTGGTCTGCAATCTTCATACTTAATGCAGGGAACCGTCACGTTTCCATCCTTATTAAGGTAACCTAGAAAAGACATAAAAACATATAGATAACTTCAAAATACATTCCTAGTATAATATGCCTAGACACTGATTCTTCTAGTTTACTCTCAGTTTAGAATTTGTATCCTTTCTATTTTCAATATATGTATTTCTCACGTATGTATTGAATATATATATATAATATATATATAATATATATATTCAATATATATTATAATTTTGAATATACACACACCTGCGTATCTATGCATATTATATACCGTGCTCGAAGGTTTAACACAAATTATACACGTATTCTATGTGTTTCTCCCATACAACAAAGGATAACTGGAATAGCTACGGTCACGAATTGTAAATAATTGCCAATCATAAGAACGCTAAACAACAATATTATTCATACCTCGCTTTAGCTGTTGACCGTTACTATATACGTTAGTATGAAACACTATCGCTTAAGGGGTGCAACGTATATACGGGGTACCATAATATCAGCGTGAAAGAAATACCATAGTACTTCATAAGTATACGCACAGTGTATAATATGAAGCCACGTTGGCGCTTTCAATGCTTTGTCTATCGTCGACGATATAAATAATAATGCATTCTTAGAATTTGTCGAGGCGCAGTAGATCTCGGGATTAATCATACAGAATTTAGTAAACATCATATTATGATTTTTGGATATTTATATTAAATTTGATAATTGAATTTTTTTCAAATCGATACATTATAAAATTAAAAAGAGTATCCGATGTTAGTATGAATGTACGAGTAACATAAATTTATGTCAAATATGGCGGTGCTTTTGAAAAAAGATACTGTTGCCTAAAGGTAACTTGTTTAGTTCACGTAATTGTTTTTAAGTTGCAATACGAGATTCCCAGGAAGATAAAAGAACTTTTATCACAAGATTCCGACGCGAGAAACAAGATATAGACAAATATTGAAACGCGAATTATTCAAAAGCTACATCCGAATTACATACGTACAAATTATCGTGCAAGATAAAAAACGACGAATTATTAACAAGTCATTGTTACGCATTGAAACGATCTGACCCGATCGTACACTTAAGAGAGAAATAACGGTGTCAGAAAAAAAAGTTTATTATTCCCAGAACCGAAGTAACACGGTGACTAATAAAAGATATTACAACGGGGAATCCTTTTCTTCAAACTGTTCAAACAGTCGTGAAACGTTTGACTTAGTCTTCGAGACTTTGCATCACGTAGTACCAAGTGTGCCAATGACAAATGCTCCCACAATACTTGCACGAGTTGGACAAATGAATAAGAGAAGCTAAAAAAGAGAAAAAAAGAAAAGACAATATGTCTCCGCGCTAAGACTAAATAAGATAAACCACTTTTTAGATAGTAGAGAAAATAAGTCTCGGGTTAAATTTTCGCAAGTAATAGAATCTTTGCTTTGACTTTCCCTCGTAAATGTCTGTCGTTCGCGTCTGCTGGCGAAAGAACAAAAAACATTATTAAAAGAGTGAAACTAGAAAACGAAAGAAAACCAGAGAGGAAAAAAGTGGTAAGTCCCACATTTCAAATCAGGTACATTATGATGAGTGTTCTGCGGTGTTTTGTAACTTTCCATGATAATCATTAAAATTGCACGTTACGTATGTGTGTTAATGAGTCACAACGTATGTGGAAATTCGTTAGTCATTAGGATTTTTGAAAATAAGAAAATATATATACAGCATACCTTGACCAGCTACCGAATAGATGATAAGGATTGCTGCTAAGATCAGGTACTTCATCATCTTGAGGCACTTGCTTCTTTCCGGTTGATTTAGATCCGCTTTATCTTTTTCTTTTCTCTTTGCGTTATTTCGGAATAATTAAATAAATAGTCAGCGGCCGCTCTCTGGATCTTCTGTTTTTCTTTCGTAGGAGAGAGGCTGGATCCCGAGCACCGGCTAGACGCGACTGACGAACTTCGAGAACCTGGCGAACCTCGACCGCGTCGGTTACTCCGGCATTCTTCTTCCGCTCCCACCATCTCGATCGTTTCTTGTGTTAGCCTACGTACAGTCAATCGATTGTATTCTTGAGATACACTAGATTGGCCATAATATATCCCCACCTTGTATTTAGGAAAGATAGCCGTTAAGAAACTTTGATTGGATTTTCAAAAATATATTATCGTTTGAAAAATACCGCCAAGACTTCCTAAAACAACAGTGACTCAGACTGTACCACAATTGTGTGAAAGATTTGACGATCAGAGTTTTTGGCATTGCTGCAATATTTCTGCATTGTTAAGTTCATTGTATTTAACTTGATGGTAACGTACATTGAGGTTAGTTTGATAGCTTCTCCTAGGTCATCGGATTCTTGATTATATCTTACACGTATATGGACGCTATTGTTATTTCCTTTGACGTATCGAATGCCGTTAATGAAACAGTATATTTTCCAATGATAATAATACCTCGAATGACGGTATCTTGTACTTCTTGGTTTCCTTATAAATAAATTTTACATTGTCTGATGTAATTTGATATCCAATCGTTGACAGCTGTCGAAAATTCAAATTTCGTGCACTAGAAATTCGACCGGTAGCTACTCCTGACGGAATTCTTAATAATCTACATTATCGACAACGATTGCCTCTCAATGCTGAACTATCATTTTAAGATAACGTAGATTAACCGTTACAAAAAGATAAATACGTTCACGTACCATCATATCGATATTCCAAGAACTCGATGACTGTGGGCGTTGACTCTGTGAGTCCCAATGGGACGAAACTTTATAATTTCTTAGTAAAAATGTTTCGTCTCACTTTACTTACTAACAAGGAAACCCTCCCAACCCGACCCCACCGATTTCAATCATTTTTTGATATGTTGTAGTACTCGACAAAATAAGAGACACGTATTTTTTTTTTTGTGCTGACATCCACTTTAAAGGGGTGAAAACGACCCTTGAAATTCACCCCCGAAAATCGTTTTTTCATCATATCTCGACTTCTTATTAATATTTTTTAATAAAACCAAGTGGAAAATATTTGTCATAAGAAGTCGAAGATATGAGGTGTGTTTATGATCCAAGGGGTTGCAACCCTTATTTTTTATACAGAAAAAAGCATAAAAAATATAGTTTTTTCAAAATATAAAATAAGGGTTGCAACCCTTGGGTCATAAACACACCTCATATATTCGACTTCTTATGACAAATATTTTCCACTTGGTTTTATTAAAAAATATTAATTAGAAGTCGAGATATGATGAAAAAACGATTTTCGGGGGTGAATTTCAAGGGTCGTTTTCACCCCTTTAAAGTGGATGTCAGCACAAAAAAAATGGTGGGGTCGGGTTGGGGGGGTTTCCTTGTAAGTAGAATATTCTCTGTCTCATTGATATTCAAGCATATCGTTTTAATGTTCCCACGAAATTTCTTAATACAATTTTCATATCCTTTGCATGTTAAGGTAGAAAAAGATTCATTAGGTATACTAGACACATTTTCTGTTCCATGTATATTTCAAATTTACCTTTTCTGTGCTGAAGTGTTCAACCAGTCAAAGATAACACTTATCAGTGGGACTTGGCGTCGGGGTTAATGGTGAAGTTTGTCAGTAAGAATCACAGGTGCTTCAGTTTATCATTGGCTAGTGGGAAAGTACTTTTATTCAAAATCATTATGCCACGTTTACAATTCGTCATTTGCATGATAATATTCACGTGCATAGATCTCACCGGTCAGTTTTGGATTTTTGTAAAATATAAAAGGAAACAGAAAAAGTGCCAGTGATTTATTCAAAGCGTTTTACCTTCCATCTCAGTGACACACCATTTTTTAATTTAACCTTCAGACATGTTTTTATCCTCACTCTCTTTTTATTTTTAAATTTGTACAGTTATCTCAAAATACCAAATCGTGTATTGTTTCAGTTTCACAATATTATGGCAAGTCTCGAATCCACGAATACTGCAACATAGACTATGACTGTATTCAACATGCATTCTGTCGAGAACAGCATACATGCCTGTGTGAGCCATATTATGCACCAACGCCTGATAAAGGAATGTGCACCGCGAGTATGTATTGTATTATATCTGTATACTATGTTTTTATAATAAGAAATTACATAATTTTTATGGTACTCCGTAAGTGTACAGTGACAGAAATGCTCTTAGTAGTATCATACATTTCCGTTGATATTTATGGAAGGTCACATCTGCAATGATAAGTGATAGGAAGACTAATTTTTTTCAGCACCGGGATTGCCATGTTCGAGTGATTCAGTTTGCGCAACTATGACTAACTCAGAATGCGTACAAGGCCTATGTGCGTGTAAAATAAACTTTATCCTGGACTTGAAGAACTCATCGAATTGCATTGCCCGTGAGTCATCAATTATGCTGTTTCCTTTTCCTTACATTATAACTGATAGCGAAAAAAATGATAGAATTTTTTGCAATGACTAAAGAAATTCATGCTTTTGCTTTAATGGCAGGACCTGTCATTGAGGGTGATCATTGTCAAACCCAAGACGAATGTTACGATGCAATGGACAGAGCGCATTGTGTGAATGAACGCTGTCATTGTTACACGAATTATCATTTTGTATTGGGATTAGGAAGATGCATAAGGAGTCGAGGTAACGATTATCCTGGTGGAAATTTTTCTCAAAATTTTCAAAATTTTCTATTACATTTATTTCGATTTTTTTTTAATTCTCGAAAGTCTTCATATTTCTGAAAAAATCCAATAATTTCTTCGGAATTTTCGAAAATAGAAAAATTCAGAGAAACTTCGGAGAAAAATTTTCACCAGAGTAGATTTTGAAAAAAATTTCTTTTTAAATTTATCACATTAACGGAAATTGTTTTATATTGAAGATCTTAACGATACCTGTCAAGCGGATTACGAATGCTTTATAAAGGGTGATTCGAAGGAATTGGAATGTCAGTTTGGACGTTGTCGCTACAGACTTGAAAATACATCGTCTAGTAAATATTAATTAATTGGTTCTAGCGAAAAACTCCCATTAATAGGTTAGCTTCTAGGCTGACTCTAATTGTTTTTTTGTTTTTACTTTAGGCTCAAATCCAACAACTATTGCAGTCATTACGATACTTGGATTAGGAATTATTCGGACGATACTTTAAGAAACTTACAAATGTATGGAGTTTAGTATGAGTGTGAACTTGCTACCAATTAATTGGAATGATGTAATTTTAATGAATTCGAACAACATTTAGTTATGGAACAATCGAATGGAGCCCATTGTAATGCGGATCAGTTGTAATTATTTATTATTACAATGTGTTTTTATAAACGATTAATTGATTCCTATTATGTAGAATTAATTATTCGTATCTCTCATGACATTACTACATTTCTATTTACCGTCATCAGATAATAGGTGATAAATAATGACTGATCTATGAATATTTTCTTACAACTTTGTTATACCATGTAGAGAAACCGAGAATAAAGATCGTCTAGAAACTCGCGACTATTTAACACCTATACCTAACTATATAAAAGAATTTTAAAATAGCAAGAAAAAACTGTAATTAAATTGTGATAATTTGAGCGCGCTTCAGATTAGGCTACTCACATGCACAGGAGTACGTTCAGAAAATTTAATAAAGTATAATACGGTATAATTTGGTGTCGTCCTGTCGTTCTATCTTTCTGGTTCTATCTTTCTCGTAATAAAGTTTGTAAAAAAAAAGATTCAAGGTGCCAAAATCATCCGGAATAACTTCTAAACTCACCACTGATGATATAGATCAAGTTAATTCCAGGCCAACATTTTACTACCTGTAGTCAAAACGATATCATGCTACCTTTATACCGTGTAATGTTAACCAATTCAAGACTTGCCTTCTCTTGTACTCGTTTTGTGATAGGGTTACATCAGATGGAGATTTCAAGTGGGCTTTCCTTTGAATTGATCATGAAATATACATAAAAATTAATAGGATTCACAGAATTGTGTCAAAGTTTGGATGGTTTGGAGATTCTTGCGTGACACCGAACTCATCAGTTAGGAATTTTGATAGACAAATTTTTGCTTTATTTACATATGGGGACTAGAAGAAGGGAGATCGTGGCAGTGTTTAGCGAAGTGCTATGATGCAAAAATGGCAGATATTACTTTCTGTTCTTGTTTGACAATATCATAATGTAATGACTTATTTAATCGCGTGAAGTATTATCGGGGATTCGTACGTATTACGGAATCTTCGCCGAATAATACAGTGCGCGTTATATTTATAAAAATGACAAATGTCTGGCGATTGGATACTTTGCCGTCTGAGATTCTTATAATAATATTTGATTATTGTCATGCATTCGATCTGGTTAGGCTCAGCGAGGTGTGCAAAAGGTTTTATAATATTGTTCAAGATGATACACTCTGGATTAAGAAGTCGAAACTGCCTCTTGTTACGAATCAAATATCTAAAAGGTTTCGCGATAGGTTAGCATGGTTATGTTTGCACTCAAATGTTATTAATGTAAGTATAATTCAGAATGATTTTATATGCATTGCAATTGCACCAATGATTTTTAGATGCAACCCATTGCTTTGCCTGCGGCAGAAATGGCACGTTTCTCGAAATTGGGAATGTGGAAGGTATATGGAAAGGACTCTTTTTTGGGAGCGATCAAAGTTGATGCCCTGGATACAGCTGAAGCAAAATAGTCTCTGGTGGGGTGCTAACGTCCAAATTCTTGGCTACAGGCGCACTGAATACTTTGATGCATACGATTTTTTTCATAATTCTATGTATTCAAAGGATGTATGCAAATTCGTTGTTAAGGATAACTATGTTATCTCTGGTCATGTTGATGGAATGTTAGAAGTACAGGAGATAAGAGGAAAAGGATCATTTTCTTCGAGAAATGCCCATAATTCTGATATCAATGCCGTAGATGCAACAGACTATGTTATTCTCACTGGCTCCAATGATGGAAATGTTAAGGTATACAAAGGACATGAATACTAAGATACATTTCTAATACAGATTGATTGTTATGCCAGGTTTGGCCTATAGGCATGCATATGGATGATATTTCTGTACCTTACGGAACTATTCCGATATTTCCATTCTCAGCCCATATTCCACTTTCGGACAGAGTTTGGTCCCTTGCAGCTGATCCTACAGGGGTAAAATTTGCAGTAGGGTTGTCTGGAAACAAAAATAAGTCACCACTTCATATATTTGATATAGAATGGTACTTGCACTATTTCAAGAAGTAACAACCAAATTTCTTCAGTTAGTGCTCTTAAAAATATTTATATTATTTTAGTTATAACGAGTCAGATGTGTTGAGACATTGTTGGAGGAAAGGTGCTGGAGTTTTAGGTATAGTTTGGGAAGATCCAAATACTCTCCTAACCTGTGGTTATGATACATATGTAAGGAAATGGGATCTAAGGTAATTATTGTACCATATCCTGTAATTATCTATAATAGTAAGCAACAAATGATTGTTGATAATAATTTCTTATAGGACCGCATTATGTGTAAATTCCTGGCCAGATCCTACGGATGCAACTGTATATTGTCTGTCATCAGATCATGCTTACACAATGGTTACTGGAACGCAGTATCATAGCAAAGCTGTTCTCTGGGATCAACGTCAAAAAAATTTTGTACAGGTAGATAATTCTATTAAGCTTCCATATATACATACATATCATGCTTATAATGTCATTACCATGTCTTTTTCTCTTATCATGTAGATATATTTTGTTCATGAGAGTTATGAATCCAGTCCCATCTACAGTATATGTTTTGACAGTACACACTTGTATGCAGCTACTGATCAACATTTTATTCAGTTAACATTCTCAGGACATTCCTACGATGAAATGAATTATCGATACATGCTTGATGCTCCAAAAATAAAATGCAGTAAAACAGATTGACTAAGAATGGTATGTCATTACTCTTGAATAAGAATGTAAGTGGAGAGTTAGACTGTTGGCAAAAGAAAATGTACAACTATTTAAAAAAAATAAAATAAGAAAGCTTTTAAAAGTCTAAATCGCGACTTTGTCAAACTGTCGTTTTATGTTGCACAGTCTGTTCTGAAATGAATGTTATAGGGTAGGTTTGATTCACAATGAAATTGAATGATTTTTAAAGAATTAACAATCTATCATGTACATTCATGTATAAGATATTGGTTCAAAAATGATATATAAAACATTTGTCTTGAATGAAATATAAAAATCTATTTAGATAACGCTCAAAAGAGGAAAGTGACACTTTTTTTCCTAACAAAGCCTGCTAGATTTACGACCTACTTTTTTTCTTTTTCTCCAATTTAACAATAAACATCAATATCAAGAAAATGTTCACTACTGAAAGGTTCTCGATCCAGAATCCCTTTACTACTGATTGTGAGGGTCCTCACTATAGTTACATCGTGATAATTGAGCGCCCCTGAAGATTGCCAACAAGTGTATGTATAGATGAAGTCTATCCCAGGCGAAAATTTGGCCTGTAGAAGAAAAATACGAAAGAACAGAAAGTTGTTTGTCTGAGCCAGGTTTAACAAATCAAAAACGTGTCTTGTACACGTTATATGATTGGCTTATGCAGATGGAGATTTCAAATGCGCTGGAAATTATTACTTTACAATTGATCATGAATTGCATACCAGATTAGTAGGTTTACAGAATTGAATATGTGTGGTAAAAAGTGGATGGTTTGAAGATTATTTGGGGACACGGGATTATGAATTAAACATTTTGATAAACAAATTTTTGTTTTATTTACTCGGGAAATTGAAGAATGGAGATGGTGGGAGTGTATAATGAACTGTTATGATGCAACAAATGGCAGATATTACTTTCCACTCTCATTTAACAATGTCATAATGTAATAACATATTCAATCGCGTGTATTATTACTGCAGATTCGTGCCTGTACGGAATCTTTGCCGAATAATACAGTGCGCGTTATATTAATAAAAATGACAAATGTCTGGCAAATGGATACTTTGCCGTCTGAGATTCTCATAATAATTTTCGATTATTGCCATGCATTCGATTTGATTAGGCTCAGCGAGGTGTGCAAAAGGTTTTATAATATTGTTCAAGATGATACACTCTGGAGTAAGAAGTCGAAACTGCCTCTGGTTACAAATCAAATATCTGCAAGATTTCGCGAAAGGTTAGCAGAGCTATGCTTACACTCAATTATTATTGTTGTAAGTAGAGAACGTAGGATGATTTTATATACACTCTAATTAAACCAATGATTTTTAGATGCAACCCATTGCTTAGCCTGCGGCAGAAATGGTACATTTCTCAGAATTGGGAGTGCGGAAGGTATATCGAATCGCCTATCTTTCGGGGTAGAGAAAAGGGGAAGGCCTCCATACAGCTAAAGAAAAATAGCCTGTGGTGGGGCGATGATTTCCAAATTCTAGGCTATACTCGCTCTGAATATATTGACGAATATGATTTTTTGTATGATATTATGTATTCAAGTCTATTACACCAATTTGTTGTTAAAGATAACTATGTTATTTCTGGTCATATTGACGGATCGCTTGAAGTACATGAGATAAAAGGAAAAGCATTGTTTGTTTCAAGAAATGCCCATGATTCTGATATCAATGCTATAGATGCAACAGACTATGTTATTCTCACTGGCTCCAGTGATGAAACCGTTAAGGTAGACAAAGGATATGAATACTGAGCTATATTTCTAATACAGACTGATCTTTATGCCAGGTTTGGCCTATAGTCATCGATATGGATGATATTTCTGTGCCTAATGGATCTATTTCAATACTTCCATTCTCAGCATGTATTCCACTTCTGGACAGAGTTTCTTCCCTCGCAGCTAACCCTACAGGGGTAAAATTTGCAGTAGGATTATCTGGAAATAGAAATCAGTCACCACTTTGAATATTTGACATAGAACGGTACTTTCATTATTCTCAAAGTAACAGAATCAAATTTCTTCATTTAGTGCTTTTAAAAATATTTACATTATTCCAGTTATAACGAGTCAGATGTATTGAGACATTGTTGGAGAAAAGGTATTGGAGGAGTTCTAGGTATAATTTGGGAAGATCTAAATACTCTTTTATCATGTGGGTACGGTACATATATAAGAAAATGGGATCTACGGTAATTATCGCACCATGTAGCATAATTATCTATAATAATAAGAAACAAATGATTGTTGGTAATAATTTCTGATAGGACTGCATCATGTGTAAATTCGTGGCCAGATCCTATGGATGCAGCTGTATTGTGTATGTCATCAGACTGTGCTTATACAATGATTACTGGAACAGAGTCACATAGCAAAGCTGTTCTCTGGGATCAACGACAACAAATTTTTACACAAGTAGACAATTCTATTATGTTTTTCTACTATTATGTTTATAATTTAATTACCGTATTTTTTCTCCTGTTATATAGATATATTTTGTGGATGAGGGTCATGAATCCAATTCGATCTGCAGTATATGTTTCGATAGTACACATTTGTATATAGCCACTGATGAGCGATTCATTCAGTTAAAATTCTCAAATGGTTCGAGCACTGAAATTGACTATCGATATGTACTTGATAATAAAAAATAAAATGCAATAGCACAGATTAAGAGTTGTACATAACTATTTTAGAATAAGGATGTGGCATTGGCCGGAAAAAATAAACAATCGTTCTTTTAAAAAAAAAAACTATTAATAGTTCTAAATCACGACTTGGTCGAACTGTTTTTAAATATTTTACAGTGCCTCTGAATTAAATGTTATAAGGAAGGTTGGATTTAAAATGAAATTAAATGGCTTTAGCTGAAACAATTTTTAAAAATTTATCATGTACATACATGTATAAGGTATTGGTTCAAAAATTATATATAAACAAATGCTTTGGATAAAATATAAAAATCTATTTAGATAACACTTAAAACTGGAAAGTGACACTTCTTCTTTCTAACAAAGCTTGTTAAAAGTAGGGCCTACTTTTTTCATTTCCCAAATTTCCCAATAAAAGTCGTTTGTTAACACTAATTCCCGATTAACTAGACAATAACTTATTTGTTTTGATACAAGCCTATTTTTTCACTAAAACAATAAAAGAAACTACATTCAGTCTCCGGATGATAGTGTCATTATTATCATTTTCAAACAATTTTCTGATTTTTCCAACTTAGAGTTTTTATGGTAACCTCATGTATGCATCTTTTTTCATAATTCCTTTCTATACAACAAGTTAGCAACCATTTCCATTAAGAAACAACTTATAAACACGAAGACTCCTGACCAAATGGATCCCCATCTCGATTAAATAATTATCAGATTAAATTATTTTTGGAATCAATTCGTATTAAGTAATTTAACGATAGTATATCCTTATCAGATCATCGTTCTGATCATGTAATTAAGAATTCCACCATTTTTGAAGTAGGTGAGGTCAACTTCCGTATCAAATCGTACAATAACTTCGAATTGCTTTCCATCATCGGTGCCAACAGTGATCTTCTGACCAGGTTGACAATTCTCTGGAATGGTTATATCGTATAATTCAAATCCCGTAAGACCAAGGGATTCGGCATTTTGTCCAGGTAGATATTGTAAAGGAACGATACCCATTCCAACTAAGTTAGACCTTTTTGAACAAACAGGATAAATTATTAATTAACTTAATAAAGATTACTCACGCCTGGAGTACTTACCTATGTATTCTTTCATAAGATTCTGCTATGACGGCTTTAATGCCCAATAAATAAGGTCCTTTTGCTGCCCAATCTCTGGACGAGCCGGATCCATATTCCTTGCCCACCAGAATGACTAACGGTACGCCATCCTTGTTGTACTTTTCTGCTGCATCAAAAACGTCCATCTGCAAAAAAAAATACAAATAACATACATTTCTATACCTCGAAAATGATTTTGTGTAAGTTCTCCATACCTCCTCTTTGGTAGGAATGTAAATCGTGCGTGGTCCAGCTTTGCCTATAAATTTATTCATCAATCGAATATTGGCAAATGTACCACGTGCCATTACGGCATCATTTCCTCTACGTGAACCATAGGAATTGAACTGTTTTGGTGTCAGCCTAAAATTCATAAGTTTTTTTTTAAGCAAAGTAGATTTTATCTTCGCTTCCTTTGTACACTACCGGAAAGCACCTTGTTCTTAAATTTTTGAAATTCCTTACCCTCGACTAGAAAGATATCTTGCTGCTGGGGAATTACGCGCGATACTTCCTGCTGGACTAATATGATCAGTCGTAACCGAATCACCAAGATTCAAAAGAACTCGAGCTTTGGATATTGGTTTTATTACTGGAAGTTCCTGTAATGTGCATAAGTACATCATAGGATATTTTTAGAATGAAAAGCAAGCAAATATTCTACTTACCCTTGTAAGTCCGTCGAAATAAGGCGGTTTTTTTATGTATGTCGATTGTTCGTCCCAAGGATACAATTTTCCTTCAGGTGCTGTTAAAGTAGCCCAATTACTACTACCTTGTTCAATCTTGCTATAAACTTCCTTAAACATTGCAGGAATTACGTGTTTTTGTTCTACGGCCTGAATTTCCGCCCTGGTAGGCCAAATATCATGTAAGAAGATTTCTTTGCCATCAATTCTGCGACCTATGTGTTTAGAAAAACAAGACAAATTTATAAAATAAAAAAAATCTCTTATATGCGATTGTAGAAGAGTACAAAAAACAAAAGCGTACCCAACGGTTCCTTTTCAAAATCAATGTCGACAGTTCCAGCAATGGCGTAAGCAATGACTAAGAGTGGAGAGGCTAAATAATTTGCTCTTGTATTTGGATGAATTCTACCCTCAAAATTCCTGTTACCAGACAGTACTCCACAACAAACAAGTTCATTCTGTATAAAAGGGACAAATTTAAATATCGTACAAACTTTCGAATACCATATGAAAAAAATGTCATGCTACTACTGTTAAGTACCTTTTCAATGGCATCCACCATAGAATCAGGAAGTGGACCACTGTTACCAATGCAAGTCATACAACCATATCCAACAATATCAAAACCAAGTTGAGTCAACGCTGGAATAACTCCACTTTCACGTAGATAATAAGTCACCACTCCAGAACCAGGAGATAAAGATGTTTTAATATAAGGAGCAACAGTAAGGCCAGCTTCCACAGCTTTCTTAGCAAGAAGACCTGAAAGAAGCGTTTCAGAAATAATGATCAATTATTAATAAATGGGAATTTGTTTTTAGAAATATTTTGTAATCAAGATTTTAATTATCTTACCTGCACCAAGCATGACGCTTGGATTGCTGGTGTTTGTACAACTGGTTATGGCAGCAATAACGACAGAACCATGGGTAATTTTGTATTCTTTTCCTTCAAATTCAAATGTTCCTTGAACTTTTCGTTTCTCAGGTGCCAATCCAAAACCCTTGAAACCGACCTGTAACACAATTAAGTTATACAGTGATTAATCTCTACAAGAATGTGTGACGCATGCGCAACTCTTCTTGTAATCATATCTCAGAATTAAACAAATAATAATCCTAAGGACTAGCATCGCATAGTTGTTAGATTTAAAGTGAAGACGAATTCGTCATTCGTTTTTAACAGCAGCTGCGAACGATGTGTTACTATAACACTTGGATATACGATACCTAAATGATAGCAAGCAAGTAATATCAAATACTTTATTATTCAATTAAGACTGTTGATGATTAAACAAAAAATTATCTCAAGCTGTGAAAGTATAATGACCTAGTGTGGGTAATCGACCTCAGACGTACCACGAAATTTCCACAGAATATAAAACCTGTTGAAAAGGCGAAATAATAAGTTTGTTGAAAACTATCAGAGTAAATGTCCTGGTGCAATGCTCGAATTGCATGTGAGCATAGCATAGTCCTGAGAGATCCATAATATTTACAAGTAAAGTTCTAGAAAAAAAATTTAGAAAAATCAATAGGTAAATTACTATGTCCTAGAAAGATTGGACAATTCACAGTATTCACCAGGTAAATCCTGTTTAGTTTCATAGAAATCATTCGTCTAATTTTAGTTTAAATGTTTTCGAACGTCTCTGAAAGGAGTTCAGGTAGAGGGTTATTACTTCAAGGGAAAAGGACTCGAGTCACCTGAGGGGGTTGAACAGTTACGTCCATTGTGTCCGAAATTTGTTGAAAATTTAAAATTTAATTGCTACTGCTAGCAAGTATAGTTATAACTGTACAGTGGCTCTTTCTGATTATTAATTTGAAACGAGGTACATGAAGTATTATTGCTCGTTACGCATTAGGATCATTTTGAGAATTAAATTCTAATTTTTAATTTCTATTAGCAGTGAAAGGATTCTATTTCGCCATAAGGAATAAATGCATGTGCAATCCTGATTCGATCGCTTGCGCCAGAATGCACGGCTTGCAACAAAAGTGGATATAATTCGACACTAGCGGCAACGATGAAATGTGTAGTATGTGCAAAAATGAAAAGGATGTCGTATCAGCAATTTCTTCTAAGGCACGCCTTGATTTCCTTCATCGTAGTCAAGCAGGCAGTCTCTTCTTGTACATCGAACGGAACTGTCAATTAATAATTAAACCAAGACAATTATAATAAGTTATTTTGAGATTTAAACAAAATTTCAATCAGCAGGAAAGCAGTTCTTGATTTTATTTAGGGAAACGTAAGTAATATATATTATATAGTAACTTGTATTCACTTTTTTGCCTTCAACATATTCAGTATCCATATTGTATATTATACTGAAAATAATAAACGAAGTACCGTTTCTAGTTTATGGCAGGAATTTTGCTGAAAATCCTCAAAGGGCTTTTATTACGGTAAACGAATACGAGGTAACGGTCCCCTGTAATATGAGTCCGAAAATATCTTTTGAAATGATTCTAACTGTTTGATAATATAGTCATGAAGTTTATTAATATATTTAAGTTTGACTCTCATTCAAAATTTTATGTCCTGTGCAGTAGACGCGCGTCGACGAGCATTAGAGCGACATACGATTTCTAAGAATACAATAAAAATCATGTAAACTCATTTGAGCCAAAGGCACATTAGGCAGAATGTAGTGAGGTATTGGAATTTCATAATTAGTTCAGCAATTAGCATTACGAAAAAGGGGATTCTTTTGTCATCGTCAATGCATAAGTTACAGTTAAGACTAGACACTTGAGTTCTGTTGGAAACAAAATTTCTTAATTTACCGTTGAACTAAATTCAGAGTCTAATTAAAACGAAAACAATGGAAAATTTCTAAGGAGAATTCAAAATAATAAACAAGCCAAAGGGAGAGATACACGAGTGATCAACAGTTTTTTTCTTCATCCAGAAGTAATATAGATATACTTTTTGCAAAAGGATACCGGAGCAATATTAAAAGTTGAGTACAAATAAGTCGAAATATAACCTAACGAACAGCAGACTCAAATTTCATGCTGAAGAAGCAACGTCAGAGCCACGTTCGGGATGATTCACGCGTTTTAACAAATGTGCTCGCGGAAGTTAGACCGTAACGCGATTCCAGTGTTTGACGTATTTGAATAGAAATCGATCAGGATAGCCTCGAACGACTCGTTGAAATCATAACCGACCATTGTTTCCTGCGATTCAACGGATGAAGCATTCTTGCCTATTGCTGCTAAGAATTTTCTCTCTTTAATCCCCAAGAAGAAGTTCCACATGGTTTCTTCTCTCCCAAGTAAGTTTGCATAGTATGTTACTTTAGAAATATAAGCATAACCGTGGTAGAAAATTGCCAAGGAGTTTGATAAACTGAAAGTTAGAAATATTTTTTTTTAATTATTATGGAAGAGTAGTACAGTAAGTCAACTTGTTTTCCAGTGTAATTAGAAACATGGTCTACCATACTTAAACGTCTCAAAGAATTTTCGACGGATTCAACTTCGACTATCGGTAATTCCAAAAGGTCGTTAAAGGATGACATTCGACTACCTGAGAAATAGCCAATGGCAGTTTGCAATTTTTTCGAGTTCACTTGGGAAAGGCACATGAGGGGGTGCGAAACTCTTAACTAGGGTGGGGAATGCGTTTCATCAGGTATATAAGGGGACCCACTAGCCCAAGAGGTCATCAGTGGTCAATTATCTACGGTTCTATTAGCTACTGCGGAACTGTGTTGAGAAGCTTGAGTTTGGAAGTTTGAGTTTGGACGAGTGAGGCTTTTCGCTGCAACGACAATGGATACCAGAAAGTAACGTTCTTTGTTGAGGATTGGCAAGGTAATTCTGATTTGTAAAATTGATTTAATTCAATGACTAAGAGGAATGAATATTACAAAAAAATAGGAGGCTGCTATCGGGTGAAATCTCATCCGGTAAGGAATATTTAAAACCTCACCGGGTAGGATTCATCCAATGTCCGTCCCCTATACTCCAAAATTCAACGAACAACCAATTTGAAACTAACCGAATTTATTGACAATAATAAATAAAGGTCAAATCTTGAAGTTAGGGGCGAAGTATCGATCTAGTGACACGTTGACATGGAAGTCGTGACTAGATCGAAATACTCGTCCCTCACAACAAGAATGAACAACGTAAATACGACCATATTGGTGCTAAGCCTCGATTGGACTTGAGGAATAGAAGAATATTTCACCAGGAAGAATATGCAGATTAATGGGAATCCATGAGTCCCATATATTTTTCTTTGGTGATCTAACTGTATGGTGAATTGAAGGATCATAAAGCTAGATCAGCAAGGCAAAATGTTTGTGACACAACGTCGTGGGACGCCGAGACAACAGTGGCTTCAGGACAATATTTACAGAAGATAATGTTTGTCTCCTTCTTCTCAGCACGCTTGTACGTAATGCTAACCAAGAATACTGCAACGAGAAGAACGGTAAGATTCAGAGGAACTGTTGCAGTGATGTGTCGTAAGAAATTCCTCATATCACAGCAGTAGTTACCTGGGATCCTATCGTTCAAAATCAACGCAACTCCGCTTCAAATTTAAATCAAGTTTGAATATCAACGATACTGCGCTCGAGGTCAAGATCACGAAGAGGATTCTAAACAATGTGACTGGAACGACATTAAATTTGTTTCTTCGAAGCTCATCGTACTGGAGTACAACATGGGATAAACCTTGCCCTGTTTGACGTTACTAATTATTCGTCACTGGGTTATGTTTGTCCCATACACGTACTAACCGTTCATCGTTCTGCACTTGTCACTTGCAGCTGCATCCACAGTATCTACACGATGTATTTTAATATTGCTAAGTGTATCGGTAACCGCAGTATTAAGTATTTGTTTTGCCAACTGTCTAATTAGGAACCTGGCAAGGTTTAACGTACACGAAAAGAAAATTATTTTCAAAAAGCAAAACCACGTTTTATATAATGTGAAGGATGATACTAAGCTGCGCAGTTAATTATGTAAATTATTCAGTAGTGAATTATGTTGCATTTACCTTGTTTGTCAGACAGGCTTCGAAATCGGCTTTCATATCCGTCACGGAAACACGATCATGAGGTCTCTTAGGTCCGCTTACACTGGATACGACAGTAGCCAAGTCCAGGGTAACCACTTCGGAGAAGATAGGATCCTGAGCCTCATCGTTGTAATTCCTCAGCATTCTTACAGCCTTCAAATATTTCTCAATGCGCTCAATGTGTTCCTCCGAACGACCTGAGGACGTAGTAAATATAAATTTTGTTAAATATTTTCTTTCCTTCATACAGAGATAACGCCTGAAACTTCAACTTACTAGTTTGTCGAAGGTATGAAATACTCTGATTATCCACAGGGAAAAATCCTACAGTCGCACCGTACTCTGGACACATATTAGAAATCGTGGCTCTGTCAGCAATACTTAGTTCGGATACACCAGGTCCGAAGAATTCAACGAATTTACCGACGACTCCAAGCTGACGTAGATTCTGTGCATAAATATTTATCTATTTAGTAAATCGTTAACAAGAAGATATCCATTTTGTACGGTTAATCTAATTTTTAATTACCTTCGTTATTGTAAGTACAAGATCAGTAGACGTGACGTACTGGTTTAATTTTCCAACTAATTTGTAGCCGACGACTCTGGGTAGTAACATAGAAATTGCTTGACCTAACATGACGGCTTCTGCTTCGATGCCGCCGACTCCCCAGCCGAGAACTCCAAGGCCGTTGATCATCGTAGTGTGAGAATCTGTTCCAACGACGCTGTCAGGGTAAAGAATATCGTTGCTATCGAAAACCACCCTCGCTAGGTACTCCAGGTTAACTTGATGAACGATACCACTTCCCGGCGGTACGATCAACATATTTTCAAAGGCCTTGGCTCCCCATTTCAAGAACAAAAAACGTTCCTTGTTCCTTTCGAATTCCATATCCTCATTTTTTCGCAGAGATTCCGAACTGTAAATTATTAATGTTTACTCTTTCAGATTTGTATAAAATTTTGAAATTATTTGATTACTACTTCAATTCATTGCATTAGTTAATCATATATTCGATCATTATGTAAATTTCAGGTATATAATAAAATAGATAGATCGACCTTCCCTTAATCGCTTAATCGATGCTTTGATAAAGTCAATTTGGTATAGTTTGATGACCTTATAGGTCGTGTCGATAAATAAGTAAATGTATGTAGATATGTTATCATACAGATTATGTAAAGTATATATCCTTAATAACTCGTAAAGGCTTTCTGAATACTAGATTTCAAATAAGATGAGTTCAAGTAAGTAAAATAATAACGTGACTACATAAAAAGTATTAAGATTTAATCATACATACGTTCTATTAAAGTCGACTTGTACCGAATGATCAATGACCAAATCCGAAGGACATATTGGATTAATTTTATTAGGATCGCCACTTAATTCTTTAACAGCATCCCTCATGGCACCAAAGTCGACGACCGCGGGAACACCTGTGAAATCCTATTAAACAAAACATTCGTGTTATGCATACTACTGATTTAATACATGGACAAGACGACACCGTTAATGTAATCTAGAAACGATCAGGCGCGACTGAGAGGTCAAGGGGCAATGTGCTCCGAAAATGGAAAACGAAACTTAAGTAATAGTGCAACCTTCTACAGCACAAACTCTCGCATAATTTTAAGTCAATGAATATAAAGAAACTGATTTATGTATTCAAAGAGAAACTTCAATACAAACAATACTAAATGGAAAATCGTTCGAGGATACTGATATCAATAGAACTGTTGTCGTTGCAATAAAGAGTAAGAAATTTTGAAATTGGTAAATAAAATATGAAAACCTGTAATACCTAATACGTTCATTAATATAGAATATTCATTTACCTGAAGTATCACCCTGGCTGGTTTAAAAGCCACTTCAACTCCATCTTCCAAAGTTTGATTTTTCTCCCAGTCCAAAATTTTCTCGACATCGCTGCTCTTTACTTGAAACTCATCGCAATTTCTTACGGCGCTTTCTAGTAGAATTCTTATTGAGAACGGTAATCTCTCTGTGTCAATAAAACAATAAAATAAGATTTACACTATGATGCGCTTACGCTTATCGCTTATCTAGTTTATCTAGTTTCTACGCTTATCTAGTTTCCATTCTTTTTCATCCAGAACGTGTATTTTCTTTCTTTTCATCATATTTACCGTAGCGATCGTCGAAACTGGAGACATCGAAGTACTGACGATCCTTCTCGCCAACTTTAATTCTCTTCAACAGAGACTTATAGGGATTCCTAGCTGTAAGTTACAAATAACATCGTGATATCTCTGTGAAAAAATTGTACAGGTGCTATTTGAATTCCACGATTAAATGGCGCTATTGACATTGCTTAATTAGGTGAATTTTATTACTAGGAATCACGAATGGAATCTTTTCAATGTCACAAAATCGCTCTCCAGATGTTCCAATTATTTTAAATCCATCGGTTATTCCGGTACAGCAAACTTTGTTGACGCAATACACGAATGATGGGGAAAATATGTTTCTACAATAGTTATTTCTAAGAAATCTTAGCATTCTTCTGACATTGTCATGGAAAATATTATTTTAGTGGAAGAGAAACTGCATAAATAGATTCGGAAAGCCCGCCTAAGCGACTTTGTTCTCTTTCTAACCTAATCATACGACGTAAAAAAGACAGAAAAAGAAAGTCGCACGGGCTTTCAGTATAACAAGTGAAAGATAATAATAATCTCTTTAATCATCATGCGAGATTCACAAGGTTCATTAAATAAGAAAAAATAAAAAAATAGTTTCAAACTGCTCAAAGATAAGAGGAAGAAGCGATAATGAATAATTATTTGAATATCATGAGGAGAACACGCTTTTTGATAACAGTCACAAAAATGCGGTTTACATGTAATATAATTCGGTACTATATAAAAATAAAATAAACCCAAAATAGACAATGTAATTATAAGACAAATTATTATTCGACTCTCGATACATGTAACAGCTGTATTTCATAAGATATAAAAACAATGCATTTTCCGGGAAAAAGAATCAGGCAAAGATCAATGCATAATACTACTTCATTAAGTCAAGTACTTAAATAATAAAAGTATGTTACTCAAAAAATAAGATTTGAGGAAAAATTATTTCGAATTTTCTGAAATTAACTATATAGGTATAATACGTGAGGACGAGCTGCACGTAAAGTGGGTCGTGTGTTCGTAAGTCTCTAACCTCTGAATATCACTTAAAACAAGATTGTTTAATTATATCTATTTAACACGACGAGAAAATAAATCCTATGCAATAAGATCGATACTAATTAGTGATCTTATTTCTATAAATCTTGTCAAAATCTTAAGGATCAACAACGACGTATATTTTACTCACCAGCCATGATTGTCACTGGCAAAGTCACGTCGTCCACTAGCAACTGTGATGCCATTGAGTCTTGTTCTATACAGCCAAGCACTGTCTACATAGTTATAATACGTAGCTATGCTACAAGAGTTGCTTTTTCGCATGCGTTAAGCTTCACCACCACTTCTGTCCTAGTATTCTAATATGCAAATTTATCAAGTGTTTGATTATGTAATTATTATTGAGATTAGCGTTTTTTATAAAAACAACAATTATACAGTAATGATCGGATAGGATTAACGGATATTTTTGTGCCAAGGACCTTGGTTGAGATTTAATGAAAAGCATGTGAAATTGATACGATCATTTAATGAGTATCTTCGTATAGAAAATATAATACATTTATTTATCTGCTAATAAGAATATATATCATTTCTGATCCAATGTGGTGTTCTGATGGAATGGAACAGTAAAAACGAAGTCCGGTCAGTCTTTATTCATCTTTACTGCTATTTGTAGTGGATTCAAAGTGTACTGATTCAATTGTCGATCTCTCGACTAGTGTTCTGTATTTTTCTACTAAGTCACTGATCGAACGTCTTGTTCTGGTTTTTGTATGACTTTCGGATTTTAACATTGTGGATTTAATGTCAGTCGATAGTTCCACTTCCGTTCCGTCAGCAATTGATGGTTTTGTCACTTTCATGTGAGAAATTGATTTTAATGAATCGACTTCCGTGTCGAAGTGGAACACGTTGTCTCTTTTAGGTACATTACTCATAGTTTTTATTTCGTTTTGATTCGAATTACGAGAGAAAAAGTCAGTTGTTTCTCGCGTGAGATTCAATAAGCTTTTGGCCGTCATATCTAAACTGAGCCCCGATACATTTTCTATTTCTCCAATGGTATTCATGAGCGCTGTCGAATTTGCCTTCGAATTGCTAGGGATGGACATCATACTACTATGTGCTATGAAAAGAGAATATATTAATTGAAAATTCTGTATTTGATAAATTATTACTATTGAGAAGTTTATTTATACAAACCTCTGGTACTGCTATTCTTATTTATAACACTACCAAATAGTCTTGAGTATTTTCCGCCACCTCTAATCGCGGAAACGTTCAGTTTCGATGTGATTTTTCGTAAGGATGACGACGATTGTTTGTCACTGGTTATCGAGGATATCGTATCGTCGAAATTGATTCGCGAAATTAATAAATTTGTTCTCAATTTCGAAGACTCCAGTGTACCGTCGTCCTTCCGTTTGTGTCGTGAAAACAATGCTTTGTGCATTCCTAAAACGAAGAAAGTTTTGTAAAATCATGATTTACTTATTACAATATAAAATTTCTTATTCAATAAAAATACCTTCCACTGGTGAGAGATCCAGTTTTAAAGCGTTAACTTTTCCTGGTTGCTTTGAATTTAAGTCTATTGTTGGCGATGGCATAAAAAGTACTTTGTACGCATCAGGAACCATATTTTTCTTTAGTGAATCGTCAAGAATTTTATCTTTTTGATGGATTCGCACTTGTATCTCACTTGAAAGACACCCCATCCTGGTGAGAAGCATGTGGAATAGATTGCACATTGATCTCGTGTCCTCACTGATGGCGTGCACTTGTAATTGTTGATGAGATAAATCTGGTAGCCTATTATCTTTTAAATGCCATCGTAATTGATAAAGTATTGAACAAAATAATGACAAGAGTGTCGACAGTACAATTTTGTTATTCATATACAACTTGCTAGAAAGTACCTAGAAAATAAGTTTATTAGCTAACTCATGATTTATATGCAAAATAGTAGATGAATTTTAATATCTACCTGAACTTCAGGTGGCAGATTCGATTCGGTAATGATACTCGTATTTACTCTTGGTACAGAATTTCCATCCAATACTTTTGATTCAGAGAGGATATTTGTTATCATATTATTTATGTCCCTGCTAAGGCTTTCCAAGTCTTGCAAAACAGCATGCTTCTTTCTCAGACAGCACTGACTATTTAATATGTTGCTCTTCCAAACTAAATGTATTAATTAATAATTGTTTACACAAAATATATTTACTGTCGCTGCTATGTGTTAAATACTAACGTTCAATGATTTCATCGTCATCAAGATCCATTAGTCGTTTTCTTATTGGAACTGCAACTGGGGCTTTTGAAACAAGATCTCCTAAGATCTTTTTTGTTTCAAATATTTTTGACTGACTTAGAATAATATCGTCAGCTACTTCCCTAAAAAATGTGGAAGACTTGATAACTTGTTTATTTCTTATATAGTCAAGGTAATTGGACGAACCCATATTCATTGCAATATTTTTGTAATAAGAATATTTACTTTGCAAATAAGCTGAAGTCTTCTTTGATTTTTGAAAATTCTTGATCATATTTCTGAATTTCAGATTCAATATTTTCAATAACATTGGTAAAGAATTGTTTTGTCAAATCTTTTGCGGAACCCATTTTTGGTGGAAGTAAAACTTCTTTTTGACCTTAACAATAAATAAGATTCTGTAGTTTTTAAACACAAGTATTATTAATTAATTTACCAAACTTACATTCCATTTTAAGATATGTGTACAAAACAAGTTGAGACAGTTTCCACATAATCATTGTAAACTTAGTACCACCAGCACGTAATAAATGAGATGCCAGTATCGCAGGAAATCCAATATTAGGATTTTCATTTGATAAAATATTCAAATAATCCTTGACATTATTGCGGTACTGTGCCTCAGTCTTCTTGCATACTATTGGCCATTGCACAGCTTTCTTAAACCGCTCTGCATTGTGAATCGTAAGAAGAAAGTGAGATACGTGAATAAAACCCACAGTGTTTGGTTTATCGAACATTCCCTATAACATGGACATAAAATTCATACACCTACACGCTAAGGGCAACGTATATTAAATATGTCAGCGATTTCATAATTACATAAAATGCACTGTCATAAGAATACAGGAGCTCGCAGCAAGATGCTGTTTATGAAGTACAATCAAAAATTCAACCAAGAATATTTATACAATAAACTACCTCAATAAAACAAATAAACGAACCTCGCGAAAATGTCTCCGGAAATCCTCAGTAGGATGAACCATCTCGGAGAGGATAAATACATTTTTATAGAAAGATGCACTAATGTCCGAAGATGAAGATGAATATGGTACACTGGTCATCCCAGGTCGATTAACGAGTGATCGATTGTGAACAAGGGAAGCCTGATGATTTATAGACATATCACAGAATATCAAGTTACTTAACAAATTAATAAAACTCCTTTTAACGGTTATACGCCTCTAATATCTGCAGCGCCATAACGAGTTTTAAATTCCGTTTACAGAGATTGGACCACGTTGCTAAGAGACGGTACTCAGCGTCAAAATGGTGAATCACATATTCTCAATAATTCACATAAAACTCCGACCTCTCGTGATTGTAATCGGTGGACCAGGATCCAATTATATTGTTTAATCTACTAGGGTGACGTGATACAAGAATAATTTCGAAGTGTCCAATACATTAATATCAATTTTCAACTTAGTTCAATCGGTTGCTAAGGAGAATTGGTCCTTGACTGCGTGATGTCTGGACGTCTTGCACTAGTTCCTGCGTATGTCGTATAGAGGACGTTGCGGATCTTCAAGAGTACATATTCGACAGTAGCATGAAAATGGCGGTGTGAAATGGCAGGACGACGTTCGGTACTGACGAATGCGGAATCCCTGTCAGGGTCAGGGGGTGCAGACCCTTTGAGGGAACTCTTCGAAGCCTGCAAAACTGGAGATCTCGTCAGAGTGAAGAAATTTATAACGCCGAAGACGGTTAACGCGAGAGACACGGCCGGACGCAAGTCCACCCCTCTGCACTTCGCAGCTGGTGAGATTCTTTTTTACCCTTCTCGTGGATCCTGCTGCCTTCTCCGTGAATGGATGACATTTGGTAATCGTTTAAACGAGTTTCTCCGTGACAAAGAGTACCCTAGATATAACTCCCACGACCTCCTGGACCGTTAATCCATTGCGGAACTGGAACGGCCTTAACTGTTGTTTGTAGTCATCTGTCATTCTGCGGGAACGTCTTGCGAAATATCTTGTAAAAGAATCAACACGCTGGAAACTTTCTGAATAATACGCCTATCTTGTGTCTCATTTGTAAAACAACATAAACCATACAAATAATTATTTAAAGACTTTCCTGTACCACTTGTTGGGACTGTTTATTAAATTTTATTGCATTTGTTTATATTGCTCTAATCATAACTTATAGATGACTCAACAATCATTGAATGATTATTTGATTACTTTTTCTTAATGGCAGGTGCAAAATATGTTGTTGATTTGGTGATAATAATAATAATAATAATAATAATATGCTTTGTGCTGACAATCAGTGAATGTAGTAAGGTGATCCATTTATAGGTAGTACCAGCGTTAGAATACTAAAGAGAAAGTGAAAGCAATGGCAATTTTTGAAATGATTCATTAAAAGTAAGTGCTGCAATTGCTATAGATTCCATAATGATTTTGTAACTATATAGTTACAAAGTGATACTAGTTACTAGTATCTGTATAAGATAGGATTTCTGCTTAGTGGGCAGAACAGAAATCTAACTGTGCCTTATCCTGAGCATGCAAGCTACTTCCTCATTCATTAGGCATGAAACCTAATGAAAGTATCTAGACTTTTTCTAGCATAATAAGTCTACATGGCAAACTTTTTCAAATTTCATAAAATTATAATTTTTTAAGTGTGCTTGGAATACCTTTCCAATGGAAGCAGCAAGACAGTCTATAAAAATGAAGCAAAAGGGGAGCCGGTGGTCCCAAAATAAATCAGCCATGAAGAAAAATAGGAGACCCAACAGTGTCACATTCTTTCTACCTATCCCTTTCACATGACATCATGAGTCTTATAAATCTTGGAATCGAACATTCTTTTTCAGCTGTCCAGCGAGGAGCATTAATTTTTCTTTCGCACATATTATCCTGACCATGCTCTGTGCTTTTTACTTTTATAATCATCGATGCTCAACAATGCAGATACATGAAAAACTTGACTAATCCACAGGATACGGCAGACGAGATGTGGTAGAATTTCTCCTGTCAGCGGGTGCGTCTATACAGGCTCGTGATGACGGCGGATTGCATCCTCTACATAACGCCTGTTCCTTTGGTCATTCCGATGTTGTAAGACTTCTACTAGAAGCTGGAGCTAATCCAAACACTCGAGATAATTGGAACTACACACCTCTTCACGAAGCAGCTATAAAAGTATTCATCCACTTATAATACATCTTGCAATTAATAGTTGCAAGAGGCAGCATAAGAATACAAAATGCACCTCATAATTGAGTTCATAATTGGATCCGTCTCAACAGGGTAAAATAGACGTATGCATAGCATTGCTACAACACGGAGCAGATGCAAATATACGAAACACAGAAGGCAAAACGGCCCTGGAGTTAGCCGATGCCATCACGAAACCGGTGTTGACTGGTGAATACAGAAAGGACGAGCTCCTAGAAGCAGCCAGATCCGGAAACGAGGAACGACTTCTACAACTGCTAAATCCTCTTAACGTAAATTGCCATGCCAGCGACGGACGGCGGTCGACGCCATTGCATTTAGCTGCGGGATATAATCGTTCACGGGTTGTGCAAATTTTACTTCAAAACGGAGCAGATGTTCATGCCAAGGATAAAGGGTAGAGGAATCAGATTTTATATCGATAAAGGTAGGGGTATGGCTTTGAGACTTACGTAGTATTATAATTAAAGGGGTCTGGTACCACTTCACAATGCTTGTTCTTACGGGCACTTCGAAGTGACAGAGGCGCTGCTGAAGCACGGGGCGGCTGTCAATGCAAGTGATTTATGGGCTTTTACACCACTTCATGAAGCGGCCAGCAAGTCCAGGGCTGAAGTGTGTTCGTTGCTCTTAAGCGAGGGTGCGGATCCTACGCAATTGAACTGCCATAGCAAAAGTGCCATCGACGTAGCACCCACGCTTGAGTTGCAGGAAAGACTGGCGTGTAAGTAAATCAATGCCGAGTCTGTTCGATTTTTTGTTAATTCTATGATAATACGCGAGATTAAGGATTTGTCTGGGAGGCCATGTTGATACTGGCTGAAATACATAAGGCTGGTTTGTAAGAAGTATTAAATATTTTTGACGATTTCAGACGAGTATAAAGGACATTGTCTACTGGACGCCTGCAGGCAGGCTGATCCTACGAAGCTTAAGAAATATCTCTCCCAAGAAGTAGTCAACTTCAAGCATCCTTATACAGGCGACACACCCTTGCACTGTGCCGTAGCCACGCCCTATCCTAAGAGGAAGCAAATAATCGAGACTCTAATAAGGAAGAACGCCGCGCTGAACGAGAAGAATAAGGACTTCCTGACACCGCTCCACGTCGCGACGGATCATTCCCATTACGACGCCATGGATGTTCTACTGAGGCATAACGCTAAAGTCAATGCACTTGATGGTTTGGGGCAGACGGCCTTGCACAGGTAATTTCCGCGAAGGCGCTAGTGTAGTCAGTTGCGTAATGATCTTCATATTTTGCTTCTAAGTTAGCAATGATTTCATAGCGAGTGACGAAAACGTGTGTAAACTACTGCGAAAGGGCTTAGTAATTAGGAACGTTTAAAATAAGAATATTAATCAATGCGTTTAGGTGCGCCAGAGAGGACAACGTTCAAGCCTGCAGGATACTCTTGTCGTACAATGTGGATCCTTCCATAGTCTCTTTGCAAGGATATTCCGCAGCGCAGGTCGCTACGGAAAACGTCCTTAAAATTTTACAAGGTAAGGTCATATTGTGAAGTCATCTTTAGCCTTTATTTTGACTTTTACGTCACTTCTTTAGATCCACCAAGCGGAACGGAAGACGTGGAAGCTCAACTTTTAGAAGCAAGCAAGGCTGGTGACTTGACGGCAGTAGAGAGAATCCTTCAGGCTAATTCGCATGCTGTAAACTGTCGTGACCTGGACGGTAGGCACTCCACGCCGTTACACTTTGCTGCGGGGTACAATAGGGTGCCCGTCGTCGAGTATCTCTTAGCACACGGTGCCGATGTTCATGCCAAGGATAAAGGGTACGGATACTTTCTGACGAAGTCTTACTTGGTCTTCATTTTGTCTAGAACGTTATATAAACTTGTTCCTTTTCGTGTTCCTGGATATTATCAGTGGGCTGGTGCCACTTCACAATGCCTGTTCCTATGGTCACTACGAGGTAACGGAACTGCTTGTTAAGCACGGTGCCTCTGTGAATGTGGCTGACCTATGGAAATTTACACCACTGCACGAGGCTGCCGCTAAGGGTAAGTGCGAAATCGTACGGCTTCTCCTGAGGCACGGTGCGGATGCTACCAAAAAGAACAGAGACGGAGCGACGCCGTTGGATCTCGTAAGAGATGGGGATCAAGATGTGGCTGATCTACTACGAGGAAACAGTGCTCTCCTAGATGCTGCTAAGAAGGGTAATCTGGCCAGAGTGCAAAGACTGGTTACACAAGATAATATAAACTGCAGAGATGCTCAGGGTCGAAACAGTACTCCGTTACACTTGGCTGGTGTGTATACAAGCAAATCCTTGAACTTCTACAGACTTCAGTTCAACTGTCATGTTTTTTTTTCTGCTTTTTAGCTGGATATAATAATCTCGAAGTGGCGGAATTCCTACTAGAACGTGGTGCCGACGTAAACGCTCAAGATAAGGGGGGTTTGATACCCTTACATAACGCTTCAAGTTACGGGCATCTGGACATTGCGGCTTTGTTAATAAAATACAATACAGTCGTTAATGCCACTGACAAATGGGGCTTCACGCCATTGCACGAAGCTGCGCAGAAGGGTAGAACACAATTATGTGCTCTTCTGCTAGCACATGGAGCAGATCCCTTCCTGAAGAATCAAGAAGGTCAAAGTCCTGTCGACTTGGCTAGTGCAGATGACGTTAGATGTTTACTTCAAGATGCCATGGCATCCCAACAAGTTGTTCCTTCCGTTCCACCGAGTAGACCACCGAGTATAGTTGCGGGTGAGTACAAATTGTTACAATTTAATGTCATTATTAAGAATGAAATTAAATATTTACTATTTACAGTTCCTGTTACTCCACCACCACCATTGACACAAGAGACCGTCATAATGCCTTCCGGCGCTGCTATGACGCTTTGCGTACCAATGGCTAGACCTACTTCCTGTCTGAGTCCGATGCCCTCGATAGAACCTTGTTCAGAAAGAGAATCGAAGGATATGTGCGAGGAGCGTAGCACCGCCAGTGTCACAACTGTTGCTGGTTTTCTTCAGAGTCTTGGTCTGGAGCATTTGCTCGAGTTGTTCGAGAGAGAACAGATCACTCTGGACATCCTGGCGGAAATGGGCCATGAAGACCTTAAACAGGTCGGGATCTCTGCTTATGGATACAGACACAAGCTTATCAAAGGGATGGACAAGCTTCTTAGCTCTACGGCAGGATCCCTCTGGCAACCATCAATTAATCCTGGAACTCTATTGGTCGATCTCCTGGCAGAGGACAAGGAATTCCTGGCCGTTGAGGAGGAGATGCAGAGCACCGTCAGAGAACACAGAGACAACGGACATTCCGGTGGCGTCTTTTCTCGCTACAACATCATCAGGGTGAGTTTCAGAGATAATGATACGTGGGGAAGTTACGAGAATTCTATGATATTTCATTTCTGTATTTACCCAGATACAAAAAGTGCAAAACCGGAAGCTGTGGGAACGATACGCCCATAGAAGACAGGAAGTGGCAGAGGAAGTCGGGGCTGCACCAGCATCACCTAGTACAACTCCTAGAGCAACTCCTAGTCCAGCTGCACCTCAAGCTAACGAAAGGATGCTCTTCCACGGTAGCTCTTTCATAAACGCCATCGTTCAAAAAGGTTTTGACGAGCGCCATGCTTATATCGGTGGAATGTTCGGTGCTGGCATCTATTTCGCAGAGCACAGTAGTAAAAGTAATCAATACGTTTACGGTATCTGTGGCGGTACCGGATGTCCAGCACATAAAGACAGAAGTTGCTATATCTGCCACAGGTAATAAAAAATTTCAAAAATACAATTTATTTAAAGAGACAGCAAAAAAAAATAAACTCAACCAACAATTCCAGGCATCTGCTACTCTGTCGGGTAACACTCGGTAAATCGTTCCTGCAATTCTCAGCGATGAAGATGGCACACGCTCCACCAGGACATCACAGCGTGATGGGCAGACCATCTCAAGGTGGTCTAGTGTTCCCTGAATACGTGGTATACAGGGGTGAACAGGCGTATCCCGAGTACCTAATAACCTATCAGATCGTCCGACCCCAGCAGGAAAGCGGAAGTGGCGAGGGTGGTGAAGATCGGTGATCGGAAGAGGTTAGCCCCACGGCAAAGCTATGCCGTCTCTGTTGTTATCAGAGACGAAGAACCTGTGACGTCATCTCCTAGGTCCTGGCCAGACATTTACTCTATCCATCCTATCTCGCAATGGTTTATCTAACGCATCGCACTAGGACTTTCATCGAAAGCTGTCTAAGCTCTCGTAGGTGTGAGCTACGTGCGGGATCTGATTGATAAGGTAATCAAGACACTATGATTCTCTGAACTGAACTCGGATACTCGTGCAAGCGAGTCCCAACCTCTCGTATATCGATGAAACTGAATTCGCGCGTTTTACGTAGAGTAAAGCTACATGGAAAAGTCACGAGATGGTTACGTTATTGCGCGACTATACTAGGACAAACTGATCTCTTATAGATCGGTATTTCAAACGATCTATGAATAAACAAAGGCCACGAAGCGAGCAACGAGAATACCGTTGAGTCAATTGCTAAGGAATACGATATCTGGTATTCCTTTTTATATCAGCGGTATACGTAAGTGTGTATAGATTATAATAACATAACTGTCTTAATGGACACTAAACGTTATATTAACGATTATTACAAAGAGAGACGCTTAAATTGGCACAATTCATTCAAGGTTTCATTGATACTCGTTCTATAGACGTGGCGCTGCGTTCGTGCGAGATTAATATTTTTTCTGTAAAAAAATGCTCAAAGAATACCCCGTAATGTGTCGCCAGAGACACCTTAAAATATTATTTTTTTGGACAAATGACTATAAAATAGCCTAAAAATCCCCGATAGTGACGTCATAGGCATCTAAAATATTTTTAGCGAAGGGGAAACCTACTAAAAAATATTTTTTAAGCAGGTCAACAGTGCCAAATCTTGTAGGAAAAAGGCCAGAAAGCGTTTTCTTCGAGCATTTGTTACAAAAACCGTTGTATCTAGCTGCTAACGAATGAGTGTAAGACTCGTGTGATTGTTTCACTCGCCTAACGGCCGTGTACAAAATTTCACACTCGTGTATTAAACTCATTCGTACTAGATAGATAAAATACTAGTTTTCTCTCTTCGCTCCTAGCCGGAAATTTTCTCATGTATCAATCAACCATTCATTTCGAAAGACTCGAATTTTATTCGATTTTCGGAATTTTATTGATTGCCAATATACCTTGGCACTCCGTCATTCATCTCTAAAGGAAATCATGGTTACTTTCATACCAAGTACCAGTTTTGTCAGATGCGTCTTCGAATTAATTGGGATACAGAATTTAGTTGTTTAATTAACCTAACGCGTATCTATACGTACAGATGATTATTCAATGTTATATTAATCTACAGGGTGAACCGAATGTGCCGGTATCTCCCTGTATATATTTCTAATTTCGCAGTATTACACTTAGATATACAATATGAGAGTTATCATAGCAATTCGTATTATGGTATCGATTACCAATAATTAAACGAAATCCGTGATTTTATATTTCTCCCATCTTCCATGCGCTTCATGTAAAATTTCCATTAATCTCGTCGTACGTCGCAGTGCTATTTCGAAATAAAATGACCTGGCAAATCTGGTGGCTCGTACGAATTAAAATTAAAAAGAAATGGTATAGTTTATAAACTATAATCTGTCCACGATAAACAAGTCTGACACGTCCGCGTTCAGTGCGTGCGTGAGTGCGTGTATCCATATACACTACAATATAAAGCAAGGGATAGATAGTGAGAAAAAAAATGGCGGATAAAGTGTTTAAGGCGGACAAAGCGAATAAAGATGAATTGAAGGGAGGAAAAGAAAAGTAAATACTTGAAAGCCGATAATATTTTTCAGGGCGATTTTGCGCGCGCCACTATTAGCTAGTTTATAGGTGACGGTGGCTTTTATTTATGGGTATTTAGCTTGGATAAATATCTGATAAATAAATGAATAAGCAGAGTATACACGGGTGTGTTATTTTTAATAATCGGTCATTGGACAAATGTCGATCGCGTAGTCTTATCATTCGGTCACCCTCGGGTACACGTTACACATATATTATGTATACATGCGTTCACACGTAGTCAAGAGTAAACTGTAAATGAAATCCTTGGAATTCTTTTTCCATGATTCTCAGTAACCTGAGTGTATCTTCCCGCTTTTGTTATCATTTAATTATAATTTATTCTACCGCACTGAATTGTCTCTGCGATGCCGACCAAGGATTGACCTTTGACCTTACTAATCTGATTCCATAAAATCTGAACATCCTGTACGTTATTCGGGATGGATCTTATACGTAGAAAATGCTAGTCCGTCGGTCGGCTTCACGACGCTTGTCCTTCTCACATGCGTAATGTATGCTCGTACGACATACCATATGTGATACGATTGTCTGTGGTCAGGGGCATATGTTATTCCGTGAAAAAAATAACGAGAGTAATAGACTATTTCTAAATCTCATTGGCAATATTTACGTGCACCGAACTATCTAAGTCATTGGAATCAATCGTGCGAGTAAATATGACGTTTTACGTAATCCCATGTGTATATATCATGATATGCGTATTAGCTGGGTGGGTCGTATGCGGAAATGCAAGGTTGTTTCACTTGAAATGCTTGGAAATTAAGTATAGTCAAAAACCGAAGTTGCATTATAATCTTTATCAAATAATTAGGAAACTTGCGATCAGCTTAAATCAATATAATGACAATACGAATATTTCAGAATTTTGACGAATTTTTTTAAAAATCTTTATGCGATCGCTGTTCTTGATAATGTCGCTATTATTACTGTCGTTGTTCGTAGCGTTACTATAAATTATTCTGGTGTCGCGATTAAATGCAGATTTTTGGCTTCCTATGCTATTCTGTATCCGACGATGATCGGATGTCCTGTTGACATCCTTTGGACATCCTATGGACGTTCTGTGGATATTATATGTTGTAACCAGACTTATTCTCGGTACACCTGTGGTAGATTTATCGGGAAGACGATCGTATGTAAACTTAAGCATTGTAACGAGGCAATGTATCTCCACTGTATTAACTTATACATATAGTCTAACGTTACGCTATTGTCACGTAATAAAAGAAGGATATTCCATAGGAATATCGTAGGTCTCATTTGTCGATTGGATAAGTCGTCAACGACATTTTCAATGTCAAAGACAAAAGGTCTAGGATTATTATTTAAGCAATTCTTTACTATAATTTACTAAGAACCCATCTGTGTGATATCTTTCTTAAACCTTAACTACATACGTGCGATCCGAGTTTTACGTTTAGCCCTCCTGTTCAGTTTGTTTCTACGTAAATTTTCAATAAACTAAGGAAAATCTATTACATTATTATTATTTGATACCAAGTCGATAAAATTATTTAAGATAAGAGGAGAGCTGCGTAAAACTGTACTTTCACTCTCACGTACCTTATATTGTTAAGTGTTCCTAAAGTCGGACCTTTGTAGTTTAGGATCAATGATCAAATCTTCCTTACTTTGTAAGCGTTAATTGACCTCTTTAAAACTTTATATGAAATGCTATTGATAAAGCGGTCCTTCTAAGGCTCTTCTAGTAAAGGTTAAAATAACAGTAGAAAATTTTGAAGTCTTATCAAACATTTTAGCAACATTTTATTTATTATGTTACTCTATTACTGTATCTAATGATATAGCTTCAGTTACCAGGTAAGTAATGATGTGGTATTTTTGGTTTATTTTCCTTTACAAAGAACAACGAATTTTCTTAGAGTGTAAAAAAAAGTGTTGCACAACGCCGATGGATAAAACTTCTAAATATAGAAGGGGCTGGCCAAAAATATATACTTATTACTGCTCTGGTCACGATAAAGCGAAAACTATAGAGATAACTCCAAAGTGTCACCCGATAATCATGGATAGCACCTCTTATATATCACGCGTAAAAAAAAAGAATCAAACAAACAATCCATGAAACGTTAAATAACTTTATAGTGATACATATAGTATAGAGAATCTAGTTTTTTTAATACTTGTGTATACAATAGATAACTCTACGGCACGCTTCAGCTGTCCTAATCGTACGTAACGATTATTTCGATATCGATATATCCACGAGTAAACCTATTCCATATGGAAAAAGTATTAATGAAGATGGAATAATTATGAAAAAAAAACTGAGTCAAACAATTATAATATTAATAGCCTGAAGGCCGATAAGGCAGGACAACGCGGATAAATAAAATGATATTCGGTAATTGCGTCGATTCCGATAAAAATACACGTATAACTTGCCCAGATAAGGACAAAAAGAGGAAGCTGAAAGATTGAAAAAACGTATGACGCAGTATCGAAGAAAAATTATCCCGACGCCCAAAAACGTCAATCACATTGCGTGACCAGTAACACCAGTGGTCAAAGTCTCCCTACATTATCGACTTGTGCGTGCATGATTTTTCCTGGGTTTTTTTCTTTACGAGGCCGTGAGATTTTGTCGCCATGAAAATGGCGATTCTTTACAAGTACCTGGGAAAGGACGTTATTCATTCCGTTGGTATACTTGACTGTGCGGCCAGTTGGAAGTTGCATCCTTAGCGATGGTATCGTTCTGAACGATCGACGCCACGATAAATTGTCTTACTTCGCGCGAAGAACGCACGGTGTCTGCATTTTTCTCCTGATCTTTTTTCTTAACTTAACCTAACCATTTGTTTTTTCGCGACATACTGCGTCACGCGATCGTTCCTAGTTTACTTCTGGTTGTGTGATTTTGTTTATTTAGGTGGTGACTTTTTTCTTTTAGGAATTTGTCATCGATTCTACCATCGATCTTAGTCTCTCGTATTGTGGTTATGTCTGTAGGATTTACCAATGCACCGTGGATATCAATATACTGCCTGTCAGTATACTCTTGGGGATGTAGAAACTCGTGGACTATTTGTTCTACTGAGAATGAGCAACAGACCGTAAAATTGTAAGTGCGTATAAGTGTCTGTATATAAGAGAATCGCTACTTATCTCGTTGGCAAACCTGTAATAATGGCATTAGACGTTAGCCTATCGATGCCCATGATAAAAATAACCGGGAACGGGTTTCCCTCAGGAACTCATAGAGATTTATTGCTTTTGCACAGATACCTGCCGACGATGCTGATGTACCCGATTGAGTTAATTGGCATACTCGCGTGGCGGATAGAAGAGATATCTATTTTTCTTTTCTTTTTTAAGAAATAAAAAAATGTTTAAGTTTATACGGAATCTTCAATGAAAACCGTTTCCTGCTTTTTAAAACATATGTATGTACTGACGTACCGAGCGACGTGAATTGGTCGATGTGATAATTGCGTGGTGTAAAATTTATGCAGGATATTTTTTTGCAAACTAAGGGGAACAAACTGACCAGTATGACGGTAAACAGCAAAGTCAAGAGAAGATATTTGGGAAGGCACAAGTATGGAAGATATTTCTTTATCCGTATATAATTAGGTAATAAAAAGTCATTCTGGCTGTAGGTAGAATGATCCTTCGCTAATATTTAACACTTCCGCCGACAGAGGGGTGCAGGTTCCCTCACACAGTCCTGTCTGTTGGCCTGTGCGAAGGAGATGCGTATAAGTTTGTCACTGTTAAACCCTATTTACCATGCACATAGTGGCGGGCTTTCTTGATATCTAATTTCCAGTAATGTGTACCCCTGTTCAGTGTGGGAGTACTGTATGGTTTTTTTTTTTAATAGTTACAATAATCAAAATCATAAATTCGAAATGTACTTACGTATTGATTACAGTATTACAAGATGTCATCCAGACGCCAACTTTGTCCCGTAAGTTTTTTTTTTTTCGCAATATGTAGCTTTCAAAACGTCAGCAAAATAAAGGCGTAATTGGCAGAAACAAATTTATAAGCCGAATCGCATAGTCGGATAAGATAGCTTCTCGTAACCCGGCATAAAACATCAGTCGATAAGGGGATAAAAGGCGAAAAGAATAAAAGGGGAAATCAAACCGAGGTATAAATATATCACCCAAGAAATAAATTATTAATGTTGTTCGTTGCAGAAAAATATACAACAATTTTAAAAATAATTCTTTTATCACACCGACTATTATCTTTTATGTCTGCAATAGACGGGCTTGGTGGCAGCCAGCTAAAGCATCTGCTATAAGGACATGGAAATACGGACAAAGGGCTTATCAGAGCGTAATGACGAGGGTTTCGTATTGCCAACTTGAAAAACTTGATTTTCTTATTATGAGTACGAAGTAAGCAGCCGAGAGAATTGAAGCTCCGACACAGCGTTACGCATTGCGATTCTCGTTCCGTAAGGGCGTGCGCGTAAGACAATTGTACACAGGTTCGATATTAGATAATAAAGAGGATATAGGTATGACGTTTTATTCATTCATTGTAAAATTACGAAGTCAAGCCTGTTGCGCAACATTTGTTGACACATTTAAAAAATGCTAAGTCAATACATGTAAATATTTGTATAAAAATTGAAAAACATTACATAATAACGTTCCAAGTAATGCAGAAATTTAGGAAGATTATTAATTTGTTTATTAATATGTGCTTTTAAAGTTCTCTACTCGCCTCATTTATTCTTTCTTTATTTCTGCGTGCCTTCCTTTCTTCGCGTAGTATCCATGACTGACTCGAGTAGTGAATCGTGAGATAAGGAGACATCTATAATGTAAATATACTAAAATGCGGTTTACGACGTTTTAGGATACTCACGTTATCACGCCTATAGATACTGTAGGTTCGCGTAACCGCGGTCAGGGTTAGGCATCATCCTAATAATCGTAATTGAAATTCGATAAGCTAATATATTGCATACATTCGTATGACATTTTTCGTTAGAGTCCATATTTCATACTAAGAGTTGGCGGGATTTTTAAAAAACTAGGAACTCTAACGAGAAGGGAGCGCTAGCTCGAGATTACGTTGGTATTATTAACGACGCGTGGCCGCCCTGCTAGGAGCATAATTATCGGCTGGCAGATTCTCGTGTGGTTTATCGTACTAAGATCAGGGTCGAAACTATGTTATGAAACGTTTATTTCTACCGTACTTTACTTATTGTTAGTGCGATCTAGTTCGTGCATAGTGTCTAGTGTACCGCAAGAGTTATTGGGACATAACCTTACTCGAGATATACGAAGTACTAACCTTCAACGGGAGAACGTTATTAATTTTATTATTCTATTATTATCTCGTGTCTACGTATATGTGTTTGTGTTTGTGTATATATATCTACAGCTTTGGCCATAATTAGGAACGATGCAAACTGTGTATTCATTTCCATCCGTCAAGGGGCTAGAGATAAACTACGACCATGCGTCACGGCTTTCCCTGTCAATGAATCATTTTCTTGTTCTTCGTCTTTGTCTTCCTTAACTCTTCCTTACAGTCTTCGCGCTTCACGGACCCTTGCAATTATTTATAGTTCTAATCAACCGTGTATACAACATTATACAGACCAATCAGAAACATTCCACGGATTATTGAACTTTGTCGACGGGAGTGCATCGTGTCATGCTCAATGGACCAATTGATATATAAGGTTTGATTCATTATTTTTCTTGTATTACGAATAAATACAATTATTCAGTGCCAATTGAAAATCAGTCTTCGAAGTTTTTATTATACTTTTAATAGGGTTATAGTATTATGAATCAGTTGTTCCGAAGGAATTTATCAATGCTGTAAACATGCGAACTAAGTATTGCATGTTTATACATAAAAGTGAAAGCTATCGTTGGGTTATCCATACTTGATATTATATTTTTATTGAAAATCAATGATAACGGATATTAGACCTTCACGTGATCGATGCTCTCGTTGATTTGTAACAAATTTGTTGTTTCATAGATTCTGGTAACAGACATCAGATTGGTATCACCAGCTGTTGCAGTATGGTATACGTAGTATTCCAATAGATCTAGACAGATTAGTAAAGGGAAATGATTTAATACTTTATCGATATCTTTATTTTGCACTGTGAGTTTTTTGGATTAGTTTTGAGTCTCTTACGTAATTGAAAACTTCCGAGAGACTTTGTACACGATAAAACGACGATCGATTTTCCTTATATTCAAAGTGAAGCTAAAGTTATCTTAGGCTACTTATAGTGGCGCCGGTAATATCGCTCGAGTGATATGGGTCATTGGCCATTGGGCACCTCGTCTAACGACTAAATGATTACGAACCAATACAATTCTACGCAACTACATAATTTTTTATTTTACAGCCACGTTTATCTAATTAAAGTATATTATACACAAACTATATACCATCATTTCTATCTTAAGTTTCTAGTTCAACAGTGAACACGCTTCGCACGAGTATTATTTGTATTTATTAATCGATAGGTGAAGCCTGATACATATGATTGTCGATAAATCCCGATTGGGGTACCTTCGCCATAAAGATTTTATAAGACAAGACTTACGTCTCTGATCATCGATTTATATTCGCACGAAATTATCATGTCGTTTATTAATTGATCAGCTGATAACTGTCGGACGTTGATTGATTCATTTTTATTTTTACTATAAGAATTTTTTATTTACGTGACAATTACGATTGTTTCTATCCTGTATACGAGTGTTTTACGTAATTTTCGTATTTTTTGTATTTTTCGTCTTTTACATTTAGATATAATACGGATTTCTATTCAATCCAGAAGAGGTATTATGCATGCCGGGTCAAAGATCTGGATTTTCAAATAATTAAATATTAAGGATGTTGATAGAATTTTGAGTAGTCATTAATTTTGATAGGTTAATTAATCGTAATATTACCGTAAGACGAAGTATAATACGAATTATCAAAGTTCGAAAGGCGTAAACGGATTACCCAGTGGGTCGCTGGAATATCATTGGTCAACGTTTTCCAGATACATACACCTTCCTCGACCAATCAGAGCCTGGAATTTCTCTGGTTCCTCCGCACTTCGTCGCCGCTCACAGCACTGCCTTGCGCGTTGGTGTTAATGATGATGATGCGAACTCGAAAGACCCCTGATAAATAGAAGATGATAAAGACCGAGGAAAGGGAATCTATTCGGGAAAAATGCTACTCGCCAGTCAGCAATACTCTGGATATTTGTCTGTAGTGATGAATGTCCTCTTTTTTTTTTAATTCTCAAGACGGCCTGGTGATTTTCCAATCTTCAAACTTCTCCCTCCCGCTCCTCTCCGAGACCGCGATCTTGATTCTATATCGACAAATATTTACTAGACTCGATCCGCATAAAATTGCAAAGTCGAGGACGATCCCCGAAGTTGCTGACGTTTAGTCGGAGGTTAAAGTGGATTCTTTACCAAGAGGGCGGTACGTGTTGGTTTTAGAAATTTTGTTTATTTATTTATTTTTCCTATTAATTTCCACACTCCCTCGTCTAGACTACGTTACTAGTCTCATGCAGTGTTCTGAAATTTTTCATCGACCTCCACTGACCCCCGACCCCGTAATATCCTTATACGACGAAGTATAAGCGATTATTATGTCCAGCTGTGAAAAAATAAACATCGGCAAAAGTATTGACCTTGTCAAAACGTCATTCCGTATTGATTGCAGTCGTGTGCTGCAATAGTGGGATGACAATAAATTCTAAATATTTGTTCGCTCGTTATTACTCGTTATTCCCTACATATACTTTGACACAGATGAAACTACGATGACAGACGTTAAATTATTAATATGCAAACAGAGTTCAAAGGTATGTCTGCAGGAGGTATAAGGTACAGTCATGACATAACAGAGCGTAAATGGGTATCAATCGTGTAATGAAGTTCCAAAGAAAGACTGTTTCTTTTCAAATTTTCACAATCATTCAAACGACACAATTTTAAGATTTAAGGTTAGGCTAACAGTATTTCTATAGGACGAGTCACTAATCTCTTACATATGTTCAGAAGACGTAGGAATTACCGTTTGAGGACTCAAGTTATCTGTATAATAAATTTCAGGCATGAAATCCCTTGGGTCCTTGGTATATCTCTGCAGTGTGATTCATTTGTTTTTACCGAAGTTGTTAAGGCTGTCAAAAGTGATTGTTACGTTAAAAAATGTGCAGATATACTTATGTATATATATATAATACTCTCTCTCTCTCTCTCCTTCTTCATAAAGAACTTTTTAAATCGTCACGCCAATATACACGATGGCACGTAACACGAACATGACGGTAGAAGGCAGTTGCTAGTTACAAGGATATTCTGTAAGAGGGCGTGCGGTGGCATTTAAGTAGCGCCTATGGTTAGCGCGGAGGAACTCGGTGGCAGAGAACTCTGCGCGGCCCTTGCGAGGAACGAAGATAATATTTTGAAGATAAATTGATTACATTAAAAGATTGTCCGTTAAAAATAGACTTCCCTAGGGAGCACCATAATAGGCACTGGTTATGGTCGTTGTATGGAATGCGAATAGGTACAGTCAGGGACAAGAGAAGAAAATTGAAAGCTTTTTCTGTTGTTATTCATATTCACCCTGGTATACGTGACTGTTGAAAGAGACATTTTAACGTGGTCACTGGGTCTCGGAGACGCCTTTCGTGCACACTAGGGTTAACGAGGATTTAATGATTGATGGAGAGTTTTCGAAAGCGATAAAAAGCATAACGGTCAGTTATTTTTGAATGATACTCGTCAAAATTATTACGTGGGATTATCGATGCTCTGAGGAATCAATTTCTTTTATGACTGTTTATTGATAACTCAAATTAGATAATAAATTTTTATACATGAATTTATGTCGGATATTACATTTAGTTAACTGTACTTGGGTTTAAGAAACGCATAATAATAAATAAATGTTGGGAAAAATAAAATATTTTATATATTTATTGAATTCAAGGTCTTTGTGGTATTTGAATAATGTATAATTGCATTAGGATGCCTTGTAAGTGCAGTTCAGTAAGGTTTTAATAATCTTGTTTATCGGACACTGACAAGTTCAACCGAACGAAGAGACGAAAACTCAAGATGAGATGTTCTGCATGCTACTATCACTTGAAAGACTTGAAGTAGTTGATGGTTTGCCGTTGCGAGAGGCTTGACAAACGAGTACGTGACCTTCGCACAGTTACGATTGGTAAGTATATACTGTCATTTAAATTATATATATATATGGGTCGGAGGTTGCATATAAGCTGTAAAATTATAAAGTGGCGAAGAAACAGCAGCAGGACTAATTATAACATTTACTTATCAAAGTCTGTGTTTATTTGTGTGACTTACCAATGGACCCTTGAACGTTATTCTTCTAGAAAAAATATTTACTGCGTAGATTAGACTAGGAAGGGCAAGAGTTGTGACACCGAAATTCGGTCACCCTTGCAGTTACACCGATTATTAATGCAAAAATCGTTTTTTATGACATGTTTCTGTATACTGAGTTTATGAATACTTAATATACAGAGTCAGAGAAGAAGCCAGTGAGGGTGAAATATAAGGATAATGTGAAACGTTCCTTTGTCGTCCGGTTCAATGCCAGGAATGTGACTTGGGGGTTGAAAATGCAATAGTTTGAGAAATTTCGTGAGACCCGCCCCAGTCTCTTTCCCTCAATGCCCTGCACGTGCGTAATGGACAATCTGATTGGTTGTAGAAAGCCGATCACGTGAAACACACGAGGCCAACTCTGCGCATGCGCATGCACTGTATGCCGGGGCCACGAGACAAACCAGAAGAGCCGGGCGAAAAAACCACAGTTGGCGATGCCGGCTAGTGTTGTGAGGTCCGTTGAGCCTCTCGCGCTCTAATTTAAATTGTCACCACACGGACGGACTTTTAGTAATCATCTAAACGCGACACAATAAACACCCTCGCTATGAGTAACGTGTGAGAAAGTAAAAGGCTTTTGCTAGCCATTCGCGGTAAAGTCTTCCTTGAAAAACGTTAAAGATCTTTTCTTCTTCTAATTTCTTTTTTCTTTTATCCTTCTGTACTTGTAATTTAATTTAATTGGAGACTGTTTATACGATCTATAAATCTTCGTGCGCGTTCAAGTTTAGCTAAAAGCTCAAAGGATGTACCGGTGAGAGAAATAATCGTACGATTCTCTGAGGATCGTTGACCGTTTATTACGAAGAAGTATATTAATTATTAAGATTGTGCGTCGATTTATACGAAGAGGGAAGAGTACACGAAGAGAATACACCGTGGGAATCAAATTTTTTACCTTTGGAATTTTTCTTCTGCAATAACAAGTAAGTTTTGAGACTTCATATGTGCTTCTTGAGAAATGTCTTATTTAAATTGAGAAATTATATATATTTTATGCGTAAGCTTCTTGTGATATTCTCACGTTCCAATTTGCTTACAAAATTCTGTGGCATTTTCAGGCTAAAATTGTTTTTTTTTCTTCAATTTGTCAATATATTTGTTTTGATGCCCCCGAACGTGTCGTGCATGCCACGAGAGTTGACATTGGTTATTAGTACGAGTAGTCAAAGTGCTGAAAATTCGGGAAGTCAAGTTTCTCTTCATTGAGGCACGTAGTCGCTAAGGGAAACTAGTTTCTAAAGGAAAAGGAAAGACATATTGAGAAATGCTTTGCTCTTACCGATTTTCAAAATCCCTTTTGACAACCCTGCGAGTACAGTAAGCACGCAAAGTTTAAAGGAATCCTAAAAGGCAAGAAATTTCGAACGTAACCGTCAAATTCGAGAAAGCCAGTAACGTTACTTGACACGATCTTGTTAGAAAATTTTGAAAAATTCATTTGCGGCGCAACTAAAAGTCCGCTGTGCTTTTCGAAATTTACATTGAACATTTTCTACGTTTGCACACGTGTCTACTTAACGGCTGCTTGTAACTAGTGTCGACGTAAGAAGAAGCTAACTTCGCTCGGAAGAAAAGTTCAATATTTGCTTTCTACTTCTACGTTGAAGAACTACAAAGACTAGCCCAGAATATTCTATTATCTCGAGCGAGCGTTTTGGCTGAATTTTCAAACTGACAATTCTGCGCCAAAAATTAAAACTTTTTTTTCCCCCTTATTACTCCGATCACGTTCTTATTCAACAATATAATAGACTTTCTTAGTACAGTAATGATTATTCAAACATGAATCTAGTCGCTATATTTGCCGAGTTAACGTACTTAAACAATTATATGCTAACATTGGCCAGCTGCTTTGACTTATATTGACCAACGACCGAGACACAGACGTTATTTAATGGTTAGATTACTTAAGATCTCACGGTCGGAGTTCACTGCCTTCCACACTTGCTACCCAGTGACGTAGCATCTTGAATGTTCTATATTTATTTATACGTCGTACTCAGTAACACGTGCTAAAATTCTAATCCGCATTTACCAATCGGTACAGTATAACAAGTCTCGTGGTACCTGCAACCACTTTCTTTTTACACAAGTACAAAGAATTCGAAATATTCATTATATGCTGGTGGCAGTACGCAACAGCAAATCTGGACCCCACAGAAGGAATCGGCGATGGAGGTCGCGAGCTATACCCAATATGAAAAAGAATTGCAGAATCGGAATTCCATTCTGGTTCTTTTAACTGCCTTCTCGTACAATTCCTTATAGCGTTAAATCCTTCCACTACGGAGCCTCGTACAAGAAGCTATCCAACCTCACCTGGTCTCTCGTCTAAGCGCTCAGAATATAGATTAGTCTCCGGATTGTCGGTGCTGGTTTTAGTGATCGTACCAAACCGGCCGAACAACTCTGCCACGTCGAGCGGACCATGTATCCCTCTTTCTATACCTTACTCTTCGGAGCTTGTAGGCATTCCAGGGTTGAAAGCTGTGAAAAAAGGAATGCTTTTTTTTAAAGAAAAAAAAAAAAACGTAGATTTGGAAATGTATGAAACCAATAGGAACCCCCTGTGGTCCTCGCTATTATTGTTAATTCTGTCCGTATTAACCTAGATCAGTAGTTCGTTAATACGTTGTAATATCTCGAAGCGGCTTTCTTTGATTTTTAATACAATCAAAGGAGCGATAATGCAACGTCACCGACACTGACCATTCGTACAGTGGATTTTAATGAATCTCATTATCGGAGTATACTAATCGAGTAGTCCAGCCGAAAATAGATTCACGATTTTTTCTCATGCAGTGGTATCTTAATTGCATATCGTATTGATACCATTGAGAGAGCAGGAATATAATCGTCGATAAAACTGAATGGGTTCAGAACGTATGTTTGGCTTTATTAATACTCATAATAGACAGGTTTAGAGTAAAAAAATATATATATATACACATGGGTGTATAAGGTAATGTGTAATCAGCCGATGGCACCTGGAAAAAAACGACCTTGAGACAAGTTTTTTTTTTTTCTTCTAATAATAATTAACGACCAAGCGCCAATCGAGAGACAAATTCGCGATGTTGGTTTGACGTGCAAAGCGCTTTTAATATTTACTCGCGCCGCGACGCCTGAGCATACTTTCTTATTTACATTTGAATCGGGTGAGTCGCGAAGGCGACGCAAGGGGAATGCCGCACGAATGGTACACCCGAGAGTCTCTCGATAATGTGAAATTCTTTGGCTCTGTGCGGCCAGATGGAGCAACGAGAAAAAAAAAAGTTGCCGCTCAAATATTTGTGTAAACAATTTCGTCTTTTTTTTTTTTGCACTTTTTATTATCTTACACGACGTATGTTTACCGCAAAACTGTTTGCAAATAAATACATCGAGGGCGCTTGGATGACTTTTTGAACTTTGCTCGGAGTCAAGTCTCGACTAATGTCAAACGTTAAGTGTCCCGTTGTATAATGCATTTGTGTTGTAGACACTCGAAAATAAAAGAAACGTGATGAGAATTTACCAAGCGCCACCAGTAGTTCAAGTCAATATCAGAACGTCGGAGCGGCCAAATGTCGCGAATCTTTCTATCTCGAGTATCGGTACGGGTACTCTAAGCAGGCAAGTATACCTGTAGCTGGTAGGAATGGCCTTTATGTCACTCGTATACGTGGGAGTGTGGCTTGGTAGAACAATGGAGACACCTGGGATGAAAGAGACGAATAAGGAGACGAGGTGGAAGGATAAACGTACGGCGAGAGCGAGAGGGCGTTCTAAACGTGGGACGAGTTTATAAATAGCGGCAGTCGCTCGATTCTCGTGCAGTTCTTCCCTTCCGCGTTTCTAAATCAATCGAAAAAGACAGGAACGAGTCGACGTCGGGACGATGCTGCGAAGTAGATTCTTGAAAATTAACTTTTTACTTCAGTTCGATGCTTCTTTTTTTTTCCCCCCTTTCTTTCTCGAGAGATATTTTTTCGCGCTATCGCTGTTACGACCAAAGTCAAATCGGTTCCCGGGACGCGGCGCGTCTATTTATAGACGCCGCAGGGGATTATGTAAAATTATTCGACGCTGCCAAAAATAGAACACGCCCGAGGCTTCAACTGATGCGTATTCGCACTGCTTCAAGTTCGAGCTGCGACATTTTTTAGCAGTGGCGTAGCTGGTGAAACTAGGCGGGGGAATTAGAAATTGAAAGAGTAAGAGAGAGAGAGAGAGAGGGGGAAGATACGACACATGGGTTAACATTTTTTGCTTGATATTCTATCTCTCCCCTCCACCCTCCCTCTCTATCGCTCTATCTCTCGTATGTTTACGACGTGTATTCGGGAAAGTTTCGATAACGTGAACATTTCGTGATCGTTAGATTGAAATTGCGAAACGGCTGTTTCGTCGATATTTCGCGAATTATTCGCGTCTAATATTTAAACTCGAATACGTTTTACGATAACACGTGTCTATATACGTACGCACACTCGTGCATGTAAGCTGGCCAAATTTTCACCCGGAAACGTTTACATAAGGTGTCACCTGACGATATTGGTCTCATCAGTGAAATAACGTTTATCAATAGTTCTTTCTTGCTGGCACTAAACGTACCATCGACGTGTCATTTGATCCTTTCGAAGCCAAAAATACGTTTATACAAAATTGTCAATATGCTCAGTATTAAATCCTATTCTCGCTACTCGACAGGCTGCCGCTTTATCGTCTTTTCACTATCTGCTACGTCGCGCCACGGATAGCATTATGGAAACACGTGTGCAGTACACAAACTAGCATCGTCTGGCTCGAATCATTTATTGATAACAAGGTCCATGCGTGTCAGGCGATACCGATGGTCGTAGATAATTGCAATTGATCTTTTTTTTTTCTTGTTGCATATTGCTAATTTTTTTTTCCTTAATTCTTCGTCGCAACCTCGACTCTATGTTAAATACTATATATATATATATGAAATCGACAACTCGTTTACCTTTTTGGCTCCTAGAAGCCTCAACGACGCTTCACATAATCCGGACATTCAAAGAGTGGAAATTCAAACGTACATCGCACGTCATCACTCCTGTCTTTCATTCGGCTTTAATTATATTCGTCAATCCCGAACGCTCCTATCGTGCTTGGCATTACAGATCTTATGCATTGTACGGATATTTCTATCGAAAAAATGTCCCGTTATTGTTATTACTTTCTGGTTCCGTAAGGTGGTCGATTGAAATGCCAATCTCGAAATAGATTCTAGCAGGAAGACGTGAAATTGGGCCAAGGACGATATTCGTTCGCGAAACGCGTTACCTTGGTAAGACGAGAGGACGCGATCCTCGACCATTTATATTCATGGATATCCGATTGTCATTGCACGTAAATATGTAATTCATAATACGAGCTTGTTACTCATTAGCAGCGTGACCTTCGAACTCCTCTATACCTCATCCTTCGGATTATATTTTTACACGTACCGCGCGTATATACCGTATGACGTATGGATGGGCGAGTGAATTTATGATTTTACGTTATTTTCAGTCTTTTTTTTTTTTAAACGGGAAATATCATTTCTGAACCAGACGCATGGAACGCGTTTGCGACAATGTGTGTCCAGCGCAATAAATGCATTTACGGAACTTTTTGTATACGGTTGATTTATTCTTTGCGCGTATTTATGTGTGTCGAGAGGATCGTATCTGGACGTAGGTGTGTTATAGAATTTTTCATATGGAGCGTATAACCTTCTTGGGCTTTTATTAGATCCTACTGGAAAAATTTTTGGGACCCGTATAACTCGCAGTATTTTTTTTTTTTTGATCGGCTGCCGGAGGTTCCCCCGCATATTTAACTGGCGCGAAGTTATCCGAAGATGGGCGTGCTATGCTGAAAATGTATATCTGCTTGGTTTTTCGTGTGACCGATGACGATTCGCGTATGACGTTTTGGGGCGACGAGTTAAGGTATTAATTAGAGAGGGCGGGGACTTCGCCTTATACGTGTCATTGGGAGCTGCGCTGACAAATGTTACGAGGAATAAGGTCTGAATGAGTATACACGGTGTGCTGATAATAGGAGGAAATTAAATGAATTTCGAAACACACGTGTAGACATTTTACTGGGAATGCGTGCGATATCACTGGGTCGGTTCAGTCTGTTCCGAGGAAGGACGATGTCTGGGTAAGTGTCGCAAAAAATATTTAACGTCGATCGCAGAGTCGATTCTTATTTTGATATTCGCGAAAAGGAATACGATTCAGAGGAGTTTCCGGTTCTATCTGCGTCTGTCTAGAAGAGAAACCGGCTGTAATGTCGTTTCGTCGTTTCGGACAAGTTGATGGTTGATTTGAAGCTCTTTTTCTTTTTTGAATTCTCAATTCACGCTATTTTCACGCGATGCAACGTTTCCCGGTATGTTTACGCGCGCCACTCTGCTTGGTAATGGTAAATTGAATTTTTTCGTTCCGCTGATGTTTTTGGAAATTATTACTCGTAGATTTGGATTTTTTTCGGAACTTAACGAGCTTCAGATATACCGGCGAACTTTTTGCACCATAGAATGAGTTCACCCGATGTTTTTGATATTCGATAATTTATTATCGATCGCTTTCAATCGCTGCATCGATATGCGACAACGCACCGTAAAATCCAATGCGTTCGTCCATGCTGTCGAAGTATCTTTAAAAACTGTATCGTTTGTTTTATAAACAATTTACTGGATTTTTCAATTCTGCCGATACGCCGAATCTCCTCGATCTTCTCTCGATCGTTCAACCTTGAGAAATTCCCCCGTCTTTCTAGTCTCTGTACGTCGAATGAGGAAATAAGGTTAACTAACAATAAGTCCGCGTAGTGGCGCCACGAGCGGCTACTTTAATATATACATCTAACACGTGCATCTGCACTCGTGCCGGTCTGCCGGTTATCGTGCTGATTTGCCGATCGTTAATTATTAGGCGTACCGCGTGATTGGTTGGCATCGTTCTTACTTGTCATTGTTATCCTCAAGTGAGGTCAGCCACGCAGTGTCGTCCTCGCGTGGAATTTTTCTTCGCGTCATCATTTTAGCACGTGGAATCGACCTTGCGATTTCGTATCTCAATTCCGAGCTGTCTAAGGTCACGCCGCTTCGCTATTCGCAAATGCATGAAAGAAGGTCTCCTCTCCGCTCCTTATCGCTTCTAGCTTCTTGGCCGAACACATACATATGTATATATGTATTTCGCAAATTTCGGCCTTCGCTCTTTTATCTCGCGATGCACTTCTGGAAATACGCAATCCGTCTTTACAGTCGCCGGGGAACGTTCCGGAGAGCTCGCCGAGAACGAGTTTACACTTTTGCGCCTGTCACACTATCTTCCTTTTGTGCTGTTTTGTCTTCGGCCGCGCGAAGCCGCCGTGCCGTATGACGTCATCGAGCCCCGTATCGTATGACGGGCGCGACCTTAGGCTGTCAGGAAGTCCAGCATACGAGAGCGCCGGTGCACGGAGGAATCGGACCTTACGCAGTTTCACGGTGCGACTGCATTGGCGTCCGACATTTTAGGTTAACGTTTGTCGAGGACCGCTTCTTTATGGGTTGCGCTATTTTTTTTTTTTTCTGGCGTCAGGATCACTTCTGACGAAACTCCCCAGGATATCGCGCGGCGGTTGCGTCAGTTCCAAGAAATCGGCGTTGCCGCAGACTCCTCGCGATACGTCGTTTCGTGGAGACGATAATTGCGGAAAAAATTATCTAACGGCTGCGCAATTTACGTATCGTCTTTCGCTCGATGCGTACTGCGATTATCGTTCGTAGACGTGGATATAGATATATAGATATATAGCTCAGCTCATACCGGTGGATTAACGCTTGTCGTATCTTAGTATGCGAATTGTAAACAGATGGTATTTCAGGTTGCTATTATATACACACGTATATATCAGATTCGTACGAAGCGACCCCCCTGGGTACCATTTTATTCTCTATTAACCCTTTGCACTCGACTCAGCCACCAAGATATATAGAAAATAGAGAAACGTCCACTGCTAAGGGTTAAAAGTATCGCACAGTTATCTAGCCTGGCTAATGTGTTTCACGAGCAACGATTGCCGAACGATATAAGATATATTCACAAGTCACGATGAATTGCCTGGTTCTGTTTGGCGCATTATCGTCCCGACGATACAACCCGTTGAATATACATCACGCACTCGCTCGTAATTGACGCTACGGTCCACGCGTGCTGGCGTATGTGTACGTCTGCTTGCACACGTGACCCAGTTTCAAGAATCCTATCGGGCACGTACGTAAAACGTTGAACGTCTTGGCTGTGCCGAAGAAAGCTAAGTACATAAAAAATATAAAAGGTGAGAGAGAGAGAGAGATAGTCTGAATATTATGACTGTTCCGAATTACCATTGGGAGATACCCAAACGTAGCCTGTTTACTCGTATCAAACGTATGGGAGAGACTTATGTTATTCTCCATACTCGTAACGTCTATCAATTGTGACTATTATATATATATATAACACGATAGATTACTATCAGCATACCAATGTCTCGATACTGTCTGCCGCTCGGACGCTACTATTAGCACGAACGGAAGCTTCGGCTATCTCCCGATAGTGGCGTGACCATGGGGCTGATAACACGGCCACAGATTCACAGCTGATAAGTGGCGTCTGCTAAGTAAGTTTGGAATGTTGGTTATAATGAGATAATAGTCGATGTGTCAGATAAGATGTAAGAGGCTTACCTAAAACCCCTCCTGGTAGAGGATAGAAGATGTGGCAAAGGGGTGGTGGCGGGTGAGGGGGAGAAGGATGCTCAGCAGAAGAAAAGGTGGGTAGGATTTAGAGAGTGCAGATGAGAATGGCAAAGGAGATCTTTCACAGCGATAAGAGCGTTATCAGTCGTATACTACCAAGTCCAGTGGCCGTTGGTACGATGACGTAACGCCTGGAATGTCTCTTATGCGAATTTTCGGTATCGCAAGATAAGATAATGTGTACTTGAGTAATTAGAGATTTAGTGGATCGGACGCTTTCGATTGGAATTCTGGCTAGTCGACTACGAAGGAATTCCCTGATATCGAGTCGCGTCGGGTAAATCTTGACTTTGATGTAGGGGATAAAAATACGTCCGTCTTTTCTCGTCTCGTTCTCAGCGTTGTCACGCAATTTTACGCTACGCGCGTTCGCACGTGGATGCGTGAAAAATGATTATCGTCGCTTTCCATTTATTTTATGTCTCGAATTTTTTGGTTTTTTTATATAATTTTTGGTTTTTCCTATTTTTTTTTTGTTCCAGGTCTTAATGTGTTCAATAGCCATGCCATCCGAACTTATTCTGGGGCACAGTCCTCCGGTCTACAGTTCCTTACTGTACAGTCCTCTGGTGGTCACCGCACCTACGGTCAACACCAGATCTGTACCACCTAGGATAAGACCATGCTTGTCGACTGGTTCTCTGCCGTTGAACAGTCTGCAGAACAACAAGCAAAAGAAGAGGGTGGTCTTTGCGGACGATCGCGGCCGTCCGTTAACACAGGTAAAGCGAACCGAACGGAATGTCGATATACGTCATTGGATAAGGCTTAAGGGGGGATTGAGAGAGTGACAAATATGGAAATGAGGAATGTAACCGATAAGGGATCAATAATGATATTCGAGACGTCGGGCTGAATAATCGTTATCGACGACACGAAATTAATCCTGGACGTGTCGCAGAATTGTTTTCGAAGATCGCGAAGTTATTACTGGGAGTGTCCGACGGCACGTAGGCCTCGTTATTTATTTATGAGTCTTAAAACCTGGTAATTAATAATCGACGCGCCTTTCGTTTATCAATTAACGAGATGGATTAAAATTCGATTTTACTGGACGGGAATCGCTTAATTTAATGCTCATTAATCATCATGGGCGACGCGTTAATCAACATTCGCGTCTCTCTTATCACGTTAAGTCCTACGTTACGTGAATTTGGTAGGCGCGCGCTTACGCACGTACAGCTTACGCAATTTAGGTAGTGGTTGGGGGGTTTTTTATTATTTTTTTTCAAATAGTAAGTCGGTCACAGGGGTAGGGGTCTGTCCTGTGTTTAGTATCGAGCCACGACCTACCGCAATGGACTTAGCGTTGCGTGTACTTATCCGCCTAACAGGGCACTTGCGTCAGTGCATATACATATAGATACGGATTATAATAAATATAAAATTGTTGGCAGAGGAAACGAAATTAATTGGAGCTTGTCTTTTGATGACTTTAGGTACGCGTGATGTCCGAACCCAGCAACGTACCGCCATTGTGGACAAGTGCCTATCTAGCTGGTGTGACGAGAGGTGTCAAAGCAGAGGCCGTCGCGACGCCCTGGGCGCCGACGTTCCTTCAACCCGCGAGCGACTATCTAGCCTTTCGTAAGAAGCTGGACCTGGATGCTGTCAGTCTGGAGAACGTCATAGTACGCGAGGCCGAACAGTGTCTGGTCGGTACTGTCAAGGTCAAGAATTTGGCTTACGACAAGGAGGTCATCGTCAGGGTTAGCAGCGACTCTTGGGTGTCGCACGAGGATGTTTACTGCACGTACGTCGAGCAACCTGGGACACCGCAGGCGGCGCTTGTTCTCTACGACACCTTCCGCTTCCGGCTGACCCTACCTGTCAAATCGGACAAGATCGAGTTTTGCGTTCGTTATTGCATCGACGGCAAGGAGTACTGGGACAATAACGGGGGGACGAATTACGTCGTGCGAAAGAAACAGGAGGTGAATATACAAGAGAAGAAGAGCATTGACTTCCTGATGACTATTCGGCGTCTCAAGGGATTTCCTGCTGGTCAATAATGCTTACTCGCTATTGACACGTATTTCCTTCCTTCTGCAAGTGCCGTTGCTCTTACGACTATCTCTTATGGGCTGTGACTAACTTTCCTAAGGAAATTGCTTCGCCGTTCCTCCTATGTTGCTTGATGTAAAGAGGCATGCGCCAGGAAGATGGAAATCGTATTCCACATTGAATGGCACTCGTTCGTTTTTTCCTGGTTTCCTTTTTTTTTTTGTTTTTGTTTAACAGTGCATAGAATCACGTGCCCGAGTGTTTACGTGCGTGGTTACTTCGACCGGAGGAAAATTAAAAATCAAGCTCTCCTTAAGTCTTAATGTGCGCTTCGACCGAGAGTTAATGCCTTGTTATGTAATGGGAGCCTTGTTTAGCGCGCATGCGCGAACAATGAGTGACGCGAGTGCTGCTGTTTAATCTTAAGGCTGTCGCTTGATCTGGCTTTTCTTATGTTTCTCTTTTTATTCTCTCAATTCTCATTCGCCACCTTACCTGAGAATTCTCCAATTGCAAAGAGGCCGAAGTTGCGCTATCGTGAATTATCCGTTCGTTTCAGCCACTGTCCCCGGTCAAGAATTCGAATCCCTTGACGATAAGCAACAATGGCGTACTCAGGGACGGTCTCGATTCGCGGGATGACACGCGTCTGGCGGACGCCAGGAGGACCAACATTCAAACTTGGAGCGAGTTCGCTTCCTGGCATCATCTCACCAATGACACTCCGTATTGGTGATGTTGGACGTCGATTCAAGTGATTGCTATAAAAGAAGAGAGGGGCGAGTGGGAGGGAGAAAGAGCGATAGGGAGAGAGGCGAAGGAAACGACGTTAGAAATTGGCCCCTGACGTCAGTTACGTACAAAGACGTAAAGATCTTCCAGTTTTCCAATCATTATCCAATGCATCGTATAGCGAGTGAACGAGAGAGGGAAAGGGAGCGTGACGAGAATACGAACGAGACAGAGAAAAGAAAAAGCGTACAAGGAAAATCATCCGCGTCTTCGACGGAAACCGGAAATCAGCCTGGACCGGGCTCAGAGCTGGAAACGGATCTATTATATTTTTATGGTGAGTCTATGATCATTTAAACTTCGTACGGTTACCTTCCGTGAAAAACACTAGACGCGTATTTACTGTACGTTTATTTTTGTTGGCCTCTAATTTTCGCTTACGCGACAGCACTTGCCAGTGACCGATGATATTTTTAGTCTGCTTTTGCGCGCCGGACGAAATAAACCACTTGGGTATCTGCGGTCTTGCCAGCTTTGTACTATCGTATACATGTACGTGTTTTGACTATCTCGTTAAATCGAGGCAATTTGCACATTTTATTTCTCATCGCGAATTCCTATTCGCCCAGTGTGTCACGTGGCACTCGTATGCGCGTAACACCGAATTCGACGTACCCCTCTGATTATGAGTTCATGAAAGTTTCGTTATCGCCCGTTCACGCGACTCTCCTTGAGACCGTTAAAACTTTCTCTCTATAAATAGCCACGCTATCCCCCACAATCCTCTACGAGACGAAGAACGAAACTATCGTTAGAAACTCGAAGCGTCGACCGGGTCTCCCTCCTGTGGAACTTATTAAATAACTAGCTTCCTTCCATAACCTACAAAGCGGTACTTACTACGAGCAGTGCGACAACTTGCCATATTTATCTGTTCTCTTTTGATTCTCCGGGTAATTTTCCGATTTAGTGCCAATCGCGAATTGCTTTTCATTCGTATCTTCGCGTTACGAAGATATATAGCAATAATCCATACATAAATAATTACATTCCATAAGTATCCGCCTTGTCTGTGCACAAGCTTGTACGTTAGTTATATTTTGACGGCTGTCAAAATACACAACAAATTCACAGGATGCACAGCTGTCAATTCCGACTAATACATTCGATTCTTATGCTCCTGTATAAACAGCAAGTCACGTGATTATCACAAATTGGTTCCAGGGACCGTACAAAATTGGAACCTCTAAATATAATTATAACCGATCGCCACGTGTTACTAAGGATACGGGAAGAGGGCGTTAGATTGAAAGAAGAAAATAGAGATAAAATATAATAATAGTACAGAACCACGTGTAACGCGCGTCTACCATTACGGAAAGTGCGCTAGTCGCGTACCCCATTAAACGGCCGATAAGACCGAGTCGATATTTCAACAGAAAGTATAAGTTCGTCCACGGAAAGATTTAGCTGTTCAACGTCATTGACTTCGATAGTACAAAAAATTATCAGCCTGTATCACTGCTCGTCCCGACGTCGAATGTCTTCACAAATTTAATCTCCTCTGCCTCCAGCTTCCGAGACGAAACGCTGAATGCGACTTGTTCCTTCTTCTTTTCGTTCGTATAAATATATGCCTGTATAATCGTGCGGCGGTAAGCGGACATTAACGGCAGGCCAGACAGGTCGCCTTACCGGTCGAGGCGTGGCAAAGTAGGCACGTATTCCATAAGGAGGCGCTCGTGCACCGACGCACAGACGCAGCCATAAGCAACGTCAAGTCCCCGCGCACCATAAAACTTTAAGTCGTCTAGACGCGTGGGACGTACCGCAGGAGCAATGGAGGTCTCGCGCCAATGCACTCTCCTTCCTTCCCCGTCGCGTCTGCTTCTTCGAGCCTATTCTCGATACGCGAAGCGACACTCGATTCACGCGATATACTGGTGCGACGTGAAACGATTATCGTACCGGCGATAACTTCAGGGCGATACTTATTGCTGACTGGCTTCACTCCTGTACACATACACCCTATGGTAATTTCTATACAGGATTCATAAACGTCTCTCTTTGGCATTGCCTGTTTCAGATACTTGCGAGCAACGTGAATTCGCTGTGCCAAAAACCTATTGACGGGCTGCTGCCATTGTTCGCAGACCTGATTATTATTCCACGGAAGGATCCTTATCCACGTAATCCTTATCAAACTTTATTCCGCTGTCATGAATATTTCGTTCTTAGAAAACTACTTGAAATTGTTTCGTATACCACTTTCCTAATAATAATCATATGTCCTCACTTCCTTCAGCTCCTTCTTATGCTTCGTGATAACGCTGCTACCATTACTACCGATATCACGGCTGTTACTATTTACTACTGCTACTATCATCACTGGATATCATTGCTGATACTACACTGGATCGCTGCTCGTCCTCTTCTTCACGTTCCACGCTAACTTTAAGCTACAGCCACACTGAGTGAGTGTTCGTTAAATGTAGGTGGTCGTAGATCATGCGAACGACTGTGGACGGGGCGAGAAAGGCAGATAGAGAGAAAGAGATAGAGACAGAGGATGAAGGCAATAAGGGAGTAATGTCACTATAAATTATATCGAACGTACGCTCTGTCTCTCTCTCTCTCTCTCTCTCTCTCTCTCTCTCTCTCTCTCTCCCTTTCTTTCTTATACTGTCTGTCGTATCCTCTTGTATTATTATCACGTGCGTAAAAGTGCCTACGGTTATTGTTTCCTGTTGAGAAGTGATCTTGTACACGAGGAGGATGGAGAAAAATTGGTATCGACGGAGACAATTTTCTAAAACCAAACTACAAGCTTTCCCATTATCTGTGACGATGCAGAATAAACAACTTTTGTTCATCCTCCTTATCGATCTTGTTACAATCACGTGCGTCATTAGGGATGCGTCGAAGCGATTGATAAAAATTGTATACTGTACCTAATAATTGTTGTATATACTTTGGAGAAACGAGGGAGTCTCATATCACGGGAATAAGGACTTTTGATCGAGGGAGCGATTAACTGAAATAACCTTCAACTGTCCCGGGTTACATTTTATCAATTATTCCTCTTTTCATCTTTATACATACACATATATATATATATATATATATATATACGTAATTATCTTATCTCTTTATTGTTATTAATATTTATCGGTGCTACTGTTACGTCCTCGCTCGCGTTGTACATAATTATATGGGCGTGCACGTTGAATTTAATTGAGATTTTGTATTCTTATTCCAGCGGGCTGTCGTTATACGTAATCGTGAATTATTTCGGAGCACCGGATATATATTTGGATATGTCCAAGTAAAGTAACGTGGGCAATTTGGTAAAGCTCAAGTTCCCAAGGATTTACGTCATCGGTCAGAATTTACAAGCGACAGCGTCTCTCTTTTCTCTTATTTTTTTTATATTCTTTTAATCGTATCCTTTATTACTTCCTCTCCTTTGGGAAGGAATCCAAGAGACGCGTGTACGCGGATACGAGCACGCTCAAATCAATGTAGGGGCTATTCGTGAATTCTCGAATCTGTTGCGGTCTAGAAGATTGTACATACATATAGATATACAGTGATACGTTTCTGTGGCCGATGATGCTGGCTAAGAAAAGGGAAAAGAAAAAAGACGAAATAAATAAGGTTGAAGACAGAAGCTTATATTTCTAAGGAACTTTGATCATCGCGCTCACGAAACGTTTTTCGGTGATGTAGCCTTATCACGTGACTCGAGGCGGAATCCCAATTTTTCAGTAACATTTTTATCTTCGACCCAGTCAATGAAACCCATTCATCCCTCGGTCGTCAATCATCGTCAAATCTGCATTACGCCCCTCCCCAATTTTAACCTGCCTGTCAATTTGGCAGATACAAGCCTCTGTACTAGCGTAAGACTATATAAGCTCGCTCGTCATCTTGAAAATATAAAAGGTCGTAGGTTATGTAAGTCATACATCGTATCACGTTCCGACGCACAAGTCCTACAGTTCCGCTGCCAAGTCAAAGTTCCCTGTCGGTGAGTTGTATTTTCAAAAGAAAAAGATAGAACATATACAGGAGATTGGTTCCTTCGTTAAATGCGAATTTTCACATAATTTGGACTTTTTAGTAAACATTTTTCTTTACCTTAGTCAGTTATCTCTGTCTTTTTTGTCGTCGGTCCGTTCGAAAGAAAATCACCGACCGGGAATTCGTGCCGTCGGTACGATGCATTACTATTACCATTATTATTGTTATTAGCTGCCGCTGTTCGTTCATTATCCCTATTACCGTTGTTATATGTTTTATCGTTACTGTTAACACCCGTTCCCGGAACGTAGAGAGATAAACCGAGCTTTGGGGAACGAGAGAAAATCGACGAAGAAGCTTCGCGTGGAAAGTCCTCCGTAAGGTTTAAAGAGATCGAATTGCGTGACCCTTGGAAGTCGCGAAGCTTGTTAAGTGCGAGAGGCACGTGAGACGTTCGGTTGTGTAAAGCGAATGAGAACGCGAGAGACTGATAAGCGTAAAATCAAAGTGTATCGAGAGAAATGGATGTTGAGAGAAAAAACGATGGAAAGTAAAGAGAAGGAGAAACGGAAATAATGCGTAAGAGTATTGTATTCCTGCGATATTTATTTTTATACCCGAGCGTATGTTAGACAGCCACGTGTATATATGTGAGAATGCCCGACTAATTGGAGCGTGTAAAAAAGTGTATGCCTGTATTTATTTCTATTGACAATATGCGAATCAGGATATTATATGTAATGTATGTGTAAGGCCTTACGAGAATCTGTCTTCCATTGGGGCTGCTCGAGCAAAGCCAGAACAGAGTGAAAGGAATTGGACGTGTCGGATTGGATGTTGAAATGAAAAATTTGAAAAGTGACGCTTGGTAAAGGACGAATTTGATATGCCGAGGAGCTTATCAAATTCGGGCATTTACATACGTGAAATCTTGGCTCGGGTCATGGATCTCGCTAGTGATCCTAATCGTGGCTTCCGTAGTTTCTAAGGCACGAGGAGTGATTATACAAGGTTAGATTAGATTAGGATTAGTCGTGATAATGGAAAAAGGGAAAAAAGGCGATCGTTATTTGAAAGTCAATACGTCCGTGAAAATTTTTTTTTTTCCGTTTTGGCTTCTTCGCTTCTCTCGCTCGCGGCACGAGCAAGTCGTAAACTCGCGAATACTCTTGTCTTAGAGAGCCGTAAGACTGAATAGCTTACCTTGTAATAATGTTAATTAATACGACTATAAATATGTAAATAATAAGGCTAACACTTAAAATCAAATTGAAAGAAGAAAGGTCGTTAAGCTCTTGTAAATATAGATGCGGTATCTTCTTGGCGTTTCTTATTCTTTTCTTTACGTCCTGGGACTGGCCACCCTTGACCCTCACTCTATTAGTCGTATTATCGTTCATTGATCCCTTGTTAATTGTGCCTTTACATTGTATATTATCGTCCTATATTTTTATTATCTATGAGCCGTAAAAAGTCACCATATCATTCGTTTTATTATGCAATCAATCGTCACGGTTTTTAGTACCTATATGATTCTTAGTCTCGTTTTTAGTTATACATATTCACCTTATATTATATATATATATATTACGATACGTTATACTCGTTTAAGATGTTACCGATGATGGTTTTTTGTTATAGAAAAGAATAAAAATAATCGTTGCTGTATATACGTTATGCTCGATTCGTAATAAAATATAAAAATATAATTGTCGCGTTTTTCTTCCTACAGTATCCTGTATCCCACTTTTTCCCTATGTTCCTCGTTGTGCGACTGAATATTTCACAAGCTCAGTTTTCTCGATGCTTTTCGATCCTATTATTTAGCCTAACGGCTCTACGTCGGCCGTGACGTCACTGTGGACACGCCCTTGCTTGCATAACGTCACGACGAACGGAGCCGTGACGACGCGTATACAGGGACGACGATCTTGACTTTTATTTTTGTATCGGTTTAACTCCGAATGACTTGGGGGCAAAAAGCATTGAGGAAATGATAAATCGTAAGGTATCCCACCTATGAGTATATTATAGTATATAGTACACACGTGTGTAAGAAGAATGAAGGCATATGCGAGCACAGAGATCGACTAGCAGATATTTCCACTTCCTCGTACACGTGGGTGAACAGCTACAACTAGCATGAAATTCAAAAGAAAACATAATTGTCCGCCATTCATGGAGCGACGGTAGGACGGAGTGGGACATGTCGAATATATGTGCATGCGTGGGATGTCATTCATAAAAATACTCATAAGAGTCCTGGTTCACCAAGCATCCACACAAGATATCACTTTCTAATGATATTTTTATACGTCACGCATCATGTAATTGGTTCGTCTTAATTATTTTTCAAGATGTCCGAAAGTTAATTTCCGTCGTATTATCAGTATCTTAAAGGCGACTTTTGGACGGTACGCGTTGTCTGGGGTGACGATACTGGGGCAGCGGTTCATTATTGAAATTAAAATATTATTGAAAGTATTGACAGTGGCAGACAAAACAAATAAAGTTTGAGAAAAATGCAACGGCATTTTATCACTTGCTCGTTAGTTGTCATAATTTCAGTAAACAGATTACATAAAGTCATACGAGAGGCGTGCACGGATTGTGCACATATGACATACGTAGTTATATGCAGATGCAGATTATATATTAGGCAGAAATTAAAAGTCATATCAAGTCTGCCAGAGTTTTCTTGGTCTTTCCCGCGCACCCATAGCTACGACGATTGACCTATTTTGAAATTGCCCGCTCGAATGTATTTCACGTACGTATACCACTCGTGACAATGGCGACTTGTTCCAAATCAAGGCGAGACCTTCTTTATTTTGTTCGTAATCCTACGTTTCACTGTTACTTTCAAGGGCGACGGCATATATGTCAGTATTACGTATCGGTTCTTCACAGTGCTTGAAATCAGCTTCCAGTCTGATCACGTACGTCAAAAAAAGGAAAAACCAGTTGAACTGCGCCACGGTTGTGGAACGTGCCAAAGCAGAATTCTGATTTAAAGTGATTTATCGATACGTTTCAGTATCTTCTCGGTTGACCTTTGCCTATAGGATTACTGGCAATTCTCAGATACTAAGGATAATCGAGAATAACTCGTGTGATATTTTAAGGTTAACTCGAGCTGGCGCTGACGTACGGAATATCCACTCGGGGATGAAATGTTTAAACTCGACCGTGAACCCTGTCGAAAATGTCTTTAGGAATACTTCAAGGGCAGTTGGTCATCATTTGACACCTACTTCTCTTACGTAAGTTTATTTTAAACTAATTTCCTCTGGCGGGACACCAAAATATCTGCGCAGGAATAGTCCTGCTGACTAAACACTCGAATCCTATGATCGCAGTGAGTATTCGAGCGACTATATTATTGTAGGACGTTATACTATAGTAGGAATGCAAGTAGCCTATGCTGAAGGTTTTCGGTGCGTAGAAGCATAAATTAATTTTATTTTCCAGAGAAAAATTCGAAAAAAATAAAATGCACCCCTTTTTCCTGTCTACGTGAAACAAGCACAAGGTACTGTATCAAATGTATTTATAAACATTTTCCACGTTTACTTCGGTGACTCTTGTTTCTCCGGCAGGTCTTGTTGCATTGTTGAGGTCGGTGCGGCCGAGGATTGCGGCCCAAGTAACTGCATACTTACTGTATACTCCCATAAAGCAATGTTGCACGCTACGACACGGCTTTACCTCGTTATATATGCCTTGAAGTGTTGCCACGACTCACGGTAACTTGATTCTGAGTCGAATCACTCATGGCTAACGTCAACGCTTGATGTAACGTCATGTTTTTACTGGTTGCAAAAGGGGTGTGGATAACCAAAAAATAAACAGAGAAGATACGTACAAACGAAATTATCATCATTTCGTCGTTCAGAAAGATGCGCCCCAATGCGTAATGATTAAGATTCCGTAGAATGGACAAAATAAGGTGTTACTCAATGGAGTCACTCTTAAATTGTGCAGAGGTCGAAATTGGCATTTGCGATTCGGACCCATCAGCTATTGTGACTGAAAGAGTCAAGTCGTCACTCAAGCATATAGGTGAGTTGATTCGTTACAAACAAGATAATGCCATTAATTATTCTGGTATTTTGGATCTCATCCGTTTAATTAAATTGCAAAAGTCACCTAGGGCACTTTTTGATAAACCGCCTGACCTTATTAACATTTGTTAGGTATCTTTAACTGAAATATTTGTTTTCTTTTATGTTTATGACGTTGTGCATCGGTTCCGTACTGAGATTATTGTGCAACGGACGAGAGATATTCCAGGCAGAATTTCAATGAGACGAACTGGATATTATTTATTGAGGGAAAAAATTGTACTCTCCCATGTGTGAATACGTTGGATGCTGCACGTATGGAACATGGCCGTATCCTTCTTCTAGTCTCGACAAGACTTGAATGTCAGAGCATGGGTTATGATTTATAGTCCCGTAGGTATCTTACAGCATAAATGTCCATATGCACGTATAAGGTCTATTTTTGACGTCAGATCACGAGTACGAGCAGCAACCCCTGTGGTTTCTATATAAATGTATCTGCTGTCACGTGATTTTTCGAATCACGGTCCCAAGGCGGCTCCGGTTACCGATACAGATAACGTTCTCGATTTCTGGTTCCCTTCGGGTCGCCACCCTGCTCAGAAGCTACGCTCTCGGGTTGATTCGTATAGTTATGTCAAGGCTCTCGTTAGATTTCGTTATTGTTTAGTTGAGGTCGAGGTGCTCGAATCTGCCGTGGGGATATAGTCTCGACGTACCGAGTTGCCCGGCAGAGGAGAGTACCCGACGGAGACGTCTCCACGGACCGGCAGACGCCCGGGTGAAACACCGGCGCCCCGCTGGAGATGGGCAAAGGGCTGTAGACCGGGCGGAGGTAGTTTTGATAAGGTTAAGGGCAGGAGAGGAACTTCCTGCCCGAGTTAAGGACGTGGTGCCCAGCTGTCGCCCGATGCCCTGGAGAAGTAGCCGTGGAGGATCTTCAGAAGTTACGTACAGATTCGTTAAGGAACGCTCTCGATTTGGTTTAAAGGGACGACTCGAAGGAGATAGAAGAGTATCGGTTATAAGGCTCTCGACCAATCAGGATGATTAGTTCTCGGATTTGGCTATTGTCAAAGCAGTCTGTCACGGGGCACCGACCGAGGTGTCACGGGCTGGCTCGTGCTCCCGTGCTATCTGTTGATAGTTTTTCTTGCCGTGTTTCGCTACGGTATAGCAAGTTCTCGCTTCGTACAGTTCTCGTGTTGTTCTCGCGATATCCAGGAATTCTATGAATTCCTGTGAGTGTTACGGTGGTGTAGTGCTGTGCCTTAGTTCAGTGCTCACCAGTGTCCTTGGGATGCAGTTCTCGACCCCCACGGATTAGCTGCACCAGCTCCGGTGAGTGCTCCGAATTTATTAATTGGTGAAGGGATCTCGATAGACAATTAAGATTCGTTCTGACACGTTCTCGGTTCGTCGCTCTCTGTCTCTCGCACTATTTGCCGGACTCTTACTCCGACCCTCTCTACCTCAAACCTAGCAGCCTGAGCCACCGTGCATTTCCGTAACCGTCCGCTCCCGTTCGTGTATCCAGTTGCGTTTGCTGATTTTACGCGACCCCAAAGATCAGCACCTACGGCTGCGTTTCTCGATTTTACGCGTCCCCAAAAATCGACAGGATCCGTTAAGCTATCGCCTCTTCTGATAGGTTCCGTCAGAGCTCTCTTGCGTTTGCTGATTTTACGAAACCCCAAAAATCGACAGGATCCGTTAAGCTATCGCCTCGTCCGATAGGTTCCGTCAGAGTTCTCGTTTTGGTGGAGTTGGGCCTGTTCCACCCCAACTCCCAGTTTATACCGGCTCGTCAGTTCCCGGTGAAAAAAGAATTGGCTGGCGCCCGCCTGGCCTGCGGATGCACGAACGACGGGTGGACGGCCGAAGGTAACGTAGGTTGGTTCTCGAAGATAGTTCGTTCTCCTATGTTTTGCTATCGGTGTCGGGTCATAAGTTAAAGAATTACTTTACACTGCGTACCAGCATACATGATCGACCATGCAGAGGAATGCTAGCTGATGAGAAAGTAGCGTGAGTCTGATACATAAACACGTTAAGTTAGTTAATTAAGATTGAAGGGCGAGAAAAGTACAAATCCTGAGTATGTACAAGAACGTTTACATAACCAATAAACTTTTATTATCAAGAAGTTTGGCCAATGCTCCAGAGAAGATATATCACAAGGACAGTAACTTGAGGTTGGGAGATTTTTACCTAATGCCGAGTGTTGCTGAATCGAAGACATCGCCAATCTTGGAATCGTTCAGTCTCGAGTCCTGACTAAATCGAACGCGTTAAATCCGTGGACCCATCATTTGCCAAGAACGTGACAACCGCGTTTTTGCAGTCTCAAGAGAGTCGATGTCACGGAAATTTATAGAGTTTAATCTTAGCTGAGTGTTCCTATAATCAGACGTTGCGCGTTCCTAAAAACAGTAACAGGTAAAAAGTAGTGGTGTGTTCTAGAAATAGATCGGTTGGTATTATTATTTATTCAATGGTTGACACTTTAAGATACTTGGAAAATTGGCCAGAGCGTGAAGTCACCTTGGAACAAGAATTAAAAAAATAAATTTTATTTTTTAGAACGTAAGGCAGGTCAATTCGCCGACAAATTTTTCATTCAATGTAACACAAGACCGTACAACAACGCCATCTGGAAATTCAACTAAAGGATTACAATCAGTTCCATCCATGATCAGTTTACCTTCTGCATTCCATAGAAAATGTAGCGACTGACGGATGAACCTCTGCATCCTAATGATCTCTCATCCTTGCTCGATGATCGCGATTGTAATAATGCAAAAGGAAAAGATGGCGAAATGAATCTCAACGCTCTCTGCTTTGATTAATGAATCTTCACCATGGATGTATTACGCTCTCAACTGAATCGACCTAATCGGTAATATCAAGGAAGCCATACAATGTTGGCAGAAATACGAGGTGTATATGCGGACGTGTAACACAAGTCGTAGAGGCAAGAAGTAGAGAGACGTTGGGCGCCACTGAACTGTACAGACGCCGTTAAATCTTCTACGTCTGCCTTTTATTTATTTGCCGAGATTGCACAACCGGGCCTCGAACACGAGAGGAGAAATATCCTGGTGCCTCAGGGTATCCTGGACTCCTGGGTGGTTGCACCGCTTCTGCCATTAAGAGGCTTCGAAAATTTATACGTTAGGCTGTCTTGAAACCAGTTGGTACACCTACCCTTGAGGATTGTCTGGTCGCCTCCTTGCTTCTTGGTTACATTCGAACCAGGCGTTTATACACTCTGTACTGTAACAATCGGAATTTTATAAGAATAACGCCTCAGGAATACGTCGATCATTTTATGCTGTAATATTTTAAGCTTTATCATCCATCTCTTCAACGTTAATTGCTATGGATTACATTATCCCTTAGATTCTTAATCTTGTCCACGCGGCAGACTACTGACGTCTATCCAGAGAGAGCGCCTGGCGTCTGAAATAGACGTAGACGTATATAGGTATCTTGGCTGAAGTCCAGCATCCTTTTGTGAGTTCGCAAGGGTAAAAATGTCAAGGCACCGTGTCCAATGGCGCCTTGTATACTCGCGGAATTTTACAGTTGATATAAATGTATAAAATCCAAGTGAAGAAAGATAAAAACGTTTACAGCGATATCCTCCTTCCAGTCAGCGACCTAGTATTCTTTTATCTCTCTATTGGAAATTTATTCTGCTGTTTCCAGCTATGCAGAATTTCTGCTTGATACACGTAGGTGTATCGTGATCGGCGGATCAGGCATCGTACGAGAGTCGCTTAATTTTGATATTGAGTACGGTCTGGATAGATAGAGGTTTGGCGCCTGCGATAGCGCTGTAATATCGTGTGACTTAATTAGAAATATTTTTCATACAGTTAATCACTAATCTTTTGCCCCGTTGATATTACATACTTACAGAATCGATAAATCACTTTATGGCTCCCTGATCAACTGTGTCACTGGTTCACTGTTTGTTAGGAAATGGCTTCGACATCTGTATGTACTATATAAAAATTACATCATGTATCTGGGACAAGATGCTGATATTATGTCATGGCGAAACTAATCACTGTCGTCTGCTTTATGAAACGCGTGATCAATATTCCGCAAGAATCTTTGATTATGACCTTTCTGTATGGGAACAATCATATGTGCCACTACTTGATTAAAATACTTATGTATGATTTGTTTACCTCATAGAAAATTTCTTTTGTAGATTAGTGGACTGTGAGTGCAAACATTCCAAGGAAATATTGATGCTTTATGAAACAGTAATGGATTACCAGTTGCGGTTGTGTCATTTCAGACAATATTATGTCATGGAGATGACCAGGACACGTGCGACGCTTCTAAGTAACACGTGATACTTGGGATAGACAATATCTACTTCCCCCTTCTGTTTCTTTTATTTGAATTACATTGGAGCTTCTCGTAGTTGTTTTTTGTTCAGGATTTATGTTGCTGGATTTATGCTCGCGTAACGGTGGCGCCATCTTTCATTATTTTAGGGAAACTAATATTACCATACGACGGCAACATTGAGTTCGTTAAAAATGTTAAAATATATTTGTCAATGATGCTCCATCTGTTGAGAATCATTGACATTAAAATAAATTCGTTACTTAAAGTGTATTCTTCCGAAAAAAAAATGTCGAACACTTTTCCTTAATTTTTATTGATTCCGTGAAATAGTATGATTTTTAATAAAATTCATCTTTCTATGGCCACACTATACTCTCTATCCAATCAATGTATGTACTGACTCTTGAGTAGATTGCTGGGGAATTTTTGAAACCACAAAATTTACCAAAGCTTGTAATACCTACTACACTGTACATGCAGTAGGGTTCGGTCAGTACTCTTTGCAAAGGTCCTCCACTGTCCCCCTATAAAATATTAATAGTTTAAGCTTGATCAATATATTTCTAAATTTCTTCATTTAGAAATTTACCTGACAAGTATCTTTACCACCCTCCATAACACCAGCGCATAATAAATTCGGTATCACACCGCTCGGCATTTGCCTTGTGCCTAATTCAGCCCTAAATCCTTTTTCACATTCTTCTTGTGAGATATAATCTAACTGCACCTTCATTAATTCGTTACTGCCTTCGCTTCCGTCTAAAAGAACAATGAATACATTTTTCAATTACTATATCTTTATGAATATATCAATCGATATATACCATAACTTGTTTTTCCAAATCCACTGGCTATTGCCTTTCGTCCGTTAATCATAAAGTCGATTTCAAGACATGCAGGTCTCACTTGCGAATTCAAATAGATAGGTTTAGCTAACTTTAATAGTGCTATGTCGTGATATCTGGACGGCATACGATAGTTCGGGTGTTTTATTCTTTCCACGACTCTTCTTTCCTGCATCGCGTGTCCAGGATCTTTTAAATTTATTAAACCCACACGAACTAGTCGAGCAGGACCTCTGTGTAATAATTGAATATTAATTATTTAATTACGATAAACTATGCGTAATTGACAAAATACTTGTCTCGCGATTCCATGCAATGTGCAGCCGTAAGAATATAATTCTCTGATATTATGGTGCCTCCACACTGCCACGACACGTCCCTGTCGTTTGTCCCGAATCCAATGACTGCCTGTAGATAATAAAAATTAAAGAACAAAGCCACAGTCATAAATCCATACAAAGTAATTTTTCAAGCTTTTTTTACTGTATGTGGAAATTCCATAGATTTTGCTTTAACACCACCGATAATCAATGGCGTCTCGACAATAGCACAGCGTGACACTCTATTCGAACCGGCGCCTTTTCGAAGCACAGGAATATACTCATTCTCATATACCAGATTCGCATATTCTTTGCATTCTATCAACGATAAAAAAAGATGATTAAACAATCGATAGTTATTCACGAATAATAAATAATGTCATAACAATATTTCGTATCAACAATCAACCCACTTTCCTTGCTTTTATATCCACTGCTACAAAAGGCCACAGGTACTGTCGAACTCGCCAGAAAGAGAGTGACGATTATTAATCTCATATTCTACTAAACGAATTATCCTCAGTCACTCTGGCTCTTAAATAACCAAGCAAAGAGACTCGTATCTTGTTCCAAATTGCTTTTCGTTAATTAAACAAGGAGTTAATACTTCGCTGCATTAAGGATATAAATCTCGAGCTGAACGTCGAAGTAGACTCGGGAAAGTCATTAGTATCGCATTAGGTCTTATGGCGAGTTGCCCTGTAATAAATGCCATAGCTAACGCAGCTCTGTTAACTGCAATATCCACACAGTGCGACAATACGTGAATCAACGTTGTCACCAAACACGACAGTCGTTACAGTGGGCCACAAAACTAATCGAAACAATTGTATCACAGTCGTCAAAGAATTTCAGATATCTCATTAGTATTTTAAATACGCAAAAGAAACGGCGATTAAGACTTTCTGGAATACGTTACATCTAACCTCAATCTTGGTCGATAGGAATTCTAAAAATATTATTGATCCTCTTAATGAATTCAGTTTGGATTTTCTTCTAGAGATTTTTCCTTTATTTCGGACGCGACGAACGTTAACAATTTTCCGCCAATGTTGTGTTACGTGTCCTTTCGAAATCATGACGTTTTATAATGTATACGACCTTAACTCAAGCGGCGGCGTGTTCTCGCAATACGGCTGCGTGTCCGTTAGAGAAGTGGGGATTTGGGTATAGTGAAACTACAGGATGAGTATGAATCGTCTGGCAGGGACTTGCCTGTTGCTAGTCAGTCTTTCTGCGATTGTCCATCATTTAATTAGATAGTTTGTATAACTCGCTTATGTGGAAAACATGGTGCTACTTCTATTGACGATCATTTTCGTTATCGGAGTAAGATCGCAGAGTTACGTTGGTGAGTTTGCAATTTAACGTATGACTATAAAAATTGCGAAACTTTTTGAATTCTGAGACGAGATAATCATGAGTGTACGTGCTTAAGGAAGAAATTTAAAATATTATAGTTAGTTGGCTTTCACGAGAATAAATTATATTACGGTGAAATATATGTTTCTAATACTACGCCAAACCCTGTTATTTTTCATATTCGATACTGTTGCCATATTGACGATACGCAAATCCTTTTATCAGGCTACAAATTAACGCCTACTTTGTGTTGGCTGATAATAGTGCAATGTGTACATTCTATCGTTAAAAAATTCCGGATTATATTATAACGTCGTAATTCTTCATTAATTTTGAGAAAATTTGTTTTTTTTTTTAAATAAAAATCTAATCAAATTTTTCATTTTCAGGCGATATATGTAACCTAAAGAGTGGCGCACCAGGAAAATGCTCGACTTTAGAAAATTGTCAATCGGTTTATTCTCAACTAGTGGCTGGCAACCCACCGGATACGCTATGTGGTTTTTCCGGTTTTGAACCAATCGTCTGTTGTCCATCTAGTACATCAAGGCCGTCAACAACAACAGAAGCAATAACAACAGCGACTTCGGCAGACGAGAGCGTAGGCTCCATAGCGAGACAAAGTAAACGAAACCCCCATTACAAAATTTTAAACGGACTTTTTAATTTGTGCGAGAAAAAGTAATATACGTTTACAATTTATCAGAATGCGCCGAATACAGCAGCTCTGTCTATGCCCTGGTGATACCGCCGACGTTGATTGACAAACGGCCAGTTAATATATCAGTATGTGCAATCACTTCGAAAAAATTAATCGTCGGTGGTACCAGAGCAGATCCTAAAGAATTTCCACATATGGCGGCTGTTGGATTTCAAAAGGGTTCCCAAGAAATAGGGTGGTTCTGTGGTGGCACCCTAGTCTCTGAAAGATTTGTAATGACTGCCGCACACTGTACATATTCTGCAGAATGGTATTACACGGTTTTCATATCTTAATTTGGTCAAATTTTGATTCAGCTATTAATATTCTTCGAATTACAGGGGCAAGGCTGCCTGGGTCCGAGTAGGCGATTTGAATTTAGTCAGCTCAAACGATAACGCCAAACCACAAAATCGTCGCGTCATTGAAAGAATTAAGCATCCGGAGTACAAAAGACCTTCTCAGTATCACGATATAGCTCTTCTCAAACTTGAAAGTCCTGTTGAGTTTAATGCTTTTGTCAGACCGGCATGTTTGCACACTGGCAACACGCTTGAAGCTCAAACCAAAGGCGTAGCTACTGGATGGGGTCACGTGGAATGGCGTGAGTTATTAATAATCCAATTTTTGCATTCGACAATTAATTTTTCATTAGTCTTGAAAAACCTCAGAGATTTGGCTTTAATCAATAATTTATTCCTCCAGAGGGTGACGGCGGATCAAATGATCTTCTAAAAGTGACTTTATCGTTGGTTCCTCAAAGCTCTTGCAATGAAAGCTTCAGTTCAGGAACCGTTGACAGTAAAATCAGATTTGGAATTGTTGGTGACTGGCAAATTTGTGCTGGCGAAGTTGGCAAAGATACCTGTCAGGTATTTGACAATACATTTTTTATTCTATGATTATTTATTGTATTTCGCATACCATTATTATCGGCTCTATTATTCTATAGGGTGACAGTGGCGGTCCTCTCGCCATCTTCAATACAGATCATTACTGCATGTACGATGTCATTGGTGTCACTAGTTTTGGCAGATTGTGTGGCAGCATTGTTCCTGGTGTTTACACTAGAGTTTCCTACTATGTTCCATGGTTGGAAAGTATAATCTGGCCTCAGAGTTAATCACTTTTATTATCTGATGCAAGCAAATGGAAAGAAGATCATCTTGAAACAAGAGACTTGAAAGGGACTGAACTTGAGTTATACTAGACTCCATATTATAACGTAAGATTGATCAATTATATAAAGCTCGAAGAAGGACACGTGCACTGAAAATATGTATTAATATTAGCGTTAATTTGAAGTTCATTCTGTGAGGATTGTTTTTTATTATACAGAATTCTTATAATACAAGTACTTGTTACAATATACGTACGAAATTATTGTAAAATCTCATCTGTATTCTCTTACATTCTACATGTATCTTTTATGATTTTATTTTTTATCTTTTATTTGAAATCATTGCTCGCTGTGAACAATTAATTACCAAGCCGATGTAACGTATGATACGTACGTGTTTGTATGTATTCATACTTATAAATGCCAACCTCAGGTACTCTTGCAGTAACTAGTTAATTTCAAGAATCATTATAATGATTATAACGATCGAATAGAATTTAATGAATGGTTCTGTTATAGGATTTTCTGAGGATCCGTAATGGAAAGTTAATCGATGATTCGGATTAAATTTAAGCAAAGATATTGTGCATTGAGTAGAGGTAAAGGATCTGCCAGAGCAGAATTAAGATTTTGATTGGATTATTGGAAGCGCCATTGGTCCACGATGGCGACGAATCATCGACTAGTTATTTGGATCCGTAAATTTTTATTTCTTTGGGAAGTTATGGATCTGGATAGATTTCCGAGGAATCCAGAGGAATTTCACCGGATGATTTAGGACGCAGCATCATCTTGCTACTCTTCAAACTGTAGTCGCCGTGCCAATGTTCCCAGATCATTCCCCGGAATGAATCGTGGGGGCCATTTTGTATGTAGTAATCTCCGTTTAAATTAGCTTCGAAACAGCTGATCGAAAAGAATTCACTAAATGAGCGCTTTGTGACAATATTTAATTAAAACCATTAAAAATTTAAATACCTGTAAAACCACCAGCCGCCACCATAGGAGGGAGCGCAGGGACAACATGGCGGTGCACTATCGTTATCACGGTCCACAGTTGAAAATGGCGTCCCATCATGCGACCCAAATGCATCAGTGGCATTCCCGTTGTAACCACTGACCCAAACCCTGTAGTTATCTCTTGCACCATCCACCCTTAAAAAAATTATTTTTGTCAATTTTCAAATTTGAATTCTCTTCATCAGATTTACCTGAATACTGAATATTCGGCCCAAGCCGTTACGCCTTCCCAGTCTTCCAACTCGATTCTCAATACCACATCATTTTCATAGGTCAGTCTGCAAAGAAGACAGAGGTTACACTTGCTTGTTACTGATTTTGATTAATAAAATGAACTGATCTTCCATTTACCTATGAATGTACTCGTTACCAAACCAAAATTCACTGTGGAGACTACCAAATCCAAAACTATATTCGTCCCAAGATCTTGTGAAATTTTCTGATCCTAACCATTGACCTCCGCGCCTCTGTATGACAGTCCATCCGCCACCGGAAGTCGTGAGATCACAATTCCTGGTATAAAAATCTCTGATCAATGGATTAAAATCTCTGAGCGATCCAAGAGTATAAACACCGGATGGCCTTCCGGTGTTGATCAAAGCTTCGCAGCTTCCTTCATTAACGTAAATGAGTTCAGGTGTCTTAGGGGTGGTGGTCAGGCTGCCTTCGTTGAACGAAAAAGAAATAGTCGTAGGAGAAACAGTAGTAGTAGTGGTTGTTAAATTCCATGGACCAAAAATAGGTGGCGTAGAAATTTTAGTCGTGGACTCTGCATAACGATCTTCATTTCTTCTTGGAATATTAAATTTTCTAGAGTTAACCAATGACGGTTCCTCTCCGTGACCACTTCCATCCGGTGCCTCCTCATCACCACTTCCTTCCGGTGCATCCTCGTCGTCACCACTTCCTTCGTCATCCGTCGCATCACCTGAACCATTATAATCTGATCCCAGTGGCGTCACAGTAGGTGGCGTCTTTTTTCCCTCTACGCGAGGACAAAATCTCTCTTGTTTCAAGATACTATCAAAATGTGATCTCTGTTCCCGGAAATAAGATTCCAAACTCTCCTGCCCGGAAACTGCTTGATTGCGAACCTGGTTCACGACCCCTGTAAAATGTCAGCCAATCTCAAGATTCAATTAACTTTATGACTCACTAAAGTATATCAACCTTCCACACGTTTCAGGAGCATCTCGCCATTCTCTGTAAAGCTGGTGACCCTCTGGCTACTGGCTCTACAGCAGCTCAACAATTCCTGTATATCATGTGCGACGCTGTCATCCATTTCTTCACGTTGACAATTCCCATTATTGACATTCAAGCCACGAATAAGATTCTCAAGAGATTCCAAAGTCCTGACAGTTTTCCTTTGAGGGGCAGTGATTCTCTTCCACAACCTGATGAATAAATTTGTCAAATTATCTGAACAGAAGGTATTCAATTACAATCAATCAATTTCACTAACTTGTTTAACATTTGACTCTCGGTAATGACTGTTTCAGCCGAAGCAGGTTGATCAGCCAATTCATTGCTATCCCCGTCAGAGACAACCCTGTCGTACATCAGGTCAACTTTAGCCCGTACGTCACGAAGAGCCTCTTCAATGGCAGGCGGCGTGTTACAACGAATAACAAATTTACCACCGGACTCATCGCTGGTGTCATTTCTGCGTCTCTTTGGCTTAAGGCTGGTACCAATGGTAGCAAGTCCAGTCTGTATACGATCCACCTTCCTCTCAACGACTTTAAGAGTTGACAGGACACCTCTGCAGAAATGATTAAATGAATCTCAAACGAAGAAACGTAACCTCAAGGATGCTGGATGCGTTACCTAGTAGCGAACTCTCCCATGAGCGGATCTCTAGGAGTTTCCAATTGATGAATCCTCTGCGAAGTCTCCTCCAATCTACTGGCCACCTTCTCAAGCTTATACTCCAGGCCCATTAGCTGCGTAACCTTACCGTCAAGTACGACGACCTTCTCCTGGCCCCTGGAGAGCAAATCCATCTTACTGTCTAGACTCTTGATCTGCTCGTTCCAAGCTGCCACGTGGAGCTGAAACGTATCCCAGGCATGGCTACGTTCCTGCAGACCGTGAATATTCGCATCGACGCTAGCAAGGAGTGTCGAAGTCATCAGCATCCTATGCTCCAGCTTCCCGAGGTAGAGGCTGTTGAACTTGTCCAGCTGACCTGAAGCACGGATTCATCCTTTTGACCTTTCCCATCTTAGACGATATAATGACTCCCATATGGGAATCATGTGGCTTGACCTTCGATGCTTGGATCTGGAAGATCTCAATCTTGTAACAGTATACATACTTTTAATCTCAATCTAATATTCGACTGTGGGAAAGTGCGTAAGTGCGTAGGACAATACTTGCGAAATCAATTGGACTCTTTTTGGCTCTGGCAAGAAGTGACCTTGTCTGTCAAATTAACGAGTTCACATCGGTCCAGCCATGTTCACTGGCCGATCTCCGCCACGCTTTGTCTTCTACTTCGTGAGTCACGCACGCGAATCGCAGAAGGAGCGTGGCTGAGCGGACAAGGTTTTTCTTGATGTTACCAAAGAGAGGGGAGAGTCGAAAGAAAAAAAGATAAGGGAAAAAGAGAGAGAAAGAAACTGTATGTAATAAAAAAAGAAACGAGTCGACCTGGATGCGTGGAGATTATGGAAGATACAGAGATGGAGTTTTGTTGTTTGATTTTTCAAAAAAATAAAAAGAGAATCTTGCATCTTTCAAATTCCCCGCCACTACACATCGAAGGACGACTACTGTATCGTCTTACTTGCTATGTTGGACATCATCGCTTTTACGGCACCGATTTCTTCCCAAAGACGATCTACGTGCGATACGTGGCTCTCTGCTCTTCTTCTGTCTTCCGGCTGTACCGCAGGAGTTACTACCTCCCGAATCAAAGGATGCTGCATGGTACTGGACGAACTTGGTCCCACTGCCAATGCTTGTGGTATTATCAATAAATACCAGAGTACCTTAAATCAATTAGTATCATATACAGCAGCAGTTTAAAAAGTCACATATGACCAATGAAATTGACCGATCGATATAATCAATAGTTCAAACCAATCATTCAGAGACTATCCCACGATGACAAATAACGTTCACCAAACCGTACTTCCGCTTCATTCTGTCTTCTACTGTAAAGACTTGTCAAGTCTAATAGTCCCTAAATATTCCCGTCTATCACGTATGACTAGTACGTTTTTATCAGTTGAAATCTACTATACAACTTTTTTTATCCCAAGTTTCATATAATACATATATATATTCTAATCGATACCTGCAAATCTTAAATATTCATATCAACCATTATAAAGCGTATACGCACATAGAAACAATGAATAATTATACAGTGTAATATTAGTACGGAGAAATGGCACAAAAAGTCATTCGAATGAAAATATCTAATATAAAAGTGCCATAAGACGCAGTCAGCGGATCCTTGACCAGTGAAAGGACAATGTAATAATATATCAGATTTATGATGCCTGAAAAATTATCACGGTTCGTACAATGATACTAGGTATATATGTACATTGTATCATCCGTCTATTTAGCATAATAAAACATTATATCCAAATAATCAATCGTAAATTCGTCCTTTACCTTGTTCGGTTTGAACGTAATAAAAAAGGGAGGCGTTTCTTGTGTCGCATTCAAATTACAGACGCCGTCTATCTGTCTGGCGAATGGACCATGTAACCTAACAACGTGAAATAAATCGAGAGACGAACTCGTGAACCCGCCATCTGGAAATGTGAAACGATCGGATGGTACTGGAAAAAAGATTGACCCTGTACAATGAGTCAAAGTAATATTTTACATGGGGACAATAGTTTCCCGAGCGTTGATCTTCGCTCTTTTTCAATATGTCTGCTGTCTCAAGGTTCACGTGTCTGCAGCCACTGTTGACTATTCCAAGATCTTTTTCTTTCCACACTCGACCGTAGCTCGTGGATCATTTGATCCTGCGTCGAATTTCACTCGAGTCGAGTGTCTTTTTGGTTAGTTTGAGGAACACTCTCACGAGACATTTGGCTAGGTACACTCTTTTCTCACGAGTTCTAATAAATAGCGAGTCAAACATTTCAATGTGACGTGTGTACCGCCTTTTTCGTATACGTATAGATACACAGGTATAGTTAGGTTCGATTAGCATAAGTAATCCTGTATAAACTGACACACCGGCCTTACGCGTTCTAACGCATAACACAGAGTCAAGCATTCTCGCACTGTGTACCTGACACTTTGCATATGTAGCCAAGTCAAGAAAGCTGGGAAAGATAATGTCTTATTCAAACGTTGTAAATACCAAAGAATTAAGAATGAGTTTGTTTCTTTTTTCCTATATGAATAATTCAAAATTGCATAGTGTATATGATTTTCAGATTCGACCGTTGTCAGACGATAATACAGGACGAGTGGAGTTCGACGAAAACACAGTGTGATATTAACGAGGTAAAGTAATCTTGTAATTTCTTTCTCAACGTACCTGATAAGAAAACATGATGTTTCCAGCAGCATGTAATCCTAACATACTAAGTTCTCTTGCATGGGTAATAACGTACACTGGATATGAACAGCGTTACTTTATTTTACGTTGACAAAGGACAATTTTACGTGTAGATAAATTGGCACGCGGTTGAGAATGTTTACGAAAGTTTTTCCAAATTTTCCTTCTTTTATCGCAGGGATTATACGTTCATGCTTACGGGTTCGCGGCTCACCGCTGACTGACTGACTTACTGACTAAACCAACTGACACTTCTCAGAATGAATAGAGCCTGGAGGGATCGACTGCTGCGAATAGTTTTAACATGGATTTTCATATCGCGACTCAATTGTCACTTTTGCTGAATTTATTAAATGCATGATTATTCACTGTTAAGTATTGCAAAGTTGCCGTCTGGCACGGTGCACTCGATTAACTGAATGTGTACGTTGTGAAAATTATAGGAGGCTTTAGTTAGAAGTGGATAGTTCTGTATGGATTAAAGAAAAATTGTATTGAATTACTTGAGTAACAGTAGGTAAAGCTAAATTTAGTCAAGCTTCACGTCGCAACCTCATGGTAATATATCTTTACGCGTTCGGTGCCCTGGACAGGAATTAGTTCCATCCAAATATACACCGTGGCTAATAGCGAACCAAATAATTCTCTTGATCCGGTGCAGGATATATTTTCGGGATATTATTTTGAAGAGCAACCCCATTGTGAAGATTCTTGAATGTCTTCAAGCAACTCTAGAACGATTTCGCCTCATCACTCGAGATAATTACGCGATAAGGTGGAGGAATTACATCGCCCTGAGGGCAGTCATCGAGAAGGTATCTATCCTTGTTTAGTATATGGTGACGCCTATACTGTCCATATACTTATTCAGGTTAAATTTGATCTTTAAACAGTTCTGTGTACATACACAAGAGAGCCATTATTAGCGACCCAGAAACGTCACTGGTCTAATGGCAAGTGAACCATGAATCGTGTTGCTCTTGGCAAGATTTACAATATCGGTTACTGGAAGAGTCTGAATAGGCACGAAGTGCGAAATCAGAGAGCGGTGATAATCAGTGGATTAAATATATCAGAAATATTATATCGTCTTGTTTCAATTTTTCGAATATCTTCGTAGGCGCAAACTCCCAGTATTTAACTCATCGATCTCGAGACGCGCATGCGCCGGATTCACTTTATTTTCGTTGTGCAGCCTCGAAACTGGCTGTGGTGTTTTCAAGAAATTTGGAGTTCGTGATGCGCGTCTATTATTAGTCGGTTCCGAGTGAGATTGCTTTCCCGTCGAGATATCACCAGGAAGCTGACGTGAGTGATGTCGGGTTTCGTCAACACCTGCAGCACGGCGTCGCCGTCGATGTCTAAGGCGGATGACAATCTCAGTAATAGTGACAGGCCATTGATAAAGCAGAGCTTTTATCAGAATAACAATATCGTAAGGTAGTACACTCTGTACACATTGTTTTACCTGGGTGCTCGCTCGCTGGAGATGACGTACGTGATTCATTGTTGTTTAAACGTTTCAGAACTGAAAAAAGAGGAATCCTTAAGAACAATTCTAACATGTCACGAGATGATAATATCATCGAGTCAAACAGGAAGCGTTATTGCCTATGGATGTTGACATTTGTTTTGGCAGCGATGGGATTTTGTAATTTATTATTGAGTATTACGATTATTGCAGTTTTGAGGGTGAGTCAGGGTATGGAAGCTATGGAAGTTATTCCGGATGAGAATCTGATAAAATTCTATGGACGCACAGACCTGGACAAAGTACGTTGAGTATAGATGCGATGTAATTAATGTGAAGCTTGATTCATTGGATTTCTATTTTTACTAATCCACAAGGTGTGTCTGCAAGCTGGAGTTTGCCAAGGATACGGGGACGAACCAATGGAGTTATCGGGTGACGATGCCGGCGTACAAATAAATTTAAAAAATCGACGTGACAAATTGATTTCAAGTATTAAAGTCCTGGCTAATGGGACAACAATATCCCAGGTGGAGTCTTTTGAGATAAAAGATCCTCAGACAGGGTCTTCGTACTTCTCTACGGACTTTCCAAACTTTGGTTTACCATCCGGAGTCAGGAAGATTGACATCGACATCGCTGTCACTCATAGGATAACATCGCCGATTAATGAGAGTCTCACTATAAAATCTGATGGACAGATTTCCATGAGCGGTGGCGAAGGAAACAGGATGGAAGGCAAGGAAATTGTTTGGACGGCCGACAAGGACATCTTCCTCAAGAGCCTCAATGGAAATATCATCCTGAGCGCCAAGGAAGGCATTTCCATAGACATCAAGAGCATTCCCATAGTATCATCTTCCATTTTGAAACGTGTTGAAAGTGGACAGTACAAAGTATGTGTTTGTATGCCCCAGGGTAAGCTGTTTCGTGTTCCTGTTCCACCAGGTATTAACATTCATGTGAATTGTGCGCGCGTGAGCATGACGCCCGAGAATAATCCCTGCATATAAAGGACTTTTTTTTAAAACAGGGAATAATACAAATAATAATCACTGCAGTGTTTTAGAATTAGAAGTTTTTATTTTTCGTACGAAACTGTAGACTTCCAAATTTTAGTGATTCCTGTATAGTATGGTTGGGTAGGATAGATGAAGGGGGTTCTAATCGTCGATCTCCATTTTGATAAGGGGTACTGCAATTCCACCGACACTCACAAATTCAATGTTTCCTAGGTACTCGACAATATGGATCGAACTGTAAACTGAAATAAATATCAAATCTCCTTGTAAACTGCACATGATTGAATACAGTCTTGGACGAAAACGTTGTCCAAGATATAAAATACATTCAGTGTACGCCACGACGTCGAAATTGATTACGAATATACATAAAAATAATATTGGGTAACACAAAATGTCATTGTACAATTTGTTAACTAGTGGAATTTTATCCACTTTCAGTTATCATCTCTTCGTTGCTTTCGTCCATGTCTTCTTGCTGCTCTTGTTCCGTAGGTGGCTCGTACGCCTTGTCCAAAGGACTAGCCACTACCCCACCAGCCCAGACGCTCATTTCTACGGCTAGTTTGTTACCTCCTTCCAGCAATGGCCGGTATCCTCCATGTGACAGGACGCGCAGAAGAGTTTGTGCTGTCAGACACACTAGGTCCTGCTGCTCCAGTGTCATGGCGGTGTGAACTCGAATGTTGCCACCTTCACAAGGATCGGAGATTCCTATAGTATTTATGAGATTAGAATTTTTTTAGAGACTAACGAAGTCTTTTGTTTTTACATACCTGCTGAACCTGGAAGGAAAAGTCCTGAAGCCAGGAGTTGTAATACACGTTTGTATGCTTGATTTATGGGTAATGCTTGTCTACTAGGATTATTCATGATTGCGTTGTGAGCGAGTAGATCTAACATCCACGGTGATAGAGGTTCCAATCCTTCAAATCTGCTTCTTAGGTCTCGTAACAATCTGATTAGAACCTTTATTGTGGAATGATGAGCATTCTCTTCAAACCAACGAGAGTGTCTGATAGCTGCTAAGTGGCCTGGAAGACAGTATTTTTTGTATTGAAAACATTGTTAACTCCGGGAATGCTTATGTCGGGTTAAGAAAAAAGACTTGTAGTGGTAGACTATGAAGTTACCTTGACAGATTTTTACATCTAAATGCTGATCTGGCTCCAATTTCCTAAGATTTTGAAGTAGTGTGGTAATCAATACCCTTACAGTTGCTTCGTTATTAGCAATGTCAAAACCTCGTTCGGTTTGAGTCAAACGGAATACTTCTTTGGCATTTGCAGTTTTTAATTCTGTGTAAACCTTAGTACCAAGAGCTTCCACTGCAGTTTTGGTTGGTAAAGTCTTTAAGATCACGACAATGTCAGCAATATTGTGACCTTTTATCATGGTTCCTTTCTTAAAACTTCCAACCTGTCTGACTTCTTCCAATTGCTGTACATATGTATATATTATCTTCAGTTAGTATTAACGAAAATAAATATTGTAAGAAGTTTTTCATAAATACATACACAGGCTTCAAAACTTCCAGGAGCAAGAATTAAATTATCAAGGACAGTTTGTAGCTTGGTAACAAGGTTTAATATAGAAGTTTGTTCCTTTGGCGTAGGGCACATATCAGAATTCTTCTTAAGAAGAGCACTGGTGAAATCTGCTTCATCAGCAGCCGGTTTAACGCGTGGAAAGGCTGCTTCGCAGAGAGTATAGTCAAAAGGGTGACGAGGTAGGAATTGTTTCCTCTGGAAACCCAGTCCTCTACCCATACCACCTCTACCACCCCGAATCATTCCGCCACGTCCACCACGTACCATAGTCTCCCTGAAATATACAAAAATATTTCATAGCAAAGTTGAAAGATAATAAATACAGTTGTACCCAAGTACAAAAGAAAAAGTGAATATAGGGACTTGAAATTATGTGATTTTATTGAAGTTTGTAAATCTTTCCATACTACAGTGGACCCTCCGTAGTCATGAAAAATGATTCGAATGTTCAAATGCGAATCGAATTGAAAGAATTACGAGTCCGGATTGCGTTAATCTGAAATATAACCTCTGACAAAATCGATAAGTTCCCTAACCAAGAACTTACTTCGGGGGCTGCAGTGCTGTTTCTGGCATTGGTATACGGTCTCTTCGCGCTCTAACATTTGCAGGAAAATCATTACTACGAGGCGTGCGATGACAAAATTAGAGAACTTACCAAAACGCAGGAAAAACACGCGATTTTATCACGATAGCGCCCGGTATTTTTCAGTATTCCTTACTATAGCATCTAGTTTTTTGATAGCGTCCTACTCATTGTGGTGAACCAGAGATCAGTAGGGAGATGCACAACGCTACGGCTTTAGGCGATACCAAAAACATGGCGCTAAATCGTAGCGGTGAGTCCGGGAATAGAATTTTGTGATCATCGCCTCCGTCGATAACGCATATCCCATCGTAGCCGAGCTGAACGTGATCACGAACGGGTAGCCTGGCGGGCAGAGATTCTCCACAACTTACAACTGATTCCCAGAGCAACCCTTAGAAAGAGGCCGCTTATCAGATATTGCCTAAATCTTTTTTTTTTGTAATCTTAAATTCAAATGTACAGTGTAAGCTCGATAAGATTTACTAAGACAAAAGCCAGCACTCCATCATTATTTAACAATAGTTCCAAGCGGAACTATGGCTCCAACATTGAGTACTACAGAGAATTATTCCGGAACTGTTTGAAACACAACCTGAAAACAACACTGAAAGCCAGCTCCTTATGCATACCTGCACTGAAGCATATGGTGCGACTAGTATCCTTAATAGGTATTTTAACGATGTTACGTAGCAGAACTGTCGTTAAAACCTATCTGGAACTATAGAACTCCTCGAGAGCTATTGAAAAAGCCTATTGTTGAATCATTTTCAAGAGATTTTAAAAAAGTGCAGTGCTGGAGCTGACACCCATGTAGCACCTCACTTTTTGGAAAATTCCTATTTTAACGATGTTACGTAGCAGAACTATTGTTAAAACCTATCAGGAACTATAGAAATTCTAGTTAAGTGCGTAGCATGTACAACGCTCAGACACCAATTTTGGAAGTTCTTCAAGAAAGTATCGTTTGTACCTCTTTCCAATCAGTCCCCTTCCAAAGAGTATAGTCTAGTATATCTCCACTGCGTTCCATCGTTTGTACCTTCATAGTTTTCTTTTAAATTCAATATTAGTGCGTAGCAGGTACAGGTCTAGACACCATTTTTGTGAGTTTTTCAAAACATTTATAGGTAGTATAGTTGTAAGTTAAAGGTAGTATAGTTATAGGTAGTAGAAAAATACGTTTGAATAAGTGCGTCGCGAAGACATTATCTAAAGTTCGCGGAAATTCGCGTATTGGTTTATTCGTAACAAGTGAAGAATTAGTCCGCAACCGAAAATACAGGAAGTGCAAAATAGTGGCAAAGGCTGGAATCATCAAGTCGTCACCAGAATGGACCTCGAGTATCGAAAGATGTACTGGACCAATGAACAATACAAATGGACAAGAGAAAGGCAGACGAAGATCCTGGGGTAAGTGATCTTTTTCTTTTTCCCTTTTTTTTCTACTCACCATAAACATTTATGTAAGCGGCCATGCTGAAAGCCATAAATTTGCTATACTCAGCTGATACCGGAAGTATAGCATAGATCTGACTTATATTTGTGTGAGATTTTGGTGATGCATTCGGAAAGTGTTCCCATGTTGCGCGGTAGTGTTTGACTATATTTTCAGCTATACTTGTTTCCGAGTGATCAACCGCAGATTCTGCTGCGTACTAAATAATTTTTCCTCGTCCACGCGAGTCTTCTGGATTTTGCCAATTCCGCGTTTATAGCGCACCGACGAGAGAAGAACACTGTGGACTCTCTATTAAAATACATATTGATACATATTATATTAACATTACAAAAATGGAGGTGCTACACGGATGTCAGCTCCAGCATCGCACTTTTTTAAAATCTGTTGAAAATGTTTCAACAATAGGCTTTTCCAATAGTTCTCGAGAAGTTCTACAGTTCCTGATAGGTTTCAACAATCGTTCTGCTACGCAACATCGGTAGAATATGTATTAAATATGCTTGTGGCATCATACGCTTCAGTGCAGGCAGACATGAGTTGCTTGCTTTTGTCATATTAAACTTACCGAGCTTACACTGTGCGATCGAATTTAGGATTGCAAAGAAAAAAAGTATTTAGGCTATATCCGATGAGTTGTCTCGTTTTAAGTGTTGCTTTGGGAACCAGCGATAAGTAGCGGAGGACTCTGCCCGCCAGGCTACTCGTTCGTGATCACGTTCAGCTCGGCTACGACGGGATATGCATTATCGACGGAGGCGATGATGACAAAATTTTATTCCCGGACTCGCCGCTACGATTTAGCGCCATGTTTTTGGTATCGCCTAAAACCGTAGCGTTGTGCATCTCCCTACTAATCTCTGGGTGAACGTAGCCGAATGAATTTCGCAACTAGTAAATTCCCTATAGGAACATAACTAACATCCCTACAATTATTAGGCGGAACTGTATAGTTGGTTGCATTGTTGGCGGTCCTCTACAGTTTCAGTATATTTCGGTTGTTGCAAAGTAATCGTCATGGCTACTGAGCGGTACAGTTTTTCTTTAACCACTTTTAGGTATGTATTACTCTCCTTTTACTATTTTGATTCCTATGTAGAATATTAAACTTGATCAATTTAAAGGATATTAATTTTAATATTGCAGAAATGTATTTGCCATGAATTTGTATAGACGATATCATGTCTGGTAACCTGGCTAGATGACACATTAGATTACTCCAAATACAAGATAAAATAATAAATTTTGAAAAATTATTAGAACATATATGATTATATTCATTATACTTAATTACTTTGATTTTTTAAATTTTGTATTCTCACCAAATGTTATATTATTTAAATAATTTGTCTAATCGTTATGAGACACAGTGACTTGACATATATCACGAATAACAAATCCCTTGTAATTTTGATTATTTTAATATTTTGAATAGCCCATCTGGAAAATTGGTGCAAATTGAATATGCACTGGCAGCAGTTGCAGCAGGTGCTCCATCTGTGGGGATTAAAGCATCAAATGGTGTGGTATTAGCTACAGAAAATAAGCACAAGTCTATACTTTACGAAGAACATAGCGTAAACAAAGTTGAAATGATTACGAAGCACATTGGTATGATCTACAGCGGGATGGGTCCAGATTACAGATTGTTAGTGAAACAGGCCCGTAAAATGGCTCAGCAGTATCTCCTAGTTTACCAAGAACCTATACCAACTGCCCAACTTGTACAGCGAGTTGCTATGCTTATGCAAGAATATACTCAATCTGGGTAGGTATTATTTCATGGGATTTAATTATTATCAGCTTCAAAAATCATATTTTTCTTTGACTTACCTGGTTAACGTTTTTTCTCATACAATTTATTTTTTCTTAATAATTATAGAGGTGTTAGACCTTTTGGAGTTTCACTTTTGATCTGTGGCTGGGACAACGACAAACCGTATTTATACCAATGCGATCCATCTGGTGCTTACTTTGCCTGGAAGGCTACTGCAATGGGAAAGAATTTCAATAATGGTAAAACCTTCTTGGAAAAAAGGTATAGTGAGGATTTAGAACTTGATGATGCTATTCACACTGCCATTCTTACATTAAAAGAAGGATTTGAGGGTCAGATGACTGCTGACAATATCGAAGTTGGTATATGTGATGCAAATGGCTTCAGACGATTGGATCCTTCTAATGTAAAGGATTATCTCGCCAATATCCCTTAATTCTAGATTAATTTTCTACTGTATTAACCTACGACTTTCGTAAAAACGATTAGTTCGTATGGATGGATATAATAAAAGTTTCTTTTGAATATACAAACCTACAATTATTGTCATTGTATCAAATCCTTGATACTATTATTTAATTCAATTACAGTATAGATAATACCTTGAAACGTATGGAATTACGAGAAGAAGATACCGCAGATTAGGTCAACTCAAACCTTTACTAACAATTGCGTCACTCTGATGCTTTAACTATGAAAGATTATAAAAACACCAATCAGAATATAATTGACTAGCGTAACGTAACGCAACTGTTTTCGTATGTAAATTAAATTCTGTTTTATTGATACAAAATGAAACCGTCTGATAGCTTACGGTGAAACTCGTTATATTGTCAATTTTCAATAATTTCAAAAAACAGTTTTCAAATATTTAAAATTACGGTCTTTCAAAATTGGCTGCACTGTTTTTAAAACTGCTGCCTGATGGCGACATCTGTAAAGCTAATTACCCATGATGCGTACATTGTATACCGCGTAATTTGCATCAGCCAATCACACATTGTTGTTAGTTTTCCAGTAGTTAACAGAACGGAATTGTGGGTTCCTGATTGGCCGCGAGAGATCGCGATACACGAAGTACGTTCGATGTGACGGCACCCTTACTAGTTCACGACGAGTGGGCCATTTGTCTTCTTTGTGTGTGGCCGGACGATTCATCTTGTCTATTTTGTGCGATTTGTTTTCAGTGTTTTTTCGTGAATTACCGAATTTGATACATAAAGGAAAACAACAATCCAGGTAAATCATCCTATTAGTATGAAATCCATAAACTGTACACATGAGTATCATTCAATGCATTCAGCATTATTGCAATTATCACGTGGAGAAAGATCGTTGTAAATCGTAACAATTTTTACGATAAAATTTTTTCCTTAAAATATAAATGTATTTAGGAAATTTTTATCTTCCAAATTTAAAATGACTGGAACAGTAATGTATTTATATCATTGTCTTCTACACCGTTACTTGAAGCGTCATATTTGTCGGTTTTCAATTTCAGCGAATTGTCGAAAGCAAATGATCATCGATCTTCTTCTAGTAAGTTCGACGATATTCTGGGTAATTGGCAAACTTGAGAAAATTCGCATATTAGAATTCCAGTACAGCCCTTGTTTTTGATCGAAAATAAAATCGAAGCGAAACCCGCAAACACGCTAACTCTATGTACCATAATGACCTTGCGTATTTTTTATGATCTGTTTCAGTGTTTTTTCGCGAATTGCCGAATGAGATACATAAAAGAAAACAACAATCCAGGTAAATTATTCTATTAATATGAATTCCATAAACTACACGCATGAGTATCATTCAATGCATTGTGTTATTACAATTACCACGTGAAGGAAGATCGTTGTAAATCGTAACGACAATCTTTACGTCGACTCTTAAAACAATTGTATTTAAGATACATTTTTTTTATACGAAACTTTGATTTCAATTCTTGAAAATTGAGTGCTTCGCCGAAAATGAGAAAAAAGGAATTTTTACATTAAATCGTAATAACATACGATGCATTATTATTGCATCAGCATTATTATTTCCTTTTGAAGCTGAAAAACTGCCGTATGAAAAAAATGTATCCATCTCAATTTATTTCAGATATATCTGTCCATGTTAATTAACTTTGGACACCCTGTATAATTAGGATACGTTCTGATCAGCTCCATATGTAAAACAATCTGATAACGCAAAAAAGATTACAGATCGTAAAGTCAAAAAAGAATATTAACTTTTGGAAACACCACGTATATCAGGCATAGGGTGGTAACGCCAGTGGGGATTGCCGCCGCAGGCTCGGGGAACCAACAGATTTATCGTTTATTCGGGGCGCACGTTTCACGCTTTACTTTGCAATACCTACTGCTCTCAACCAGTTGCGGACTTAGGGATGCTTCACACCGAAATCTCCAGGATATAGCCCAGGGTACTGATCCGAACCCTCACGTATACGATCAAGGGATAGGACTCAGTAAATTATGGGGAGTCCTTTTGTCTTCTTTGTTTATAAAGTACGTGACGAATTTTTCAGCCTTGATATACGAAGAAAAATAGTTATACACATAGATCAGTTGATACCAACTTACTAGTATTAAATTCGGTACACACTGCAGCGATTGTCAGAAGCACGCGGTAGCGACTCCCGCTGCTTATTAATCCACACCGAAGCTTCTTCATTTTCGTTTGGCATTTTCGTCAGTCACTGCAGAAGCCTAACAAGTCGCAAAGTGCTCGAGTGGCTCGCGGAGAAGGAAGAGAACGGGAAAGAGAGAGAGAGTCAAAGAGGATACGATGAGGTAGAGAAACGATGAGGAAGAGAGACGAAGAGGAGAAGACTGTAAGTCAAGTGTGGACGATGCCAAGTCAGTTGCGCTTTCAAAGACGAAATATTTCAAAGCAAACCTCCTAACAATAAATAATGTTTACGCGACGGGGACTCATTGGTACGAATCCTGTTCTTTTTTTTTTTTCACTTTAAACTGTAGTACCACGGGACTCCCATTAACGTATTCCAAGCGTCGTTGTGAACGCGCCTTTCGGTACTCTCGTCCCGCGGCCCGGACTACGAGAGCTTTTTAATCAACGAAATAGTTTAATTCGCAATTCGCAGCTCGCAGTCCGTAAATTCAAAGCGCAGTCAGGAAGACGGTTGGAGACCACGGAAAAGTACCAACCCTCGAGCCGTATGGACGTGTCACGTAAGAGAATCCTACTTTTCATGTTTTTTTTTTTTTTTTAATTTCTCTATCTCTTCGAGTCCTACTAGCCGTCTCTCGTCACGCTGCTGTGAGTTTCTCATCTCGCACTCCTTTTTTTTTTTCTATCCCTTTGCTCGCTCCTACCTTTCTGTATTGTTATTATAATTTTTCTTTTCTTTTGTTTCTTTCCCGTGCCGTCGCTTCGCGCCGAATGAGAACAGCGAGGGCCGCGTGGCCTTTCGCGACGGAACCGTCATTACCATAATGTCACGAGCAACCCGATTTCTCCTCGATATTATACTAATGGCCGAAAGGATTTAGCTCTTTTGTGTCCCAGCATCAATTATTTTTCAAAACTTTACCAAACTTTCGTGAAACATTTACTGGGGAAACTTTGGGTCGAGGATGTTACGTGACTTCTGGGCCAACGGTAATGGCCGCCGTAAGAATTGAATCTCGTAGGAGGTGTATATTCTTTTTATTTGTTTCCATGGGTCTGTCGCAATTCTCAGTTTTTTTAATAGAGCGCAGGCTGACAGAATTTTGAGATACTTTTGATATATGGAAAATTACCTATGACATGGATTTTATACTAAAGGGACAGGTCGGAGGAAGCCATATCTGGACGGCACTGAATCCTACGCTGCTTGATATGACTTATTGCCGTGCTTGCAAATATTTGGAGAATGTCCGGTTTCCACCCTCTGTGTGGCTTTTACTCCGAAGGTAACCCTTGTCGCTTTACGCGTTTGGTTATGGTACGTTGATGGTGACTAAGGGGTTTGACATTAGGAATATACGTATGCTTTGTTACCATTGTTGCGAATTCCTGCTATGGAATTCATAAATCGTCAGAGCTGCCTTTCTACCTGCTCGTGAACCCGGCTTAAGGTCTCTTCGAAGAATTGCCTTCCGGGATATTCGTCATGACTTTTGTTCTCGAATTTTATATAATTTCAAAATAAAATTATTTAATCTAGTAATTCTTCAGGAGTTGACTATACGTTGCAGCTGATAGATTTCTAAAATCCTAAGGCAAAAATTGCATACAGTCGACGCATCCCGAAGACGTTTTGATTAGGAGAAAAATGTATCTTTGATCCAGGAGCTCTAATTTTTTTTTTTAATTAAAATATGTTACCGACCGAGCGTCTGAGAGGTTACCGACGGAGCTAGTGATTTGAAAAATTGAAAAAGTTAATAAAAACAGGAGAACGCACAGAAAAAAATGATAATGACAGTGCGCGGGAGGGTAGCAAGTGGGATAAGGGAGTTTGGCCAACCACGAGCAGGGGTGACAACGTGACAGGTGGTCGGAGTCAATTCTAGCGGGCAGTTTTTTTTCCCCTTCAGAGTATCGAACAATGGCCGGTTTTTAATATGACGCAGCCGGAGACGTGAATAGGACTGCTACTGCTGCTGCTAACAGCGGTTTTCATTTAGTACCTCTTGAGACCCACGCGCAGTCTGCCAGGTTAGAGTCAGTGAGTCGTGGAGTGACTGAGCGAGTAAGCACGAGAGGTATAGGATATAGGGATAGAGAGAGAGAGAGAGAGAGGAATATAGGAAAAACTTAGAAGAGCGAGGGAATAAGAAAATCCGTTTGCGCCCATTGCGCATTTTGCAATTTTAATACCGGAATTACAAGGTTCCAGATCCATTTGTCTCGTCGCATAGGAAAACACTGAATTTGCATCTTTCCCATCCGTCACCATGAGGAACGTCGCTTATTAAAAAAATTTTTAAAAGATATCGACTACCCAGTCACTTGAGGATCCTCAATATCCTTTATTCATATTTTACCTCGTCGGACATGTCTTTATTAATTTTTATAATAATTAGCACAAAATTCACTGCCCCTTTGCATCGTACAAATATACTGGTTAATTTGACTTCCTATTTTTTTATAAGGTCTATATCGACATGATTTTTTAAAATTCGATTTCAATTATATTTCCTCACTCAACATTGTCTTTTTTTGTTTTTTGTATAATTAAGCATAAAAGGTTTTATACACCCTCGAGCGAGACTAGGCGACAGGTGTCCTTTAGGGCTCGTTCTTGCAATTAGCACGATACACACGTAACGACACTCGCGATGCTACGTGCGATTTACCTAAAGTCACAAGTGGAAAAAGTCCTCGCTCGTGCAGACACACACTGTAATTAAAATTCCGAACAATTTACCTCCCGCCAGAAGATGAGTATTTCATCTCTCTGAAAAAAAAAGTCCCTTCTACACCGCTGGTTTCGAATGTACAATGCCACCCCTAATGCGCATAATTCGTTAGTCAATTTTGAAAAGAATAAAAATTTTTTTTTTCAGGCTTTAAAAATACTT